GCGGTGTGTGTGTGTCTTTGGGGAGGGGGGTGTTATAATCACTAACTTAAGTTACTTCTTTCTCCTAATAAATTCAAATGATTTATTTCAAATTTATTGCAGTGTTATTTTACAGTGTTTGAGGATGGGGTAGGGGGTGCATAACAGCTTTGCTTTACTTTAAACGTTGGTTCACGATGTCGATCCATCCCATGCACATATATAAATGACAAAGTCAATTTCACACATCACCTATTGCACGTCCCGGGGCTACACTGAAAACTAGCTGCAGACCTGCAACCAAGCGCATCTTTAATGCGGGCGCTCAACTTGGTTTTGTTGGTTTGTTGTTGACGCCGCACTCAGCAATATTCCAGCTTTATGACAGCAGTCTGTAAATAATCGAGTCTGGATCAGACAAATCCAGTGATTAATACCATCAGCCTCGATCGGGTTACGATGACATGCGTCAACCAAGTCAGCGAGCCTGACCACTCGATCCTGTCAGTCGCCTCTTAGCATAGTTGCCAATCACGGGCTGCTGAAGACCTATTCTAACCCGGATCTCACGGGTGCAAACATGTATGATAAATATTCGTAAACAAAAAAACTTTGTGACTTTGTATATCAGCACAGTTGTAGGCTGTTGACAAGTCAATCTGACGGTATATAAGCTATCTTCCTATCCGACACTCTATATATAACAGTCTTGGTTTCCGGGAGTCAAAGGGGGTTGTATTCTCTGAACAATGCCAGGTTGTATCTAGTAAGTTTGATTCAAATAATTCAAACCCCTCTTGTCGTCTGCTTACTCGATGTGTGTGTGTGTGTGTGTGTGTGTGTGTGTGTGTGTGTGTGTGTGTGTGTGCCGAGCGCCAGACAGGGTAACAACAAGTACCATCTTTTAACGTCTTTTGGTATGACGCGGCCGGGCATCGAACCCCGGAGCTTCCGCTCTCCGGGCGGACGCTCTACCACTAGACCATGGAAGCGGTCGAGTGAGTGAGTGAGTTTGGTTTAACGCCATTTTTAACAGTATTCCAGTTATATCGCGGTGTGTCAGCTTAATGTGGGAGCTTAATGAAAGTCCGAAGTGATGCTTACCACTTCGGTGAAACCCACGAGCACAGGTATGGTGCTGACAAACCTAGAAACATAATCGGGGCGAACCTGGATTCGAACCCACAATCATAGGTTACTGGCGTGCCCAAGGAACGCAATTCTGCAAAGCGAATCGCGGCGCCTTAGACAACTGGGCCACCCGTGCCCCCTTCTAAGTTTTCAGACTCAGTTTGGAACATGGTGCTATTTACAATTGGAGGTGAGGTGAGGTGAGGTGAGGTGAAAAGGGGTTGAACGTTCCGTTCATGATTATTGCACTTACACAGTGACGCGCATGCACGTGTGTGTGTGCATGTCTACGTGCGTGTGGGTATGTTTGTACTAGTCCGGACTTTTATAGTGCTAGTCCACTGGGATACCACACGTAGACGCTGTATGAACCACGGGGGCGATCCCTCTTTTAAACTTCACACATAGTTTCAACACTTCAGCACCTGCCCGGAGTTCGATCCCCGACCGCGACATATATAAAAAAACGCGTTGAAAGGTTGTCCTTGTTGTTACCGTGCCTGACGCTCGGCATTAAGAGGATTAAACAAGGACTGGTCGCTCGGTAATAGTACAAACACACACACGCAATCACGCACGCACGCGCGCGTATGCACATCGCTATATATGAGCAATAATCTTGAACGCGACGTTAAACCCCATTTCACCTTTGCCTCATGCCAGAAAGATCTCGGGGGAAATATGTGTATATCTCAAGGATCAAGGAATGTAGAAATTCTAGTATATGTATTTTGGGTGGAAAATACACTTACGTGTTCCATGCATGTAGATGACAACACATTACATTCACACTATATATACACAGGATATACACATTATATACACAGTATACATGCAATATACACACTATTATATAAAGCCAAATCAACGAATGTGAATAACTGAGACATGTCGATTTTTAACCTCATTCAAAACAATATCCCGCGTTGTGGATCTACCACCTGTCGTCTGTTCGAATCGATTTGCATGACATTTTACACGAGAGGGGTGGTAACATGAGACACACGTTCTCACTTGATTGACATGAGATCATATTTCATCCCATGTGATAGGTGAGGTGAGGTGAAATGGGGTTTAACGCAGCATTCAAGAATATTGCATTTATATGGCGTGTGCATGTGTGGCTGTGTGTACTAGTCCGGACTAGTGGCGGTTTTATAGTACTAGCCCGGAGATACCGGTGCCGACAAGTGCCGGTTTTATAGTACTAGCACAGAGATACCATTCCACAGTTTTAACATGGACAGTATATACTGACCCCGAGCCGACCACTCCTCGTTTTAGCTCCTTAATGTCGAGCGCCAGGTAGGGTAACAACAAGTACCATCTTGCAACATATTTTGGTATGACGCGAACGGGGATCGAACCACCGACCTTCTGGTCTCATGGTAGACACTCTATCCACTAGACCACGAAGGGAGTCGCCATTGTGATAGATAAAAACGGCGCAAGGTGTATATATACTTCCTGACTTATATAACTAGTAACACACCACATGGAATATGTTATTAGAAATACTTAAAGCAAACAAAACATTAGTGAGTGAGCGAGTGAGTATAGCTTTACGCCGCTTTTAGCAATATTCCAGCAATATCACGGCGGGGGACACCAGAAATGGTCTTCACACATTGTACCCATGTCGGGAATCGAACCCGGATCTTCGTCCTCACGAGCGGACGCTTTAACCACTTGGCTACCCGACCGCCCCAGACAAAACATTAACCACAAAATGTCATCACCTTATATTCTTCAGAAAAAAGAACCCATAGAAACTATTCTATTTCCTGCTGCATATTTAATGAAAGTTATCGGCAACCAAATCACAATACGCTATGCCTATTCTTGCAAACCCGGTACCACAACGCGCTCGCCGGCTGTCGAGAACGTTCAACTGAACAGAGCATTAGTTTAAACCCAGCATGTACACAAACTGAGAACTTGCTGACCAAGCAAATCTTTCTCCCCGGAGACGCTCGTAATATTACGTCATGTGTGGTAACCCAGCCCCTTTTATTACCGGCCGACGTAACACCTCTCTGATAATTGATAAAAACAATTACCAACCTGTAGTTCACCTACCCAGACCCCCAAACCCAAGCCTTTACAAATTCATCGGCTGAAACGTCAAGTCACCGACTCTTTGTTTTGACGCGCAGCCGGTAGGTTGTCCAGATGGCGACCTCTCCCTCTCATCGTCCCCCGACCCCTCCTCCCCACTACCCCTAGTTTTCCCGGTGCCTCCAGGCGTTCGCGATGCTATCTGAGCACAATGTGGACTCTGCTGAGCAATACTTTAACGAAGATTCGCGGAAATAGGCGAGCTTATCCGATTGACAGTGAACGAGCGACAGCGGGTAATTACAGTGTACGGTGCTCTACCTAATCGATCAGATCTGCATGTCGGAGCTTTGTCCAAAGCCGTTAGTTAATACAACGTGTTGTTACATGATGAGTTTTGCTTTCATCGGATTTACAGCTATACCCACCTGCCGACTTGAATCACTGTCCGGGTTTAGAAGCTATATGCCCATGCCTGTCATTGTGACGAAGGATATTTTTGTGTGTAAGGATTTTGTGAATAAAATAAATAATAATAATGATAATAATTATCATGGCACGCAAAGGATGTAATTCACACCTCTAAAGGAGAACAGTGGACGTGTGGGCGACATACAAGCAACATTTAACATTTAACAAAGTAACAGATAAATAATAGGACCCGTGAAGATACGGGGTAGAATGGATCTTCAGCAACCCATGCTTGCCGTAAAATGCGGCTATGCTTGTCGTAAGAGGCTACTAACGGGATCTGGTGGTCAGACTCGCTGACTTGGTTGATGCATATCATCGTATCCCAATAGCGTGGATTGATTCTCATGATGCCAATCACTGGATTGTCTGGTCCAGACTCGATTATTTACAGACCGCCGTCATATAGCTTGAATATTACTGAGTGCGGCGTAAATCAACAAACAACAAACCAAAAGATAAATGATAGAGAAAAAGATAAGGTAGAAAGGTAGGGCACCGGAGTTGATGAAAATAATCCTCTTAGGAAATAATGTTTCGAATAAAGATCATGATAAAATACTAACAATTAATGTTCTGAAATCGTAAAGTAATAATACATACGGTATACGTCGTAATGATTATGTTGATAAGTACTTAACCGAATAAAAGTTAAGAAATGTGCAAAACTGATATTCCTTTATAAGAAAAGCTCCTGAAAATGTAATATTTCAATGAAATTACAATAACGATCTAAACGTAGATTTTCATTCAGAATTTCATTATTTCAGTTGAAATAGTTTCTTCAAAGGTAACAAATTATCAGAACTTTTAAATACACATCAAGGAGACACAATCTAACGCGAAGTCATTCGAAACACACAAGATTTTGTCACAAACAATGCAATGACGTCATAAATATTTAATGACGTCACTAAGAAAACAGTTATCAAAAGAATACTAACAAAAATGTGTTATTAAATTTTAGAAAGATTTATACTGATAAGAATAGTAGACTCTAGTTTACACCAATATTGGTATTTGGTGTAAGTAATGATATATTCTTGTTTGAAACGACAATCTATTTAGTTGGCAACAAATTGTCACTGATAATTGTTTTCTGTACTGTGTTTACATTTAGGTCACAATTGCAAGGTGCCCGATTCATCCGCCAGAAAATACCAAGTTTTAGTGTATCGATATGGTTACAACATCAGCAACATGTATATTATAACTCATAATAAGTAATACTGACGTAGTCACAATTGTGTTTGTAGAGTGTAACCTCCGTTAATATGCTTTAAACGGGGAACTATATCGTTACGCGGATATGACCTCAAAGGTGTGATGCGGTAGGTGACATGTCTCTCGTTTTTCCCGCCACACGAATGTGAGTAGCGGTATCATACGCTAGTGATCGGCTAGCCATTGTCAGCCGCGATCACTGAGAACGGCGCAGATTCCTCGTCCAAGATGGGCTTGTCCGACGAGGGAGAGGCCAATGTGCAACAACGATATGAAGAACTATGTTTGGACTTAAATATGGACAAAACTGCTGAGGGCGAGGCGTGGGAATCGTACCAAAGGATACAGCTAAATTATACTCTTGAAGTATGGGCTCTATCGTTCGGCCATGTTGAGTTTAAATGACCGGTATTCGTAGCTTCCGTCGTTCTCGGTTTGATCGGAGTACTGTTATAAATGATCTGATTGCGGTTATAATTAGTGCATAATTCCACTCCATTACAAATTTATGACTTACATTTTTTTTGCATCGTGTTGTGTCCTAGAAACTTGCACAGATCACCCATTGTTTTGGTCGTATCGATGTTTGTATACATACTATTTATGATCACGGGTGTCAGCCGCGAAAATAACCCGAATCTAATTAAGTCAGATTTGATTGTAGATAAAATGTTTGTTATTTAACAGGGTGACCAGCTCCATTGGTTGGCATGTGCTTTATACGAAGCATGTCGTCGTACAGTGGTTCCCACTGTAGGCCGGGGGCAAGTAGAAGGCAACTGCGTATCGCTGACAAGGTTGCTGCGATCAGCAAAATTCAGGTAATTAAAAAATTACAAATATTCTCATGACAGCAAGCAATATTATTTCGATCGCATGAAATGTCTATATTAATCGTCCGCCGGCAAGGCAACACGGAAGTGAAAGAAACATCTCGGGGAAAGACAAACATGAAATTGATGGTATTCTGATTCTTGTCAATAAGCTTGTCCATTTCTGTTCTTTTCAGCTTGATCCAGTTTTTTAACAAAATGAAAAAATGGTCGGATATGGCAAGTCTGCCCCAGGAGTTTAGGAATAAAGTTGACCGGCTTGAGAGAAATTTTGCAGTGTCAACGGTGATATTCAAGAAATTCGAGCCCATTTTCTTGGATATCTTTGAAGCACCGAGTGAAATATCACGACAACAGAGGAGCAGAAAACCGCGGTATGTAATTTTGGCACTAGATAATATATTAGTACGTATATACTTGTAGCTTGATCGTATATATAATATACTAGCTTCAATGCTCATCCCCATCATCAAAGGTCAAGGTCACATAAGAGAGAGTTTTGTTGCTGAGGGGAACTCGGATAACTGGGCTATATTTAGATTCCCTCAAGCCAAGAGACTCTGCATTTGCATATGCAAATGAAAATGAAAACTGTATGAAATTATATTGGGCTTGATGCAATGGTTTTACTGTTAACTTAATATTCATTTGTGATAAATAGTGTGAAGACAATTCTGAAAACAGAATTCAATCATATTTAAAAAATATATCCTTTTTCCTTTTAAATAACATCCTATTCATTCAGACGCTATTTTCAGTAATGACGTATTTAATCAGAAATTTGATAATTAATTATTATGTTAAGTTACGTTCTTAAGTGACCTGATGAAGGATGCCGTAGTATTCTATAGCAGTTCACTCGCATTTAGTTTTTGTTGTCATTCTTCCCTTTGCTCATTTGTTGATTGTGCCTTTTTTAATCATCACATTAATATATTATTACAGATGCTTTTCTAATTGTTGTGATAATTTCCAGAAAATCTAGTCATAGCAAGTCCCGTGTATCTTCATCTGAACGGAACAGGTACCCTCTCCATCCCAACCCCTCACCCCTTGTATGTTGGCGTTCTAGCACTGACACCAGTTGAGCTAACACATGATTTAATGAAATTTTGTAGATGTAGACGCTGCACTTGTTAACATTGAGGTATTTCTGTAGTTATGTAGTTTCTCTGCTGCAGTTTAACATAGATAACACTGCACCCTTTTTTCACACCTGATTTCAATCTAAATGTCTAACATGAAGCTTTTGTTCATCTTTGTCCAACTGTCACAGGAGATATTAATTGGGAAAGATAGGGCAGTTGGACAGCCTTGATGAGAAGTTTATGCCTTCACTTGTCATTAAGAGGACATGGGTTCGATTCCCCCACAGGGTACAGCTTGTGAAGGCTGTTATTGATGTCCCCACAGGAATATATATGCCTGGTATAGTGGCAACAGTAACAGCATACAGCGCATTGACTTCTTTGGGGCAGTCGAGTAGCCTAGTCGTTAAAGCGTTCACCCGTCACACCGAAGACCCGGGTTCGATTCCCAAAATAGGAACAATATGTGAAGCCCATTTCTGGTGACACCCACCATGATATTGCTGGAATATTGCTAAAAGCATCGTAAAACTACACTCACTCATTGACTTCTGCAAGGTGGATATATCTAGGCATGCTTGGGTGCCTTTATTTGGCAATAGGTCTGTCGTAAATGTCAGTAATAATTCCCAAATAGGAAATATAAATTTCCCAAATTTTGTTATGTAGTTACAACTTATGTTATGGCTTTGTAGAAGGGACTTGTAACTTGGTGACCAGTTGCTGGTCGAAATAATTCTTTTCCCAAATTGTCCGCCAATGGCATTTAATAGTTTCAATCCTGGTTGTTAGTAGCTAGACATTGCTGATGCAGCTATTGGCATATTTAACTCTCTCATCCGACGTGGAAGACCTACCTGGGGTTAATCTGATACCTAGACCAGGGCTCTCCACAAATATAGACTTATTACAGTTGTACAGCTACAACAGCTTTGTAGAACAGGGCCCATGTCTGTGTATCTGTCTATTACCCGATGTAAAGTAAATAGAAGAGACTGTTGATTGTGTGGTCACTCTTTAGTACTGAGCAGGGTTTTACCTTGACTTACAAAAGTGGGGGTCAATGGGACCCCCAATAATTAATTTTAAGGGTCCTTGCAGGCAATATGAGGGTCCAGTAGAGTAATGAAATGGTGTAGTGTACCGTACATTTAGATAAATACTTTGGAGTCTGGAATGAATCCGTGATCATGTAGACATGTTTGATGTTTGACATAACAGACACCCTTAACTGCTCTCGATGCGCTGCAGGTTCAATGAATATTATTGTGTCTCTCCTGGGACACATATTTATTTCTGCATCAATTCTCTACATTTTGTGCATACTTGACTGAGTACCCTGACTAAAAATGGATATATGTTTCATGGCTGGTAACCTATAAATACACCATAGTTCAATTATGCTATTTTATTTCTAAGCGTCAAATGATTTACTTCTTTTATGAAGGACATTTTGAAATAAATCTCTATTGTCTAACAGGATCTCTCCTTGCCCTATGGGTGTTATGGGTGAGAAGAGATCCCCAATTTTGTGCTTGCAAGAGGAGATAAATGTCAGGTGTCCCATTCTTTTGTTTGGCTGAAACTGGACCCTGGTGGTGTGGATCGTTACTCCTGCTTTCTGTCACTGGTTAGTCTGGTCTGGTGATTTATCTGGACGGTTGCTGACCTTGGCATTAAGCAGTGATCACTCACTTCTTGATCAAGTAATAGATCTGCATGATTTACCAACTAGACCCTGATGAATTGGGAACCCCACTTTAACAACTGTTGCCTCACTGAATGAATTTGTGTGTTGCCTGTCGATCGCTAGTTCAAACCTGGGCACATATTGCTGTCTTGATGCAGTGAGAATGACTACCAGCGACCCCCATTCCACTACAGGGTTTGAAATAGCCCCCCTGGTATCCATTTGTCAGTAATAATATCTAAGACAGTTTATTAATAATTCACCTGTCCTGACTCTCATGCTGTCTTTCCATCCCATTAAACTCAAGTAGACATAATTACTTTATCTTAGTTAAGACCCCTCGGGGATTCTGTTTCAGAATATGTCCCCACCGGCTTTAGAATATGTATTTTTAAGACTACTCGAGAGGACTAGTGTCTATATTTCACTCGTCCTCATAGTTTGTATCAAGCCCGGCCAGAACAAGACAAAAAAGTTGACTGTGTACACTTTTTTGTCCCACTTATTTAGTTTCAGTTTGTCTCAAAATTGGAACACCATTAACGTTAATGATTTTTACTTGTCCTCAGCACAATTTAGTAGTCACGGGCTAGCAGACTTTCATGAATTATGAATGCAGTTGTCATAGCTGGAATATTGCTGAGAACGACGTTAAATAACAATGAATCTATTTGTGTCAGAATAGGTCCCCAGTGCCAAATGCTTTAAGCCATACTTTTTTAATCTTATGTTTCATGGATTTATTCCAGCTTTGCCACACAAAGTCGGTCGAAATAAAAATGTCAATTATTTATTTATTTATGAAAATCATTCTGCTGTGGAGTTGCAGATGGCCTCTTGAATCATGGATAGTGATGTACACAAGGAATTTATATATGACATTTTATATTGTAAAAGAGGGACTATATTAGTAGAGGGAGACATGATAAAAGGAAATGTTTTTATGTTGAATTTATTTCTTAGACCGACTGCTTTTCATTGGGGCTACTGGCCAGTGAAACGAAAAATAATGTGTGGCCTCACAAGAAGCAGCTTAACTGAGAATCGGGTGGCCACAATGTGCAACTCTGTTTCATTGTATACTCTGTTGGGATTTTGTGCTTTCAACACTTGTCTGGCCAAGTGTCTGTGATATAGTTGTCATTATGATGATGTTGCTGGATTAACTCTTACTTAGCAAGGGGGGCACGGGTGGCCCAGTCGTCTAAGGTGCCGCGTTTCGCTGTGCAGAGTTGCGTCCCATGGACACGCCAGAAACCTGTGATTGTGGGTTCGAATCCCGGTTCGCCCAGATTATGTTTCTAGGTTTGTCAGCACCATACCCGTGCTCATGGGTTTCACTGAAGTGGTAAACGTCTGAGACCTACATCACTTCGGGCTTTCCTCCCACATCAAGCTGACACGCGGTGTTATAACTGGAATACTGTTAAAAGCGGCGTTAAACCCAACTCACTCACTTATTTAGCATTTAGTTGAATGAATGTAATTGTCATATTCTTAGATCACCACTTAAGTACTTGTTGTCAAAGCAACTGGTTATTAATCAGGTTTGAAGGGTAGTACTTTTGGCCAGTTAAGGGTTTTCTAGTTGCTTGCAATGTTGGGTATGTTTCCTAGTTACCTCCTGTGGTCTAGTGGATAGTGTCTGCCTTGAGTGCGGAAGGTTCAATCCCCTTCAGCATCATACCAAACGACGGTAGATGGTATTTGTTGTTACCCTGACTGGCACACAGCATTAAAGGGACAAAACAAGGACTCGAGTGGTTGGCTCAAAGTGAGGTGTGAACAACAAACAAACTTGAGTGTCTGGTAACCCGGGAATACAAACATGACAAACATGGTGTATAGTGTTTCTATATTATTACCAAGAGTGACATGAGTTATTGGGCAAGTTTAGAAAGACATTGAAATAAACCTCTTTTGTCAAATGAGATCTATCCCCAGCACTGAAGGGAATTGGAGTCCCAAGAGATCACCAGATTTACATTTTATATGTTCTGTACATTTTTATACATACAGTTCAGTGGAATCTGTCTAATTCAGACATGGTTGGTACAGGTTAAAAGTCTGATTTACAGCGAGGTAGGGTACAAAAAGACAGTTAAAAAGCAACTATCATTCATCTTTGTTTGCTGCTGCTGCTGGTAGTCTTTCCTACGTTTAATAATAGTCGGCTCACTGATGCAATACTTCTCGGCTAAATCTTTCTGCTTCCTTTTTTTGCAGTGACTTTATTTCCTTAATTAAAGTAACTTTCTCAGCAAGAAAAAGTTTGATACGCCAGTAGCTCAGCCATTGTGCTTGATAATGACAAGCTGAGTTTACCACTATTTATTGCCACGCTCATGGCTTTAAGTTAGTCTAATGGAGTTTCTCATTTACAGGTAGATTTCTAATTAACTAAGCAGACAGCAAAGTGTGAAGATCAATAGGACTACATGCAGGATTATACCTGTTTAGATTCTGGTTAGAAAGGGTCTTCAGCAACCCATACTTGCTGTAAAGGCGACTATGCTTGTCATAAGAGACAAATAACAGGATCAGGTGGTCAGACTCGCTGACTTGGTTCATACGTGTCATCGTATCCCAATTACGTGGATCGATGCTCATGATGTCAATCACTGGATTGTCTGGTCCAGACTCTATTTCTTTACAGACCCCTGTCATATGACTGGAATATTGCTGAGTGAGGCTTTAAACAAAAACAAAAAACAGGCAGGATCAGCATTGTTTGTTTTAGCTGACAATGACTGAGCCCACTTCCAAGTGAGAGAATATCGAGTCTGGTGTGGTCCAGTCTGCTTCTTTTCAATTTGTAAATTGGCTGGATCTTGATTTTAGGAGAGTTGTAGGTCAGTTTGAGTAATGATAACTTATTAAGGAACTGAGGGGACATGGGGGGAGGGGGGGGGAGTCTGGAGTGCACCGAATTCCTATTTTGTCAGATTCCACCGTATTGCAACAATTCACTGAATGTTTAATGTATGGATATACTGTTAGCCGTGATACGAGAATTGGTATCGAAATGACTTAATATAACTAGTGATCTAGTCCACAGCTCATTTAGAACAATGCTTTTGTGATTCTGGTTTTCTTGAGACGGCCGATTTGAATTGTGTGGTGACTTGATTGATTGCATGTCTTTGTATCTAATTTAGGTATCAATGCTCATTAAAATTGCACTAAATTGTGTAGTAGAGGCCGGATTATCAACATGTCACCATCATATTGCTAGACTATATTGAGTATTGCATTCAACAAAGAACTGCTTGCAGTTCAGGGGGAGCCTGCGGTATTTTAATCCTGGGACCCCCTAAATCTTGAGACCCGTGAAGATTCCGGGGTAGAATAGGTCTTCAGCAACCCATGCTTGCCGTAAAAGGTGAATATGCTTGTCGTAAAAGGTGACTAACGGGAACGAATGGTCAGGCTCGCTGACTTGGTTGATGCATGTCATCGTATCCCAATTACGTGGATCGATGCTCATGATGTCAATCACTGGATTGTCTGGTCCAGACTCGATTTCTTTACAGACCCCTGTCATATAGCTGGAATATTGCTGAGTGTGGCGTTAAACAACAAACCAACCAACGAAATCTTGAACTTTTAACAACAAAGCAAACACATCCTCCCTATTTGCAACAGTTTGTTTAGGAAAAGTTTCTTGTCCCCACATGCATGAAGAGTAATGGTGCTCAACTGAATACGCCAACACTGCCTCTAGCCCATTAGTCCAAGAGCAGTAAACATGTAGATGGGCATTTTGGTTTCTCCAAAAATGTTGTTATTTTACGTTAACTATTTCAGAGATAGAAGCATTGTTTTATCAAGTATGCCAGGGCACTGATAAGATGTTTGTGTGTTCCAACACGAAGAATACTTTTAAGCGAAAAAAAGAAATCCATTAATTGACACTCTGTTCATACATTTATTATATCCTATGTGTTTGTGCACTTCACTGTCGCAAAGTACATTTCTCACTGGCTTCATAACAAGAAAGTCACATGGTACTTTTGTTTAATCTCTAAGTGTGCCTTTAAGGCACCTGAACCTACTGTTAGCTGTGCCATTATGATCTAAACTCTGCCATTGACACTTTAAAACAAAGAATTTTGAAGTCCGGGCTTGTCTGAAAGACAAGTGGGGTATTACCAGTGGTGTCGACATCTGTAGTTCTAATTTCGCTTTGTGCAAGTGGGTCCAGGTCTGAAAGGGCTGGAAAAATGTACTAAACTCTCAGTTTCAACAACGTGAACTCTCCAAATTGATAGGGTTAGTCGGGGTTGAATAGGTCTTCAGCAACCCATGCTTGCCGTAAAAGGTGACTCTGCTTGTCGTAAAAGGCGACTAATGGGATCGGGTGGTCAGACTCGCTGACTTGGTTGATGCATGTCATCGATCCCAATTACGTGAATCGATGCTCATGATATTTATCACTGGATTGTCTGGTCCAGACTCGATTATTTACAGACTGCCATCATATAGCTGGAATGTTGCTGAGTGCGGCGTTAAACAACAAACGAACAAACAAAATGATAGGGTTAGTATTATCTTGTATATGGATGCTCCTCAGGTTAGATGTTTCACTGGAATATGTATGTACCAACTGATATAGAACTGTTGTTTTGTCTTCTTGCAGCCGCCTGCCCTGCACACCCGCAGATGTTTTCAACTTCGCATGGACAATGTTTGTTCAAGTGAAAGGTGAGTTGAATCATGTTGTTTATGGAAACAGTGTCAGTAATGACAAATGATGGGTTTTGTATTGCCTTTTTAAAAGTTAGCACCCGTGAAGATCCGGGTTAGAATTGGTCTTCAGCAACCCATGCTTGTCATAAGAGGCAACTGACAGGAATGGGTGGTCAGGCTCGCTGACTTGGTTGATGCATGTCATCATATCCCAATTGAGTGGATTGATGCTCATGATGTGAATCACGTGATTGTCAGGTTCAGACTTGATAATTTACAGACCTCCGCCAAATAGCTTGAATATTGCTGAGTGCTGTGTTAAACAACAAACAAAATTGTGCTATTTACTCTTGTCCTCGACCCAATTTACGGTTTTTGTCATTATCTCATGTATTGTTCACACATAAAATATCAGAGCAAATTGTTAACCCACCAGTGGCTTGAAGCATTCAACAACTATCCGGTAGTTTGCTGACGAGTGACAAATCCTGACATGGGTACAATGTGTGAAGCCCATTTCTGGTGTCACCCACCGTGATATTGCTGGAATATTGCTAAAAGAGGCATAAAACCAAACTCACTCACTCTGACTATGTAAAAACACTCTCAGGTCATTTTATCGATCTGCGAGTGAAGACTGAAGACAGGGAACTAATTGCTTGTACACTGATATTACCTTGGAAATCGAACATGGTACTGTTAACATTACTCTCTTTCACATGAAATTACTCTTCGTTTTTGTACCCCTTAAGTACTCTAAACTTTCATTTCAGGATGGCACTTCTGACCATGTGTAATATACAGACCATACACAAATGCATATCATAATTTTGATCCTCATCAGATTGTTTTTGGGATTCCCCAAGTGGGTTCCGCCAAATGTCAGAGTGTTTGGTAAACATCATAATTAAGTAATTTATATTGTAACATTAAGGAAACTTGTTTCAGGAAGTTTCTTAATTTAGCTTTTATCCTAAGAAAACAGCATTGTTGTGACAAAACTTGTGACGATTTTATGCTTGCACAATGTTAGGATTGTTGGGGTCATGCAGGTTTGTAGCTCATTTACCACCGTGGTCTTGTGGTAGAGCGTGCGCCCAGAGAGCTGAAGGCCCGGGGTTCGATCCCCGGCCGCGTCATACCAAAAGACGTTAAAAGATGGTACTTGTTGTTACCCTGTTTGGCGCTCAGCATTAAGGTGCTAAAACAAGGACTGGTCGGCTCGGAGTCAGTATACTATCACAGTGTGTCTGAGTGGGGTATTTATGTTAAACTGCGGCATGGTATCTCTGTGAGCTAGTACTATAAATCGGCATCAGTCCGGACTAGTACAAGCAGCAACACAAACACACACACGTACATGCACGTCGCTATATAAGTGCAATAATCTTGGATGCGACGTTAAACCCCATTTCACCTCACCTTATAGCTCATTTTGTAACAATATAACATCATGGTTAAGACACTATACCTTTTGACTCAATTTCGACCATTGCTCGTATGTGCCATGGACATTAGGTGAGGACTACTTGAGATTTTGGTATACTTTTTCTGAGGTTAGCTGGGGTTTATCAGAACCTGCTCAGAGCCCCGTATTGAGTCACAAGCTTTAGCAATATCATGAATTTGCTTGCCAAAGTACTTAACTTGGAAGAGAAGTCCACGGTAGGCGAGTATGGTTGGCTGATGAGTTGTTGCTTGTTTCTAGGTAACTTTCCAGCCATCAGTGACGACCTGGTCAACTCATACCATCTGCTGGTGTGTTGTGTCGACTGGATCTATGCCAACGCTCTTCTTGGAGGACGCAAAGATTTGCTCAGCCCTGAATTCTCAGGTAGGACGAGAGGAAAATGACCTATTCTTTTTCAGACTCAAGCCAATAAATCAAGTAATAGGTAAATCAGGATCTGTGTGTAATAAACAAATTATTTGTTTTTTGAACAACCTTTGATCTGTAAAACCAAAATTAAACAATGAAATTAGGGATGGGTGGGGGTGCTTTTAGCCTCTAAATTTGTAAAAAAGGCCCATATTAAATACAATGGGACATTTTAACACTTTGCTGTAGTGGCAATTGACGTTCTTAGTGTTTTTATTCTCTCTCTCTCCTCTCTTTCTTTTCTTTCCCCACAGCATATAATGCGCGGATATAGCGATATTCCGAATCCCAATTGTTTTGATAGCTCAATAACTACTTATGTATGTTGACAGACAGATCAGAGAGAAATTCTTCATTAGCAGGCTGATAATTTGTTTTTTCGAATTTGTAGGGGCCGGGGGGGATTTGTCATCTTCTGATGATGTTAGTCCTGACTTTTTTCACTGCCCTGCTGCCATTGCTGTGATGCTGGGTGGCACAGGCATCTAAACTATAGCAATTTGATGTGCAGAGTTGCCTCCCTTAGGAGTGCCAGAACCCTGTGATTGTGGGCTTGAATTGTCCTGATTATATTTCTAGGTTTGTCACTACCAAACATGTGCTAGCGGGTTTCACTTTAGGCTTTCCTCCCACATTAAGCTGACATGCCATGATAATACTGAACGACTGAACAAAGCAGCATTAAGCCAAACTGACTGACTTGATCAGGTTTACCGGACAACTACCACAGTCGAGACTGGAAGCCCCCAGTGGAGGCTCCGTGTATCATCCAGCTGCTGTGTGACAAGCACGATGGCCTCGTGGTGGAGGCCAAGACCATCAAGGAACACTGGTGGAAGCCCCACATCAAGAAGCTGTACGAGAAGCGGGTACGTACATGACCGTCAGCATCTTCCCGAGGCAAGAGCTTCCACTAGCCTTTTTATCAAAGTCTGGTTTCCACCCTTGCCACATCAAGGCCACTTTCCTGTGCTAAATATGATTGGACCATAGCACATATCATTAGTCCAATCAGAGAACATTTCACAAAAATCAAAATCCATACTGGTACACCTTCCTATGAAGGTGATTAACCACTGTCTTTGTTGACACGATTATGCCTTTTTTCATCTTTTAAACCCCACAATGCCTATGTTATTGTGTCGGGGATGAAATCGCGAATGTTTTCATTATGTGATCGACTTGGTCGTTGCCTATGGTAGTCGGGGCACGGGCCGTGATCTACGCGAAATGGCACCAGGGTCAAGCCAAGAAAATGATAAAGGCTAGTGGACACGCTTGCTTCCAGAAGATGGACTGTCAGGGGAGCATGTTTCCCTGACAACCACTTTTAGTAGAGACGATGATCGACTAGCCAAAAATTAGCACAGAACAGCATTTGAAGCAGAATTATTAAGAAAAATGATCACTCAGTAGTAAAATAATATCGACCCGACCGCACCCAAAGGAGTACATATTCAGTGAACTATGGTTATAACGGACACAAAGGTACCACTTATTTTAGTTTGTTATGACCGTAGTTCGTTTTGAGCATATATACAGCATATACAACAAATGGCTGGGACCATGAAGCCAGTTTGTTATATCCGTCAGTTCGTTATAAGCATGTTCGTTTTAAACTTAGTTCACTGTATATTGAATACCCAGAGAAAACTATCAATAACCAATGTGAATGATAACTTATGAATGAATAAATACTTAATGGCTCCCAAAATGATGTGGAGCCCTGATTGTTGTTATCATACACTGGTTTGGTTTTACAATCCAGGCTCCCACGACGGAGCTGGAGTATTTCTGACTCCATTCATTGACTCAATCCAGTATTTGACATAATTGAGGGATCTCCTAAATTTGATGCTTTCAACATTAAGGTATGACAAGGACCCCTTACACTCCTATACTGGATGTTAGCTGTAAACACACTAAGTCTCAAGCTGCTGGTATTTTAATCCTGTTTGTTGCATTTGTTGTAGATTCTGAAAGGGAAAGTGGAAACATTGTCGGCAATTTTGGAGACTGGGAACTTCGAAGTCAATAGGTGAGTTATGCCTGAAGTGGTATTTTTATGTGTGTTTGCTGAATGTGAACATAAACATTGACTTCAGATATTGTTTAATCATGTTATTGTTTTGCCTTGACATGCATCACTCTATTAGTCATGATAATATACTTCTGGAACTCTGGCGGTTGGTCGGGTAGCCTAGTGGTTAAAGGGTTTGCTTGTCATGCCAAAGACCAGGGTTGGATTCCCGACATGGGTACAATGTGTGACGCCTATTTCTGGTGTCCCTGCCGTGATATTGCTGGAATATTACTAAAAGTGGTGTAAAACCATACTCACTCACTCACTCACTCTGGAACTCTGGCTTCTTGTCCCCATTGTCTGTGTCTGTGGCGTGCTTGAAATAGATCCCCAGCACCCAATACTTGGCCACTGCTGACAGGAATACTGCTGACTAATGACATCTGCCGTATCTGTAGGCAGAATACATCCCCTGGACTCCAATGTTGGTGTAAGATAAAATTAGGATGGGGTAAATATGGTCACCAATAAATAATTATCTCGTGCATAGCTCAGTTCAGGGTTAGACACGGACAGTGCGTTAGTCTGAGACCAGTGAACATTCAGAAGGGCTAAATGTTTCTGACCTAAATCTTAAGTGTATTGCATGAACCACTAATCTGAAATGAGCTCCAAACTACCTCTAGAGCTAGTTATTTATTATCCCCCGCCCAACAAAGTTGGCGGGGGATATAGAAACGGGCTCCGTCCATCCGTCACGTTTCGTTTCCGGATAACTCAATATTTTTTCATCAAACTTGGCAGGTCTGTCAGGTACATGCTGAACTGGTGCCTTTTGCTATTGAGAAATTTTAGAAATATTTATTTTTTACAATTTCCATGACAAGTTCCATCTCGGTTAAAAAAGGTTAGGGTTTGTTTAGATTTAATTATGTCATAAATTCTGCAACAGGGGCGGGGGATATAGCCATGTTAGTGGCAAACTCTTGTTTGCTTTTGAAAGGATAATGATTTTAGCTTTCAATTCCGCATTCTGATGATGACTTGCCATGCTAATACAGATACCTGGACACCCAGATGTGCTGGGAAGAAAGGATAAACCATGAGTTGAAGTTTCGCATAACTGAAGAGTGCATTGTTGTGAATAATGATAACTGGATATTTAAAGTGGACTTAGGTTCTGTGAGGGTAGGGTTCGTTTCAGGAGCATAACTCATAAACCGTTCAATATTTTTTCATCAAACTTTGCAGGTCTGTCAGGTTCATGCTGAACTGGTGCCTTTGCTATTGAGAAATTTTAGAAATTTTTATTTATTACGTTTTAATGGCAACAAGGTGGACTTCGGTTCTGTGAGGGTAGGGTTCGTTTCCGGAGCATAACTCATAAACCGTTCAATATTTTTTCATCAAACTTGACAGGTCTGTCAGGTACATGCTGAACTGGTGCCTTTTGCTATTGAGAAATTTTAGAAGTTTTTATTTTTACAATTTTCATGACAAGTTCCACCTCGGTTAAAAAAGGTTAGGGTTTGTTTAGATTTAATTATGTCATAAATTCTGCAACAGGGGCGGGGGATATAGCCACGTTAGTGGCAAACTCTTGTTTAACTTAATTAGGTTTGGGAGAAAATAAGTAGTCCTTTGAGATGTTTACTAATCTCTGCCTAAGGGCGTGCCTTGTAGTGTGTGTTTTCACAATGGAGACTGACTAGGAATAAAACTTAGTTATGCCCGGCCCCAACGAAGTTGGCGGGGGATATAGAAATGTGTGTGTCCCAAAATCGTTTCCGGAGCATAACTCAGAAACCGTTAAATACATTCTTACAAAACTTTGCATGTCTACCAGGCACATACTGAACTGGTGCCTTTTGCTATTTAGGTTTTTTAGAAATTTTCATTTTTTCATTTCCATTGCAACAAGTTGGACTTGGGTTCTATTGGGTAGTGTTTGTTTCTGGAGCATAACTCAAAACCCATTCAATACTTTCTAACAAAACTATGCATGTTTACCAGACACATACTGAACTGCTTTTTGCTATTTCGGAATTTAAGAAATTTTTATTTTTCACATTTCCATTGCAACAAGTTGGACTTGTTAGTGCTGCAATTAGGCCATTTACATAGTTCACAAGAGCTAATGCATTGCACACAACCGGACATGTCATATTGGCGGGGGATATGAGTATTTCATGCTTGTTATCACAGGGAAAGGAAACACTCTGACATTGCCTTACTATTTGTGTGTACCGTGTGTACTGCACTGTACACCTCCTGTACAAATGGGGTTTACTGCTCACTTTAACAGTAAACCAGGTGTTTGTCTTACACCTGGGCATCAACTGCCCCAAGCCTGCAGTAAATGACTGTTACATTTCCGTTCCTCCTATTTATAAACAGTAAAAACATCCAATTTTTTAATATCTCAATTATGAAAAAAAGGCACTTTATGAGGAAACATAGATAAATCCCTGTAAACATGTGTTTCTGTGGTGTAGCTGTTATATTTCTGACAATGTAGAAAACAGGATGTTGGCCATTTAGTTTGTTTGAACACACTCCTTACATTGTAATTGTATATGGCAGGATCTGGGCCAGGTTTTACATTGTATTAACAGTGAGAGGTTCATCATATCTCTTCCAGCAAGTCGATCAATAATGCCTATGAAGAGTATGTGCTGAGTGTCGGGGATTTTGACGAGCGGATCTTTCTCGGGGAGGAGGCAGAGGAGGAGATTGGTACGCCGGGGAAACCTGGGACAGACTTTGCAGAACAGATGGCCAAGAAGAAGTCATTGAGGCAGCATGTGGACCAGGTAAGGACAACCCTGGCCATACATACCGTATTCGACGTAATAAGCGCCCAGGGGGAGCTCTCAAAATTAGAAAAAGGGGGCTCTTATTAGAATATTATTTTGGTGGGAAAAAACAGAGTTGAAAGATAAATTTCGTGGTTTATGCTGACAGCCTGAAATGTTTATCTACGACAGATATATTTTTCCAGAACTTTATTGCCCATAATTAAGGGTGCATATAACACACGAGTGCGTATTATACGCAAATAAATGTCCTGTGTACATTGATCAATCGGAAGGGGTGCTAATTGGGATTGTTCACTAGCCAATATCTTAGCAAACATCGCCGTGGGCATTTATTAGAGCGGGGCCCTTATTGCGTCGAATACGGTACATTCTCTTTACTATTCTCGTTTAATGTACTTACTGTGCTCTGATCTCACAAACGGCACTGTACTGACTCTACATTCCAACCATGATATACTAGACAATCTGCATAAGCTGGTGGTTGAACAGTTTCTGTTAATATTTTGTTAATAACATGTTTTTCCACCGATATAACTTGTTATAAATGTATTATATGTACAGTCGTGCCTCGTTTATACGGACACATGCGTCATTTCACAATTCGTCCGTATAAACGAATTTCCGTATAACTGAAACCAGCTTCTTACTGGAAGAGTTACTTCCCTTCAATTATGTGACTCATGACAGATGACCGAGCAAACAGATACATCCACTCAATCTTTATTCAAGACATACACGTTTAAAAAACTCTGTCTCTGCCCTCCACAGACTCCATATTTATCGAATGGGATTACATGTACAATAAACAAGCTCGTCTCAAACGTAACTTAATTGACTTCTCACGAATCAAAGGATTACCACCAGCGGAAGTGTATTGTCCGGGTAAGTGAGACAATTTTGTGTGCATTTCAGTGTTTTGTGTATGAAAATGACCATCCGGTTCCGGAAACTGAATTTCCGTATATACGGGTAAATTTATATACTAGTAATTATTTCGTTTTGAATTAAAATCGTCCGGGAACCCAGGTTTCCGGATATCTGAAGTCTGTATAAGCGGGGCATGACTGTATCGTGATGCAGGAGTTGTAAATTGATTTATCGTGGGCCTTGTATCACGATACAATGCTGTATCCCCGTATCATTTTACCACTAGTTATTAATCACCTTGGCAACCAGTGACTAGGTAGACAAGCCAAAGGATCCCTAAGTTTATGCACGGAACATTAAGTTTGTTCAGTGTTTCTCCCATGAGGATTTTGGGTTGTCATTGGTCCCCAGCAGCCTATGCTTGTTGAACAGATCGACTTAATGGATTGGCTTTTCAGGCATAGTGACTTGTTTATCGTGTGTCAATGTACACAGATTGCGTGGATCATTGCTCATAATATCAATCACTGTTTTTACTGGCCAAGACTTATTTGCATGCTTCTGTCATATAGCTGGAATATTTGCAGAGTAGCGCTAAACAAGAAACAAACTAATAATTCAGTATTGGCCATGTTTACAAGATGACAAAGGGCAGCCTGGTGGTTTAAGTGTTTCCCCATCACGTCGAAGACCCATGTTCAATTCCCCACATGGGTACAATGTGTGGAGCCATTTCTAGTGTCCCCTGCCGTGATATTGCTGGTGTAAAACCATACTCACACTTTCACTTATTCATTAATAGCACTGGTAGTGCTAATCTGCAAGTTGAATTTTCTTTTTTTTTAGACCACCTACATTAAGTTTTAAAACAGTTTTGTGTGATGTGACCGATGAAAACAAAAGTCCCTATGGTCCAGTCTCAGTAATGAACTAGCTTGAGGTTACCATACAATAGGCTGCCGTAGTTTCAACTCTGGTGCATTTAAGTTTCCATGACTGATTGTTAATCATTATCCAGTTGATGACAATTGTCCTGTTTTTCAATGTGTCAACGCCATTAACAACAAGTTTTTCTGAAAACAAACAACACAATACTGTTTTATTAGCAGTAGTGGTTGATTTGTGTTATGCAGGAATTAGGCTGTGCACAACTTAAAACAGGATCGGGTGGTCAGGCTCGCTGACTTGGTTGATGCATGTCATCTATCCCAATTGGGTGAATCGATGCTCATGGTGTCAATCACTGGATTGTCTGATCTAGACTTGATTACTTAGAGACTGCCGTCATATAGCTGGAATATTGCTGAGTGCGGTGTTAAACAACAAACAAACAAACAATTTAACAGTTTTCTTGTTTTGTGGTAGACACGAAGTTTGGCGCCGTCCACCCCACTGACTGGGAGATATTACCTGAAGGACAAGGACCCAAGTGTCACACCAGTTTCCACGGCAACACAGAGCGTTAGCCGCCTACAAGCTCTTCTGTCTGGGAGAAGGACCTCTCCCAGTGATACTCTCCTGGAAGTATTCGGGTAAGTAGTAACATGTCAACTTTAGAAACTTAGGCCACAAGCAGAATATTGTGTTTCTTGTTTCCCTGACAAACTTGATCAGGACCCCTCGCCCCCTTTCCCCCCTGAGTTGCAACACTTTCTTTCCAAATTTTATGCCACTATCACAAATTTGTTGCACTTCACCATCCAGAGATAAGCCAGGAATTTTGAATATGGCAACAAAAACTTTAAAAAACCCAACAAATTTCTACCTGCGTACCCTCTTTTACCATGGGCTGAATTGGAAACACATTTGTGGGGGCGTTGGAAACATAGAGCACATCATTAGCACAATTAGTCTTGTCAATTTGCACTCTCACGATAAGGAGCTGTTAAAGGGTTTGTTTCAACATAATTGCTGCCACCCGATTTTTCTCGTTCAAGGTTAGTGAGGTAAGAGAATATCCTTCCTTTGAAATGGGGGGATGTAGTTATCATCTGCTCCATCCATCCGTCTTTCGTTTCCCAAGTATAACCGCAAAAGATTTTTAAGCGATTTTGTGACATGTATTAACCAGGGGCTAAAGTGGTGTCTATTTCCATGGGAACAAGTTAAACTTAACAGAAACAGAGGTAGGTGTAGTTTCTGGAGCAGAACAGAGTTGGTACATGTATTAATCAGGGGCTGAAGTGGTGCCTTTTGCTATTTACATGTCAATATTTTTTCCTGTTTCCATGGCAACAAGTTTGACTTTGACTCTTTTCATAATGGTTTTTGTCCTGACCATATCTTTAGACACCCTTTTTGAAACTGCACACACAAAGACCAGGTTGTCAACTTGTGCCTTTTGCTATTCAGGGATTTTTAGAATTTATGTTTGTTCTTTTTCCTTGGCAACGAGTTTGATTTTGACTGTCCATAGTGGTGTGAACCTGACATAGCAATACAAAGTTCCAAATCCCAATTCCATTGTATAGTTTTGATAGCTCAATAACTACTCTTGTATACGTATAGACAGACAGAAATAGAAATAGATGTAGAAATTCTCGAATCAAGTTGGACTTGTTCCGATGATTTGTTCTTTCGAATTTATGGGGAGCAGGGGGAATTGTCCTTGTTTGAAAAAGAAATGTTTTAAGGACATTACAACTGACAAGAATGGGAACAAGAATTGCCACAAGTAGCCATCAAAATGCAATTGGTATTTTGGGGAAATTATTTAACGTATGTGTGAGACATTAATACTGTAACCATGGTAACCTTTTTGCTAATTCTTTCCAGAGAGTGCAACAAAGACCCGAAAGATGACATTGTTTCCAGAGTGCAGGATATGGGCGAGATCTTCTGCACACATTATGTACAAGTAAGTGTCCTCAAAGAGGGGAAGAAAGGATTGACATTGTTTGGCAATATGATAAAAATGTTCCGTCTCCCAAATCCATTTGTTTCAAAAGGATATATTAGCTCACCAGGACCGAGATCCAAGTGTGGTGGTGTTGCTAAATATATTCTACTGGTAGTGCATAAAAATACAAGGTTAGCACAAATTAAAAGAGGTTTGAATGTTGCAGGACTTATTAAGGCCTTAAATTTGAATCTGCCTTGAACTTATTGAACATGCTTAAAATTTGCTAAAATGTCTTGAAAAGGCCTTGAATTTGGTTAACTCTTCTGTTAAATACTTGAATACCTTTTTGTAATGTATTCTGATGTAGCAGTATGTCTTTAGACATTGTATTGATTATTAGTTGGTTTTCAAAATGTTCTGCCTAAAATTCAATTCAATGTATGAGAGAGAGAGAGAGAGGTAATTAACTTCAGATTAGTACTGCTTGTAAAAGAATCGCAAAAAAACACATGACACGATACTAAAAGGTAATTATTTAGGTTGGGGGGGGGGGGGGGGGGGAGAGGAGAGGGGGTATAATAAAGGTTTTTATACTTAATTCACCATTTCTTATTATCAGCAGTGATAAAAGCTTGTGTGGTTTTTTAAAAATTTAAACTAATTGTAGAAGAGTCAGGCAAAACAAGTCATTTTATTTTTGTTCTAATTTCAGATTTGTTTTACTGGTCAGTCTTAAAGCTTCTAAAATGATATGACGTTACGGTAATTTCGTGTAAATGAATTCTGTATCCACCAAGGATGGCCTTTATGCTTGTAAGGATAGTTCATGCTTGAATGCTCACATGGCTGTTAAGCTAGATGTAACTGATACTTCGTTGACACTCCTGGCTATCGATAAACAAGACAAGCTGACCTACTTTGCCCCTACAATACAGCTGTTTCATTGTCTGGTTGCCGGTGTAATGGACTTTTTCCTCTCCAGGCTTTGTCTGTTATGCATGATTTATTTCTGTTTATGCTTGCTGAGTAAGCTAATCCAACACTCTTTAACACTGTTTCAAATTATGCATGAGAGTCAAGGTGCCATAACTGTAATGTTAAGATTTTAATATTTAGGGAGTGTTAAGATTCAAGGGTCCAGAATCCCCATTAATTTTGAACACTGGTTTAAATAAAAGAAACCTTAAGTATATCACTAACATGCCATTGAGTAAGATGATTACAGGTAGCAAGTCTTTATTTGGGGAGCATAGCAATTTGAATTTAAAAAAAATAAAAATATGATAATTAAATAAATTTTGGATTAATTGTTTTGTGGATTTTGTGAAAACTTTCTTATTCCCAGGGATCCGATTCACTTGTCTAAACCTGTACAATGACAAAGCTGTCAACAACATGTGAAAAGTAGCATGTCTCTCAGTATATCTGGGACTTCTCATCTGTAACAGGTTGTGGGGTAGTCTAGTGGTTAAAGTGTTCGCTTGTCACACTGAAGACCCGGGTTCGATTCCCAAAGTGGGTACATTTTGTTAAGCCCAGTTCAGGTGTCCCCGCCATGATATTGCTGGAATATTGCTAAAAGAGGCGTAAAACCATACTCACTCACTCCCACATGAGTGCAGTGCTTGAAACCATTTCTCACGCGCTCAACTGTAACAAGCTTAATAAAAAACTTGGCTCTATAGTCCAGTGGTTCAAGGACCAGCTGGTAACATGGACAGTCGTGCCCCCCTAGAAGCTGACACGATGGTATATAACTAGGAAACAGTTCAAAGCGGTGTTGAACCCAACTCGCTCACTCATTGTGAATTTACACCTGACCTTATGATGCAAGAAAGATCTACCCATGTATTGATTCATGTTTTATTTATCTGTTTACAAAAATGCAGCTTTTATTATATACAGTAAACTACTGTTATAACGAACCCAAAGGGATCACTAATTTTAGTTGGTTATAGCCATAGTTCGTTATAAGCATATGTCCAGCATATATACTACAAATGGCCAGGAGCAAAAAATAAATTAGTTTTATCCATCAGTTCATTATAAGCGTGTTGGTTATAAACGTAGTTTAGTGTATAGGCTTGTGTTGGCAATGGAGTAAACCAATCTGATAAACTTTGTGTCAGGATAAAATAAATATGCAAATCAGGTCCCAAGCCGGAACTACTTTCAAGCTTCTTACATTAACGAGATGCCTTCTTACTCAATGAGCTATTGACTAAACATCTCTATCACCTGCATGTCATTAGGCAAAATTCATTATCTGATTGAAGTAGAATCGGCCTATATTAACAAATCATGCGAGTTGGACACAAGCTGGTCGACAGGAGGACCTTGTGTTAACCAAAGCAGATGGAACATGGGGAATTTCAGGCAAGCACCGAGAAAATATGTTACCACCATCTGAGTCATATCGTGACTTGAGTATCATGATATGTATCGATATGTGGTAGACATATCGTGACATATTTTGAACGGAGCTTGACTTTACCTTCTGTTGCAGCCTTCCGAGGGTCATCCTGGCGCCCACATTGACTTCGCCCGACGTCGCCTTCAGTTGGGGGAGAGCCTCTACTTCAAGATGTTGGAGAACATTGTGCAGGGGGAAAAGAAACGGATCGGCAAAGACCAGAAAACAAACCCAGCTGTGAGTTTATTATCCTTGTAGTCCATCACCCAATTGAAATTTCAGTTAAGGTAGTTCCCCAGGTCCCTGTTCTGTCATAAGGCCTTACTGAAGGGGACGGGGTGGTCAGGCTCTGTGACTTGACTTATTGCATGAAGGAATGCCCCCATGGCTTTGATTGTTGCACATGATCTCAGGTTTGCCTGATCCAAACTCACTTATTTAGAGTCTGCTGTGATATGCCTGGATTATTGCTGACTGTGGTGGTACACAGCATTCACTCGCTCAGTTCCCAACCACCCCATTCAAATTTACTTGTCGAAAGAGTGAGACGTGAGGTTTGGTGTCTGAAGTCTGAACTGGTTGATTGTGTTATTAGTGTGACCACTGATTATTTACAGGTCTCTGTGCTATGAATAATATGTCTGACAGTTTGCAACTTCAATCATTCTATCACTTCCTGAGTCCTTGATGTATTTGTGGCATGGGTGGTCCAGTCATACAGTGCTGCAAGTGGCGTTCCTTGGTCATGTCCGGATACTATGCTCAAAGTGTAGTTGCCTTGAGAGGTGCATCACTTCAGGAATCCCCTCCCACATGACGATGACACAACGTTATGTACTGATACAGATATTTCACGTACAGTTAGTTGAGGAAATTATGGTTGTCTAAACTTATCTTGGTACTGCAAGAAGCAGAGCTATAGACAGTGATAGCTAAGCTTTTGGTTATTTGGGTATTTTACCCAGGGGTTTGATTTTGATTGGGTATCCACAATTTTTAGAGGGTAGTCAAATACTTTTTACCCACCTGTTTCTTGGCATGTTTTGTAGCATTCCCTGAAAATCATTTCAAACTATGTGAATAGTAGTATACCGTCTACGTCTGCTTGCGGCTCCCAGTCTGGGAAGCCGTTTTTGTTTGCAAAACCTAACATTGTAAGAAAGGTGCTATTGTTTTAATCACTTTTGTGGAAGTCTATTGCAGAGCAGTGTGTAAACTGCAGACTGATACATGTACGTGAAGTTTAGAAAGCGACCTCGACTGTTGCAGACATCTGTGCAAGGTTTACTGGAGCACCCCATGTTCCACCGGTCGCTGCTGGCCTGCTGTCTGGAGATTGTCATCTTTTCCTACAACTCACAACGGTCAGTTTACAATATTCCTGACCCGTGAAGATTCCGGGGTAGAATAGGTCTTCAGCAACCCATGCTTGCCATAAAAGGTGACTATGCTTGTCGTAAAAGGCGACTAACGGGATCGGGTGGTCAGACTTGCTGACTTGGTTGATGCATGTCCTCGTATCCCAATTGTGTGGATTGATGCTCATGATATGAATCACTGGATTGTCTGGTCCAGACTTGATTATTTACAGGTCGCTGTCATATAGCTGGAATATTGCTGAGTGCGGCATTAAACAACAAACACACCAAAACCAAAAAGATATTTAATATTTAAAAATAGTCTGCATGTACAATGAGTGTCAAACACTTCAGCACCCAATATATTACAATACAGATACCTATATCACAATATATGGCAATACATTTTTTTTTACCAATGCACAGACCATGTATTCATCAATACATTTATTTCAATTCATAGCCAATAATTCATAATAATCAAGACAATGTATGTCCCAAATTGATCCAGTTTACCAGATTTTTCTGTGCTAAAATTTTCTGTCAAAAACTATGTTCGAGGGCAATGGGGAAGGACTTCCTGAAATTGTACAAGAGCAGTCTTTCGTAAACTCTCTGAGTCAGTTCAACTAATGCTATTGTCTATTCTATCTGCATAACAACTGTGCTAATTACTAGTTGAAAATCCAGCGTTGAGCAAACATTAGGCTGACGAGAAGAATATAAATAATGAATGTTTATTTGTTGATAATTTCTTTTTCATTTTGTTAATAGAACGTTTCCTTGGATTGTTGATGTGTTTGAGATGAGCTCCTATCACCTCTATAAAGTCATCGAGATTTGCATCCGGGCTGAGGAAGGACTTTCACGGGATGTCGTCAAGCATCTCAATCATGTATGTACAGCTCTTAATTATTAAAGCAATACTATTTTTTATGCCTTTTAATTTAATTTAAGGTTTAAGTTTAAGAAAAGTCAGTTAGTTGTGTCAAATAAAGTAGTTAAAATTTTGGCTGCCGGCACCTAATTAAAAAAGAAAAACCCTCTCTGGTACACAGGGGGCGGTTGGGTAGCTTAGTGGTTAGGTCGTTCTCTCATCTCTCATGCTGAAGACCCAGGTTCAATTCACGACTTGGGTACAATGTGCGAAGCTAATATAGGTGTCCCCTGCTGTGATATTGCTGAAATATTGCTAAAAGCGGGTAAAACCATACTCACTCTCACTCACTCACTCTGGTACACAGAAAGAAGTGGGGGTTTAAGCATGGACTGGTTTTTGAATTTTTCGCTATCCAAGTAAATATAACAGTCCCAGCCTTGTCAGAATTGCAGTCATAGCAGAATAAGCAAGAGTTGATGACAATGAGAAGTTTGTATGTACTATGTATCTGATTGTTGTGTTAAAATACTGAGGGCACTCACTGACCGTCGTACTACTTCAGATCGAGGAGACAATACTGGAGTCGCTGGCATGGAAGCGAGACTCCCCTCTGTGGGACGCCATCCAGGAGCACAGTGAGGACATCCCGATGTGTGAGGAGGTGAGGCTTTCAGTGGGTACCAGTCACATGACAAGCACACGCCACGCCACGCCACGCCACGACACTACACTACACTACACTACACGCCACGCCACGCCACGCCACGCCACGCCACGCCACCACAACACAACACAACACAACACAACACAACACAACACATGACACCACACCACACCACACCACACCACACCACACCACACCACACCACACCACACCACACCACACCACACCACACCACACCACACCACACCACACCACACCACACCACACCAAGAATTGTCCTGTTGTCACCGAGTACTGTGTATGCGGTAAAAACATATGGCTTTTGGCATATTTTGAGTTTGATCAAGCTATGACCTTTGACCTTCACATATCCCTATTTGTCTAGTGCTACTGTATTGTTGACATCTCTGTAACGAGGTCTGTAGAACCAACGCATTTGTATAAAGGATCCCAGCTATAGCATGGCCACCAATACTTTTTCCTAATTCTGGTGAGCTACAGAGACTTGTGACTTTATTTTTCTGGTAGCAGGGCAGATTTCTTTTGTTCAGCTATTATCAATTGAAACATGTTCTGTATGGTTCCTTGAATACTTAAATAACCCAATTGTATGTCGTAACAGTGCAGGAATGATGGATTGTTCTGTTGAATAATTCTTCAGTAAGTCTGTTTTCTGTTTGTGTGGTATTGAGTTGATTGTGCCGTGATGTATTTACAGGTAACTCCTGCCAATCAGATTGACAACAACTCCAACATAACGTCCTCCCCGCTCACACATCCCAGAGTGAAGTCTCTTGTGGGAGAAGGTAGAAACACACAGAGAACAATCAAAGGTAGGTGACTTGGATGGCTTGCCAGTGTAACATGAAACTCTGGAAGAGGTTGCATAATGAGGCCAGGCAAATTCAGATTCTAGACTTACAGACAAGCCTAGCCTAAGACCCGTGAAGATCCGGGGTAGAATAGGTCTTCAGCATCCAATACTTGCCGCAAAAGACGACTCTGCTTGTTGTAAGAGGCGACTAACAGGATCGGGTGGTCAGGCTCGCTGACTCGGTTGATGCTTGCAAAGTTAGAGCCATGACCAAAGATATGTATCTTTACCTGAATATTTTTCTCATCATGTTTGCCTAATTGCTTTACATATGAAAATTGTCATAGGTATCCTGCTTTAACACAAGATTGTGCAAATTTAAGGAGTATGCAAATATTTGAAAATGTTTAATAGTTCATTTCACACTGCACTGTCATGTGTCGCCATAGCTGAGGTTGACACTTGGACGTTCTCAAATCAAGCGATGCGGGTTCAAACCCCACCGAGCCCACCGAATCAAAAGTTAAAATCATTCTCTTGTATATATGTAAAAAAAAATAGTTCCGCCTATAACTAGTTTAAATTAATTGAAATTTTGGTTCAAGATAATGTATAATTGACAAACAACTGTCCATTCCTGAAAAATAATGGAGCATTTAAACTATAGAATGACGTCACAAATGCGTTTTAATACCCCCTCTTGCTTCTTGGCATTTGACCTAGAAAGTCTATACAACAAACAAGACAAGAAATTGGTGTTCTCGTATGATGCTTTGGAAACATTGTTTGTCTACATTTGCCAAAACATGCTTGTGTTTGTTCAGTTGTGGAACCCCTCCAGTCCCCCCCAGGGCCATCAGCTGTAGACCGCTTCTCGTCCCCCCAGCCTGGCAGCGTCAAGCGCCAGCTGTTCGGGCCAGCTGCCCAGCAGCTCTCCACACACGCAGCAACACACACGGAGTTGGTGAAGCAGCTCAACAGTGGCGTTACGGACACCGTGGTGACGCAGACCGACTCCAACACCCTCTCCACGGGGCAGACCCTCATAGCCGTCACCAGCGATGGGAGACAGGTTAGTGGTCACCACGGTAACAATAGGATGCAATATGTAGCACTACATTGTACAATAGTCTCAAAGGTTTGGTCAGACCTTGAATTTGACAGACTTTGTTTGAGATGAGATTCTAGCTCTCCGAATGCTTGTCATCTTACCTGGATGACAGGAATTGTTGGTTTATGTTTTCAGTCACCGGTTTCCCTGTTCCAGTGATAAAACTGGAACATTGCTGACTAAGTGTTAATGCTCTTGCTCATCACTGTTCTTCATGTCATACATATATGATACAGATTTGACATGCTGATGTTTTTAAGATCATAGTACATTTCAAGTTATTGTGGCGTGTCTATAAACTGTTTCATAAATCAATGCCATTCATTCAAGAGACTTTCAGTTTATAACTCAAAAGCTGTTTTTAATATCGATAAATGAACTAATTTTCTCCAGCTGCTACAGTTACCCTGTTCTGTGTTGCAGGTGCTCATCCCGGTACAGACCCTGGTGTCCACCAGTCCCAGCAAACAGATCCCACCCTCCCCCAGCAAGTCCAACAAACCCAAGAAAACTGGCTCTCTGCCGCTGTTCTTTAGAAAGGTGAGCTTTACCCCAGTTCCGTTATACCAAATGACGATAAATGATGGCACTTGTTGTTACCTGCCTGGTGCTTGGCATTAAGGGGATGAACAATGTCTGAGTGTGGTATTTATGTTAAAACTGCGACATGGTATCTCAATGTGCTAGCACTTTTAAGCTGGCATTGTCCCGAATATTATAAGCAGCGGGGCATGCAAAATTGAGATTCCGGGTCAGAACAGGTCCCTAGCAATAGGTCCCTAAGCTGGTCGTAAGAAGTGACAAATGGATCTGGTATTCAGGATCAGTGACTAGCTTGATTGCGTGTCATTGTACCCAGACATGGATCGTTGATCACAATATCGATCAGTCGATTGTCTGACTCATAATCAATTGTTTACAGACCGCCATCATGCAGCTGAAATATTGCTGATTGCGGTGTTAAACAACAAACTAACTAACACACGCGAGGGACTAATTACAATCAAGGTTTCAAAATTAACATGAAGTCTGCTTGTCATATACTAGTAAATTCAGGAAGGACTAGTGACATTTCCTTGTGGTCTACAATCGTAACTATGAGGTAGTCTGCTGTTCAAACTGACAGTGACATTTACTTGAGGTCTTCTATCTTAACCATGAGGTCTTCTGTTCAAACTGGTTAATTAGCAGCACTTTTTAACGACTAACATCTTGCCCACATTTTAGAATTTGAAGGGTTACATGACCCACACTGATCAAATCCAGATGCAGCAAGGTTTTTATCAAAGATTGAGGGTGCATCTTCTGTCCACAGGTGTATCATTTAGTGAGCGTGCGATTACGTGACCTGTGTGACAGGTTAGAAGTCACAGACGACGACCTGCGACGCAAGATGTGGACGTGTTTTGAACATGTCTTTGTACATAACCTGGACCTTATGAAGGATCGTCATATTGACCAACTGCTTATGTGTGCTATCTACGTTATGGCGAAAGTAAGTCTCCTCAACCTGTGTGACAGTTTCAGTTTCTTTATTCATTCTTGTGACTTTGTGGGGATTCTGGGGTGAATAGGTTCTGGAATCCCACTATCCAGTGCCAACGGTCAAGGATCCGGTGGTTATGATGTGTGACCAGGTTGATAATGTGCTTTATCAAATGGTCAGCTGGGTTGGATTGTTTGTTAGAGGGTTTTAATATTCCTGCCTGGGTCGTAAATTAACATTCACTCACTCTTGAACTGCACACCCTGTAAGGATTCCAGCTTAAAATTAGTCACTAGGAATCTTTGATGTTGTAAGAGGCGACCAAATGGATTGGGTGGTCAAGCTTGTTGAGTGTGTCCTTGCACCCTGACTGGGAGGATCATTCCTCACAATATCAATCACTGGATTGTCTGGTCCAGACATGATTATTAACAAGTTGCCGTCATACGCGAATAAAGGGATCGGGTGGTCAGCCTCGCAGACTTGGTTGATGCATGTGCTCGTATCCCAGTTGTGTGGATCGATGCTCATGATGTCATTCACTGGATTGTCTGGTCCAGACATGATTATTTACAGACCGCCGTCACATAGCTGGAATATTGCTGAGTGCGGCGTTAAACAACAACATGAACTCCTCATGAGATTGGATCGGTGGGGGTTCTAGGTAAGAATATGTCCCAGCAACCTGTGTTTGTTGTACAAGGTGTCCAAGGTGGTCAGGCTGTGTGACTTGATCACATGGATCATTGCTCATTAATATCAATCACTGGTTAGTTCGGTCCTGACTCGTTATTTTGCTGGAATGTTGCCAAGTGTGATGTTAAGCAGGAAACAGACATGTTCATAGTCTCAGGGATTCATCCAGGATTCTTAACTTTGAGTGCGGTAGTTCTTACTGCAAATGCCACCTCAAATTTTGAGATATTTTGAGATTGTATTTGATGATATATTATAAACATAGGATTAAAACCTGTTCCTATTGGTCTTGCTGAAAGTAAACACAGGTTACTGCTACAAAGCCCCAAATGTAGTTATTATATATTAATACAATATAACATGAAAAGGGAAATGTTAGGTTCCAATTGGGAATATTTTTTTTTACATTTGCTGCAGACTTTGGGTCAAATATCGGCCTCTGAGCAGGTCTAGATAAATCCCTGGCTCTACATATTTTCACCGATGTGATCTGTGTCTTCACACAGTTGTCCTGAATACAGGAATACACAGGTAGACATGTGCCAGAAACCTGCTTCTGTAGGTTTGAATCCCATATTTACCCTGAATATGTTTCTAGGTTTGATGGCACCATACCTGTGCCCATGGGATTCACCAAGTGGTAACACCTGCGTCATGTCCGGCTTTCCTTCTACATGCCATGATGTAACAAATAGCAATGCAGAGCCATTTTAATCCAGACTCATAAATAGAAAATATACAGATGTTAAAGAAATGTGTTTTCTTATATTCCATATTTTCCTACAGGTGTGCCAAAAACCGCTAACATTCCAGCAAATCATGAAGTGCTACCGAGTTCAACCACAGGCTCAAAGTCATGTGAGTAGGAGGATGGTTGACAATATTTCCGTGTCTTTAAATCTTAATTCTGAATGTGCCTCTCCTTTTATAGCACTTAACAACATGTCTTTTTATGTACAACCCCAGAGTTCTCATTTTCATTAATTCTGTGGTATTTCAAGATGGCATTCGATGCAGCATTAAGACCCCTTCCTCTTTATTGGTCCTGTAATCAGTGACATTTGCTGCCGACGTATTATTGCCTCTGAGCAGGCCGAGATGAATTTTTGTATGAGATTTGTAGATAACTTTGATGACATCTGGGGTTTGTTATCCATCATCCTTAGACATAACATTCCAGACTTGATTATTTACAGGCTGCCTTGATATTATTTCAATATTGCTGAGTGTGGCATTAAACAACAAACAAATAATCAAATGGACTCCATGTGCAGGTGTATCGCAGTGTGCTGCTGATCGGGCGTCATCGCAATGCGTCTGGGAGCAGCGAGAGCAGCAAGAGTGGTGCAAGCGGCTCGTCCTCCCCGGTCAACAAGGAGGACGAAAAGGACCGAGACAAAAGTAAGGCCATTGAAGCAGAAGAAATGATTCTGAAGTTCGCACCAAATCTCCAAGTGAACACCCCATCAGGAATAGACATGGCCATTAGTCTGTTAGTCTGACCAGTGAAATTCTATACTTACTACTTGATTTCTCCCAAAATGTAGCTATTTTACATAACCACTAGTCCAAAATGAGCTATTGATAGGACATTCTTCTATATCAATATCAGATTTGAAGGGAAAAAACTTGACATTTTGAACGACAATCAGTCAATGCCCTAGAAAAAATCAACAAATCTAAAACCCTATACTGTATCTTGGTTTTATGTTTTGCAGAGAAAACTGAAATGCTTGGATTCATTCGCTCTGACAGTACTCTTCCTGTCCCCCACCCCAACAGTCAGCCCCCCACCCCCACCAAGCTACTCGGGGGTGAGGCAACCTTTGACTTTGAGAGAGGGGACCTGATACAGTTCTACAATGCTGTAAGTGCTCATGTTGGAATAACTTAAATACATGTGAAGTAATTATTTACGAATAAACATACATTATCTTTTTTGTTGCTTAATACTGTATTTGACGTAATAAGCGCCCAGGGCACTCTCAAAATTAGAAATAGGGAGCTCTTATTAGAATATTATTTTGGTGGGGAAAAACAGTTGAAAGATTGTAAATTTCGTGGTTTATGCTTACAGCCTGAAATGTTTACATACGACAGACATATTTTTCCAGAATTCAATTGCCCATAATTAAGGGTGCATATAAGACACGAGTGTGTATTATACACGGATAAATAAGTCTTGTGTATATTGATCAATCGGAAGGGGTGCAAATATCGCCGTGGGCGCTTATTAGAGGGGGGCGCTTATTACATTGAATACGGTAGTTGTAGTATGATGTTAGCTATTGTAGAAAACTACATGATATATTTTTGTATTGTGAGTAAGATCTTGTTCATCTTTGGAAATACTGATAAATTAACCAAATGTGAAGGAAGTTTAGGATAGTTAGCATTCACAAATATCACAGTAAATCTGAACAATCCGACAGTGGATGTGCGTAGTAGGGATGCCCTGATTCCTGATTCATTGCTGGTCTCAGACAATGAGATATGCAAGACACACTTAACTGTATCCATTGATATTGTGAAGATTCCGGTATAGAATAGGTCTTCAACAACCCATGCTTGCCGTAAGAGGTGACTAACGGGATCGGGTGGTCAGGCTCGCTGACTTGGTTGATGCATGTCATCGATCCCAATTGCGTGGATCGATGCTCGTGAAATTAATCACTGGATTGTCTGATCCAGACTTGATAATTTACAGACCGCCATCATAAAGCTGGAATATTGCTGAGTGCGGCGTTAAACAACAAACCAACCAAACCAATAACCCAGTAGTGTTTCACAAATGACTTTGTTGCCCTACCTACATTTTGATAAACGATTTTATCATCATTAATTTAATAATTTAAGACTTAAATCTTTTCTGGTCTTTTTCTCACAGGCCTCGACACTCAAGATTTATCCGAAGTTTATAAGTATTGATTGAAATGAGACTTATCTTTTTTAAATTTGAGACCAGGAAGTTTGACATCTTCTTAATGCCCTATAAAATATAAAAATTCACAAATAATTGGCGTGATCGTGAACAAAGTAACGCGATATGTATCGTACTAGGGGATAGTCGTATCTTGACATCCCTAATGCATTGTGTGAAGAAGGATTAGCTGTTACCTTGTTGTGATGAGTGGTGGTTACAATGAGCTCACTGTCTGATTTGATTATATATTGTATTGTGCTTCATACTCATTTTCAGGTGTTTGTGAAGAGAATAAAGAGTTTTGCACTGAAATTTTCATCAGCAAACGCAACGTCTGTAAGTCACCATTTGCAATTGAGTGTTAGTTTAATATGATTTCAACATTTTCCCTGTTTTAACAAGTTTTTAAAATTAAAAATTATCAGTTCAATAAAATAAGTTGTATCTTTCTGTGGAAATCTTTGATATTACCATTCAAAAGAAGTTAAAGGACACCCAATTCTTTCATATTTCTACAGTTAATATGGCATGCCATTAAGATGTTCTGTCTCTAAATTGAAAAGTATAATAACTGATTTAGTGTCAATTTCATTGTGATCAGTTTTATTTGATGCTGCAGGATGTACCTCCCTTGTCCCCGCTGCCATTGGTACGAAGCCAGCAAGCATCTCCACGCCGCGTGTCCAGCAAATACTCCGTGTATATCTCCCCTCATGCAGGCAGCATGTCCCACCAAACTCAGCCTAAAGGCATCTCATTCTGCATAAACAGGAGCCCAGCAAAGGTTGGTAGTAGGATACAGCATCACTTGTTGGCGAATCTAGCTTACTGGTTGGCCGTTACCATATATGAACCTTCTAACATCGTGATTCCCCTTGTTAGACATATCACAGTTGACAGTTCGCACTTTGAGTTACCATACTAAGCGTCTGCTGTGTTAGTTGAACTCTCACAAAAAGATTACTCTAAAATTAACCTTTGAAACTTGAGAGCGTGTGAAGACATGTTTGGTACATGTGCCAATATACTTGTATGAAAATCGCAGAAAGTATGCAAAAATCTGGTCATCAAATTCTGGATACTGTCCTGCTGACAAGTTTCATGACAGAATAAAACACTTTGAGATAGGACATTTCCTGTGAAATTCCACTAGTGTAAATAGCAGGATTTTGTACAATATGCTTTGGCCTGATTGTAAGTGTGCATTGAACGTTTGTGTATTCTGTGGAAGAATAGTTCCCAGCCATCCCCGATCATCCAGGGTATCATGTCACAATAAGGTTGCTGTTTCTCTTGCTTGTTTTCCAGAGCAGACGTGTAGAAACAGTACTCATTTTGAAATGTGTTGGCGATGCTATTTGTTGCTAACCAATTTAGGGTTATTATAATCTATTTCTAATGAATCATGACAATCAAAGTTGCCTTTTGATATTCAACATTTCAAGACTTTTATGTTGTCGTAACTTCATGTTCCATTTATGGTATTAATCAGTGGGACCCGTGAAGATCTGGGGTAGAATAGGTCTTCAGCAACCAATGCTTGCCGTAAAAGACCCCTTTGCTTGTCGTAAGAGGCGACAAACGGGATCGGGTGGTCAGGCTCGCTGACTTGGTTGATGCATGTCATTGTTTACCAATTGCATGGATCGATGCTCATAATGTCAATATCTGGATTGTCTGGTTCAGATTTGATTATTTACAGACTGCTGTCATATAGCTGGAATATTGCTGAATGCAGCATTAAACAACAACAAAACAAAAATAAATAGTCAATGGTTTGTCCGACCCTGATTGGAATATAAGACATCCATCCTCTCCCTCCCTCACTCACTCAACTGATTTCACGATGTTTCATTTCAGGACCTGCGTGCAATCAATAACATGGTCCGCATGGGGGAGCGAAAGTTGACGGGGAAGAGGATCCTTGAGGTGGATCACGATGATGACGTTGATGACAGCCCATCAAAGAAAATGTGTTCCAGTCGGCTAATGCGCCGATTACAGGATGTAAATTCAGAGCGACAGGAGGCAAATGGAATCGTCAACTAGGACCAAGTCTGAGCCAGCACACGATATTTTCAAGCTCCTTATGACAATTTGTTGATATAGATTTATTACCTTTGTTAAGACCTGACCACATATCAGGTCAGTTATGCTCTTTCTTTGGAGCTTCGTCAGGATTGAGAAATCCTGTTGACTGCACCAGGAACGATTCAGGGATGAATTGGATCTCAGATATGATCATAGATGAAATAGCATCTGTTGGTTCTGACCAAGTTGTCTTTCTCCTTTGTCTGATGAGGGAATGACTGTCCTGGCAGTAGGACCTGTGCTTCTCTACAGCAGGGGACTGATTGTTTGAATGCATTGAGTTCAGATGCAGTGCTTGATACTCATCATTGGAATGGTGTAGGATATTTAATATGGGAGAATTGGTCAAATAATTTATCACAACTCTTGGTCAATTGCAAACTTTGAAAATTTGCAAACATTCAACGCTAAAGACTTCACTCGAACTCCATGCACAACATAATTAATATTTTTGTAATTTGACAGCTATTACATTTGTCATCCAAAAGGATTATTTTTATGCATTTTAGAAAGTTGGAGTCTGTTTATAACACCCCATATTTTAATATCGTTTATATGACTGTCACCAATCAAGCTCTGTGCATTTCAAACTGAAATCATGCTGATCATGATCACCCAAGATGTGGTATGAGTGCTTGGCTGTGCTTACAGAAGACTGATGGCTGATCTTTGGTGCGAAGGTCATTACCTCTGGTTTTGGCGATTGTTGAGTGACTGCTGTATCGGACTTATCGTGTTGTGAGTGCATGTGCAGCCTAATGAAGGCAACTGTTGTCTTTACACGAACAATTTTCACAGTACGACCGACAGCTAATCTTGGCAGTTTTGCGTGAATGCAAGACTCCGGTCATGATGAGGATCATGGTCAGATGAAACTGATAATCATCATTATTTATTTTTCAGACCTTTACAGAAGGTTCTTCTAAAGATTAAATCTTTGCCGTAATTATTAACACTACTCTCTATTATGTGATAAAATAATGTGATTTCCTCTCTTATTGTCCATAAGAGTCAAATGCTCTCATTCTCTGTTTCATCACCAGGTATTTTCAGGTTTTACATGAAAATGAGAAAGTTTTCAGTCTTGAGAGAGTTGTCAACAAGGGAGAGTTACCTCCCTTGTCAGTGTGATATGATGGGAGTGACCTCCCTTGTATGTGGGAGTACTATTATATGCAAATCAAGACTGGATCAAGTGATATATCCTTGAAAATAAGTGTCTTCAAGTTGGTTGATGAAACATAGAATCAAGGCCATATATAATACTGTATTTTGCTGTAAACAAAATAGAATTGTTTCCAGTGAAAACTGTCCATTATGTCTTATTGCTAAAAATAATTCTGATATTTCTCTTGCATGTAAATTATATATATTTGTAGTATGGTATCTGAGGTTGGATATTTCCAGGGTATGAATTGACTTCCTTTATGTTTAATCCTGAAAACTGTCCCTTTATGCCTGATGTACAGTTAATAGGGCATCAACTTCTTGTCTCACAAAGCAGTCTTAAGCCTAGAGCGATAGTTATGGAGTCTACAAGGTTTGTCGTTTGCCTCTTGACAAATTCATAAAACTTGAGATAAAACATCACCAACTTTAGCTATTAAACTGATTTGTTAGAAAAGTATTTTGGAAATATCTACTGGGGGAAAATTGTGCATTTGTGCCAATAGAGTGCCACTCACTGAATCTGCATCATATTCTCATTGACATTTGGTGTTCCATGCTGTCATTGGCATACAACCACTGATTAAGATGGGAGTTTTGTTCACACCTTAAAGTGACGGAAGGCAGTCACATTTGATTGTGTTGTAACTACATGCTGCACATACATATGCAGTAACAAGTCTAGAAGCCAGCTGTGAACTTTTGTAATCCTGGATCTCCGAGTTTCAAGACTGCTTTAAGACCAACTCCATTCACCTTCTGTTAGAGATACTGGAGTGAATGCGTGAATGACATTGTTTTTTTAATGGGGAGTATTTTATACCTTACTGTTTTAGCCGAAGTAGCATTTTGATACCCTTTAAAGTTTGTAGTCTTTTTAGCAGGAGAGCGGGATTCTCTGCTATTTCGATACTTTTAAAGAAAATATGCATGTATCTGTTGCCATTTGAATTTCCTTGATAAGTGCTATCCTAATAGTCTATGAAAAGCCCTTCTTGTACAGCGAGTTGATAGATATGGTCACAGGAGACTTTGGTCCGAGTGGACAGAGATCTCACACACTTGGACCAGGTTTTGTTGTTTGCAAGATCATAATCCTTTCTTAAAATGTTTCAGGAATTAATGAAGATCATTTCACTCACATTGTCACTTCAATTATATAGCATTGATAGGGGTCATTATCACTGACATTTTGATATTGAAGTTCTTTTCTTTTTTTTCACTTATGTCATTGAGGATAAATGGGGTATTGTTTACGATTCAGCTGTACTTGTAATGGTGTGTATTAGTATTGATCTGATGATAAATAGACTTATAAATGATAACAATAACAATAATATTAATAATAATTAAGTCAATTTATAATACACCTAGTATCCAATTACCAAGTGGTTGCACACGGTGCTCAATCGTGTTGATCATTGAGTGATGTAGGGTCTTAATAAAAAGATTGAAGAGAATCTTTGTGAGCTAAGGATGATTCTTTCTCTGAATTTTGATAGAACCTTTATCAGGAGATTAAAACTTATGAAATATTTGGTACAATTATCAATAGTGGTTACTAATTGTTTGTTACACGTAGAACTTAAAGAAAGATTACTCATGACTGAGACAGAAACACAAGGTCCTTTAGTTTCATTGAGGGGAATTGGATTTTGGCACAGGGGGAAGTAACTCGCCCAGATGTGTTATCTCCCTTTGTGAAGCTGTGGCTCAAACTCTATCCCAGTGCTTGAGACCTTCGTGCCACCAGTGTGTAACAGCCATTACAAGAAGTTTGTAAATTGTCCCTCCAACCACAAATGCAGTGAAATTTATAGTTTTGGGGAATGCCATTCTAGTGAATTAGGAGATGGTTTACGACTGACTTATTATTTCCCAGATGATTTGACTTGTGTGATTTAAATCAGACTGGTTCGAGATTGCAGAATTAACGGAAAATTACTTAACTTTGACCCTTACATTCTCACTCGACTACTTAATGAGAGTTGGAATGAAATAGAAATTAAAACTGACAAACAAACTTTTTTAGCTTGACGAATAGTATTCGGCATCAATAATATTCATCACATGTTTGCAAGCATGACGGTCAGGCAGTTGTGATTTAAACTCCATACATGGTTGTGAGCACAGTGGGGAGCTATGACTGGTGGCAGCGATAGTATAGAGAGCTGTGAAGAGCTTGAGCTATGGCTATTAGGCTGTCATGGAATGGGTAATCTTCACGAAATTGGTTTGACTGGAGTTGTTTCTTTATTACCCTCCCAGGATTTGGGGGGATCAAAAGAAATCAGTTTGAGGATAACAAGATCATTATAAATGTGTAAAGTAAATTAGAATCATTGAGATAAACAAGTACCAAGTTTTTAGGTAATTAGAAGTGACGAGTCAAGTAAAATCACATTTCTCAAAGTTCAGTCTTTCCTTTCTTTAACGTGAATGAACAAATTTATTCTGTACTTCCATAATGCACTCATTTATCAATCATTAGGTCTCACATTTATGGACTAAATGTTGTCAGGGTTACTTACAAACATGACCAGTTAGATATTACACGGGCCATGCATAACTCGATCTAAGTATGTATTATGACTGTATCATTCAGATATGGATGTTTATCAGATATAAGTTGTTTCTTCAATTGTCTGCTGATCTCACAGAAATTCTCTTGTCAACTACCTCACCTATATACCAGGGGAGACCAGAGCATGTGTTACAATAGTCTTGTTTAGCCTGCAACAGCTGTACCCTCAGTTAAGAGGGTCTGGGAATCGGGAGCAGCAGATTTGTGGAGGCAGTCGGGGAAGCTTCCTGGTCAATCAGGGTTAGAAACTAACAGTTTTTTCCACTAGTCCTTATAATGATAACATATAGCAAAACCCTCAAAATGGGCCAATTTCTATTAGTCCTTAGGATACCTTTACTATTGGGCAGTTTGGTAAGGACTACAGGACTAGTGCCAATTTCTAATGCTAGAAATGATTATCTCAACACTTGGGTTATCATCTTTATAGATAGGTCCAGTATGCCATAATGACTCATGATGAATAGTTTAATTTTTACTGCATCAACTGAAACCCCACTTACTCTCTCCCAATTTATTCAATAAAAAGAATTTCAAGTTGACCATTACTTCATCAATTTTCACTAGTTATATTGGTTACTCGTGTCAAAATAATTTCAACACAAACAGTTGCAAACTTTAGACAAAAAATCAAAAGTTTATCTTTCTTGAAGCAATTTAATCACTAAAGAAAATGATAAAGCACTTGCCTGTTGCAGCAACAACAACCCACCTGGATGCTCTGGTCTCCGATAGGTTCGTGTATAGCATACACATAGCAGGTGTACCCTTCATCCTTGCCTTAACATAGCCGATATACAGAGTTGATATTTTTGTCATGTAAGACCTGTATGTCTTGCTTGTATTATTCATGTCATACAAGGAAATTGTGCTTATGTTCAGATGTGGCCACAGAAAACTCAGTACCATACATTAGAGTATGTTCACCTGTGTGTATCACTTATATTCACCAACTCCTGTTGTATCATGGGGGGTGGGCAGGTGCCTAAGGCCTTTATTTGCTGTTTGATGTGCAGTGTTACGTTACTTAGGCATGCCAGACACTTACAATAGTGGGTCCGAATCCCCAATTCACCCTGTCCGGGTTCCTTGTTTGCTTGTGGGGTTTATCAATGTGGTAAACGTCTGAGACCTGCATCACTGCGGGCTTTCCTCCCACCTTAAGCTGGCATGCAGGGATATCACTGGAGTACTGTTCAAATCAGGGTTAAAACTAAGTCACTCCCTCATAATTGTCTTCATGCAGATAGATTTACAGTTCAACTTTTTACTGTCTTATACTTTAGAAATTAACACATGCTTTGTTTGAAGTACTAGGTGCCCGTATCAAGTTAGCAATTTATGTGGCAATCTCTGACACTTCATAGATCAGGTTTATTTAATCCTGTATAGTTAAAAACGTTTGTGGGGCATTTCGTTTCAGTATAAATACCACAGTATTACTGGTAGAGCTTCCTATAACTGCTTACCACACAAGACTACATGTCTGGAGCCTGTGTTCGAGTCGTGCTACCGGAATAATTGTCTGGTTCATCGTGTGTGTAGGAGTAGCCCCATCTTGTTTCATGCAGATGTTTGTTAGAAGATGTTAAAAAATGATAAAACTAGGCATCTTTGGTGACATATTATTTTCTTTTTGCTGTTGATATAAAAATTATTTAATTTTAAAAATATGTTCTGTTTCTCCAAGTAAATGTTTCATTATTCCTGTGTTTTTTTAGATTGACAAGTTCTAAGAGAAATTCATGATAAAGTTAATTTCTCCTATTGTTCCAAAATCATGATTGATATATAGAGAATCTCACCTGAGTGGGGGCACGGGTGGCCCAGTCTTCTCAGGCATTGTGATTCGCTGTGCAGAGTTGCGTCCCTTGGGCACGCCAGAAACCAGTGATTGTGGGTTCGAATTCCGGTTCGCCCCAATTATGTTTCAAGGTTTGTCAGCACCATACTCATGCTCGTGGGTTTCACTGAAGTGGTAAATGTCTGAGACCTGCATCACTCCGGGCTTTCCTCCCACATTAAGCTGACACGCCATGATATAACTGGAATACTGTTAAAAGCGGCGTTAAACCCAACTCACTCACTCACCTGAGTGGCCTTTGATATCAAATATATCTACATGAGTCAATAAAAGTTCAAAACTACAAGGCTTGCTGAGGAGTTTTAAACTTATAATTGACGAGTGTTAAAATGTTTTATATCAAAAGAAACAAGGGTGAGATTCTTTATCATCCAACATCATTCTTCAACTTCTTCAGTTTGTAAATGGTACTAAAACATACTGCTAGCCAGCTTCAGTAGCAGAGATTATGTCTTGTTAGCTGATGATGTACAATGGTCTGCTAAGAATTGCATTGCAAGGATATCTCTCCCCAGCGATATCTGCTGTGGAGGATAGTTTGGGATGCTAAAATGATATATTGCAAGTGGCCGTAATTGTGGAGAAAATCGATGTCAGAAATCTATGTTTACTCTATATACCATTCATTGGATCTATGCAAAATTATACATAAACAGGAAGCATGCGTCTGGTGACCCAGTCATCTGTGCTAATGGGTTTAAATCTGATATTCGCCCTGATTATGTTTCGAGGTGTTTTGGGGTTTTACCAAAGAGGTGAACGTCAAAGACCTGCTTCACTTTATGATTTGATCCCACATCAAATTGACAGGCGGGGATGTAACTGAAATAATGTTCCAACCAAACACTCTCACTCATGCACTAAAAATAAAAAATTGACAATCCATTGATGAGGCAGTTTCATATGAGGAACAGTTCGGACATATGAATAATTATGTCTACAACTTCTTGAACATTCTAATTTTTTGAAAATATTTATAACTGATCATAATCGATGATTAATTGCTTAGAAAGAACTCCTCATGACACTGATTGATGATGAAATCCAAACAGACACTAGAATTTTCTCAGCTGATCGATATCGATTGAGAATTCAACCAGTTTGATTTCACAGACCAAATTTAAGATTCTCATGGTTTGAAGTTGGATGATTTTTTCATCAGTTTTTCTGATTTTTTTTATACATGGCCTTAAACGATCAGATTTTCCGACACATTTTCTTGCCAAAAGTTTCTAATAATGGAATCTTTGACAGGCACTCTGATGTGTGGGATGCTGTCCAGGCCTTGTCTTGTAAGATGTTTAGTTTATTTATCTTAATGTATTTTCACAACTATTTAACATGTAGCTAGTGCTCACAATACTATTTGAATATTTAGAGTGCCAAAATTGAAGTAGAATTCATTATGATGGAGTTATTATGTGTAATGTCTGCAACAGCAAGACATGTTTCTATTTATTCTTTCTTCAATGCCTTGCTCATGAGACAAGGGGAGATAACTCAGATGCAAAATGTCCGCACAACATTGAACAAGTTAAGCTATGGCCAGTAGCCAATCTGACCAGTCCGTCCAATCTGAGGTGGACACTGATATAAAGATGTCAGAGTCACATTTTGATAGACTGAACCCATTTCTTCTCAAATGCATATTTTTGAGGGCTAAGCAGGTGACTTTGCCGGTGATAATGACACCAATTTAAATCCTGTCGGAACAAGGGGAATATTTAAAACGTTTAATCAAAGTATGATAGGCCAAATGGCTTATTTAGCACTTACCTCAATGTATATGTGTATTTTTTGTGGTAGGGACGTTTCATTAAGATTGCTAAGTATTTAATTTAAAAAAGCATTAATTGAAATGTATCCATGAATTCCAGAATTGAATTCGCCGTTCATGTTTTCAGACTTTATTGATACTTATGTGGAGCGTGCCCTAAGTCTCAAGTACATGTGTCCTGAAGAACTGGTCCCACAAACGATCAGTCTTATGTTAAAGTACTGTATGGGAGTTAATGATCGTCTTAGAGCTATGTGGAAATAGGCCCAGGACTAGTTTGAGAATGTGATCTTCGCTCTATGGGTTTTGTAACTCCAACAGCTTAGAGAGACGGTGGTAGGGCTAAGGTCCTTTGTAACATGATCAGTTTTAGCAAGTGGTCTTAGTGCTATGTATATCGTAACTCCAATTGCTGAGTTGGAAATTCAAAGGGCTAAGATCACTTCATAACAGGGCTCGTTTGAGCAAGTGGTGTTAAAGCTATGGATTTCATAACTCCCATGGCTGAGATAGAAATTCATAGGGCTAAGATCACTTCATAACAGGGCTCGTTTGAGCAAGTGGTGTTATTGCTATGGATTTTGTAACTCCCATGGCTGAGATGGAAATTCATAGGGCTAAGATCACTTCATAACGAGTCGTTTGAGCAAGTGATGATATTGCTATGGATATCGTAACTCCCATGGCTGAGATCACTTCTTAACACCACATCCTGGCTGTTGTCCATTGCATCAAAGGGCAGTTTGGGATCAGTTTGCAGTTCTGAAGGTTTTCTGGTTAAATGGGTTGATTCTCACTAATATTGTGTAGTAGAAGTTATTTGTGTCATAATGTAGTTTAATTTAATATTTCTGCCTTGTGTTCTTTCTGAATAATGAAATCAAGGACATTGTTATATCTTTGAAAAGATATACTGTATTCTAAGTATTTGGCAATGTTGACCTATTTCTTTAGTAGACTCTTGTTATGAACATGCAAAAAGTGCATTTAATTCTTTTTATGTTTTATGCGAGACAAGAATGAATTGAGAAGTGAATGTGTTGTTGCTTGAGCTGCTTCGGGCAGTATTTCCTGTTACTTGTATAAGCCTCTCTGTACAGAACGGGAAGTTATTTTGTTGTATGTCTGTCAATGTAACAATATTGTAGCAATATTTTTACCAGCAAAGGCAGTTTTAAAGACTGTTTGTTCAAAGTTGAACATGAATACAATAAATATAAAACTACATTTCAATAAGCAGAGTGATGTTATTTATTTAGCCTTTCGGGAGTTTTGTTTATTGTTTAATCCCGCACTCCCCAGTGTTCTAGCCATATGAAGGCGACCTGTAAGTCTTCGTGTCTAGACCAGACAATCCAGTGATCGATATTGTGATGAATGGATCCACGAGGTGGCCGTATGGTCACTATGGTGACAGCAATCCATCAAGTCTCCCAAGCCTGACAACCTGATCTATTTGTCGCCTCTTGTTATCAGCACTTGGTTGCTGGAGACCTGTTCTGACCAGGAATCCTTACTGGAAGAAGATATGCCTATTTTAGGATACCTTTCTGGATGAAGGTATGCATGTTTTCAGTATCTTTGTCAAAACGTGGTTCTGTGGGGGCCAAGTGATCTTGTGCACAAAACCTTACTGTGAATTGTCTCCCTTTTCTTTGCCATTATGAGATGGTCATGGTGTTTGAATCCCTGACTCTCCTGAATAAGATCTTTGGTCAGGAAGATACCTGGCTGGTTTCACAACAGGACCTGGCATAGTTGTGATTAAACATGTATTGTTCCAAATACTTGGTAAAGTGGTCTGACCAAAAGCCTGAAGACATACTGAATACTTGAACCAAGCAGTAGTCATTCAGCAAGATGTAGTAACAGACTCTGGCCTGGGTAGAATAGGTCTTCAACAACACATGATTGACGCAAAAGGCGACTATGCTTGTCGTAAGAGGCGACTGACGGGATCGGGTGGTCAGGCTCGCTGACTTGGTTGATGCATGTCATCGTATCCCAGTTGCGTAGATCGATGCTCATGATATCAATTGCTGGATTGTCTGGTCCAGACTCGATTATTTACAGACCGCAGTCATATAGCTGGAATATTGCTAATTCCGGCCTTAAACTACAAACCAAATCAAACCAACAGACTTTAATTTAGGTCTGTAAGTTTACTGCAGTGATAAGTGGGTTATTACGTTTACAGTATTTCCTCTAATTGACGTCTGGTCACCTGCAGGGTCCATCATTTGATGAAATTAATTATCCCGATCACATTAAGTTATGGCGTGTAATGCTTAACCCTTCTCGTAAATAATTATCGTTTCCCGCAACCGTTCGTACACTTTGTATGACTGTCAAATTTGGAATTCGATAATGTAGTTAGTAGCCTCTGTGCCAGCATTACAAAGATTGGACGCCGGTTGGTTTGATTCACTGCTGATAGCGACTGACACTGATTGAGTTCGTTAATGTTGTAAGTTTGTCGAGGGGTAGCACATATGGTGTGATGTACCCTGTGTGTGAGCCTATGTACTCCAGGCCACTAGGCCATCTAACCGACATTCATTCATATGTCCACAGTGTCACTGAGTTCGCAATACTCTACACAGTCGTTTCTTGAGTGAAACACAACGGGCAGACGACGCAAACGAACCGAGTTACATCCCTTTACCCAAAGCATTCCGATCAACATGGGTTCATTTCAGAAACTCGGCGATACTTATGCAAGATAAGCAAGTTACCTAAGATGTGTTCCGATTGATTTGTCATCGGGGTACACTTCAATCAGAAACTAGTATTTTGATGGAGGGTGAGATAAAATATATAGTAAAGCAGACGGGACTTGTGAAATAGTTCGTTATGACCTTTATAGTACTGTATATATCCATGTTCGTTAAAACCCATCTTCCCGAGGCAAGAGAATTAACTGACTATAAAAGTCCGGTTTCCACCCTTGCCGAACAAGGCTGGTGTTTATGGAGTTACATTTTGGCTGGACTAACGAGTCTATGCATAGTCCAATCAAAATCGCGCACCGAAATCGAAATCCGGTTTGTAAACTGTCGTGCAGATTTCGGTCGATTGCAGGATTTTCAAAGCATGAGCACCGCCAACTCATTTTCAGCAGATATTTTCGAAACCTTTTTATGTTTTTAATCAAGGTGCTCGCGTGATTTGATGCATTTCGCGATGTGACCCGTTTTTTCACAATATAGATCTCACAGGAGTCCGTATCTAAAAATAGACGCCCCCAAGCATATTCATCACCATCTCAACACGCGAGCCCGAGATGTGTGGAGATGGTCATGAATATGCATGAGGGCGTCTATTTTTAGATACGGACTCCTGTGATAGATCTTGATTACAAATCGTCTTGTCTGGGCGCTGCCATTTTGTTTGAAACAAATGCAAGTGATGGGATGGGATTGGTCCATAGGAGAAGCTCAGAAGGGACATAACTCATAATAACCACTGGTGGCGCTTCGATCGACCTCAGGAATTCCATCCCAGTTCGGCAAGGGTGGAAACATTACTGGACTCGGGGAAGATGATCTATGCTCAGCTTACTGCTTACTTTGTAAACGTATATAGTACATATGCCTCTCTTCATCACTGGCACGGGTGGCCCAGTCGTCTTAAGCGGCACAATTCACTGTGCAGTGTTGCTTCCCGTGTGTGAAATAGAAATCTGTGATCCCCAAATTCGCCATGATTATCTTATGTTTAAGGCCCCATATCCGTGCTCGTGGGTTTCACCAAAGTGCGTAGAAGACCCGGGTTCCCATCATGGGAACAATGTGTTTACTGTTATCGATAAACTACAAATTATGAATACTTTGAAAGTTGCTGTTGAGTGGACAAAAATATTTTATTTCATATTAATATCGAAATGACAGGACAATAAATGAGGCATGTATAAAAAAAAGAACAATGTCGATAATCGGAAAACAAATAATATCATTCACTAAATACAAATGTAATAACGTTACATATACTAAAAAGAAACTGTTTTCACATTAAGTTCAATAAAAATAATTTATTCTGAAATTAAATAATGCTTCATTCAATACATATTCTTGAATACATCTCGACTTTAAGGTCGTGATTCACAATTTGCACGTGCATGTTCATGCACGGCGCACAATTTGGATGTTTGCGTGTTTGTCGGGAGCATGATAGTCACACATTTGTTTATTTTTAATGTAAACTACACAATTATTGTTTAGTTATGAAGAGCTAAAATCCACACTTCTGACACTTGTTTAATCGTAAAAAACGCTTACGCAATGCACCAACTGTACGTCTGTATCAACGCAAATGGAGGTCACACCCGATATTGACAGACCCCACCTCTTCTAGGGCGTGTCTCTGTCTCCTGTTATCAGGTAGGGCCTTGTCAATGAATTTGTTAAGATAAACATTGATCAGGCGAATATATTATGTTGTTATTTTCAATAACATAACATTTACACCACTTTATATGAAGCACAGTTACTTTTTTCCGTTAGTATACATTCACAATCTCCCATGAAGAGGAATGTCTTTAACTGGACATGCACACTTTCATACAGATTTTGATATTAACGTCTGTTTTCGGCAACTATTGCCATGCTTTGTTGATTGGCTCTCTCAGATAAATGCCAGGTCTTGGGTGATCGAATTAGGAGATGTACACGTTGTAGGTAGACCTATGTTACATGTACAAACTTGTGGACTAGGCATGGTACAGCTAGAGGCAGCAAGGGTCAACACAGGTCTCCCACAATTTGTTTCTAAAGCTATTTTATATCAAGAAACAGGATGATCACCATAAAGAGTGAGTGAGTTAAAATGTAACGTCGCATCGGCATTATTTCAGCCATATAGCGACTCACCACAAAGACGCAGAATGAAAATAACTATGTACAGTCGTTGTTAACGTTGTTAAAATTGTTAACAACATTCAAATGAAACGTTTACCGATTATAACCTAAAAAAACTTATTGTGAAAGTTCATCAAAAGTATTAAACAGAAAATATGTCAGAAACAAACAAAAAAAGAAAGGAAAGTATACAAGACTCAGACATACAAGCATTAAGTCAAGGCCGACTTTGTCAAGGCTTACTCAGATGTGAGTGTCAATTACACGGACCTCTTATTTGTATAGGTGTACGTATTTACATTATGTCAATTGAATATTTAATCATGCTCTTGTCTCAAATTATTTTGCTGTAAATACTACTGTTGATTGCATGAACTATTATATTAATCATTCTGTCCTTTTGTAAAGGAAAGGGTTATGGCAGCTCATGAATTGCTTTGCAGTCCCATTGATTGTCAGTAAAATGTGTTTGAATGAAACCTGTACACTTAATGCTGAGGTTAATTTGGAACCGAACGCCCGAATGTGTACCCAAATGTATTTTATATGTTCTATGAATCACAAGTCACCATTTTGTTACCGACGTTTGGAATATTATTGTCATATTATTATACCGACCAGGATTGAGAAAGAATGACCTTTCTCACAGTGATACTGCCGTCCAATCAGCTGTTGTTAACTAGAGGCCAGTAGTTGTGATTTGAAAACATGGTTGAATTCTTCAACGCAACCAACACTGGTTTATGCTTTTTGACAAACTCTTATAATGGTTGATTGCAACTGATCCATATTATTTCCAACATTATCAAGTAAGTTTGATCATGATCTCATCAGATGAAAATGTTGCTGTAGATGGACATGTTGTAACACCGTACGTCATTGTACGCAAAACCCCACCTTGCGCCTACCAAACACGCTGTAGCTCAAATCAGTGAACCTTCACATGGTCTTGGCAGATTCAAAGCCCAGCAGATGTCGTTACATTCAGGATGGACGGTCTCCCAGAACACCTCAATCCCCGTCTCCCCCATGTCACAGCTGCTGAGTTTGCCCCCACCGCTAGAGTGGAACTGGGGGTCGGTGAGGTAGACCACGCCCTTGCCGTCGGCTGGCATCCAACCCTGGAGATCCACGAGCATCAACTTGCCCCGAGACTGGACGAAGGAGAAGTGGGTGAGAGCTGTTGCCAGTTCTCGACCTCGAGGGTTGCTGTAGGACAAGTTGTTGGTCAGCTTGATGAAGTCCCCCTCCAGGTACGGCTCCACGTTGATCCAGTCCTCCAACTCCCCCGACGACGACATGATCTGGAGGTGGGCGACTGGGACGTACTGGACCTGAATGTCCGACTTGTAGGTGTGAAGGGACGCGTTGAACAGTGTCACCAGGAAGCGGGCGGTCTTCTGGCAGATGATGTCCTCAAGGTACTGACTCGGACATCGCTGCTTCCTATAGCGCTTGCCCACATACCTGTGTTGGAGAACATGAGCCACGTGTGAGTAAGTGAGTTGGGTTTGACAGTATTTAAGTGACATCGCGTGTCAGTTTATTGAAGGAAAAAATAGAAAAATGACATAGGCCAAAGACAATAACAATTTTATAATACTCGCGAGCACCATGTGGTACTGACAGTCCAAGGTTCATAATCGGGATGGGTTTGAAATTCGAAAGCACGCTCAGCGGATGCTGTCTGGTGCGTTTTTGTTTATCAGAACCTTTCGAACACATCGAGGGGGCACGGGTGGCCCAGGCGTCTAAGACACCGCGATTCGCTGTGCAGAGTTGCATCCCTTGGGCACGCCAGAAACCTACGATTGTGGGTTCGAATCCCGGTTCGCCCCGATTATGTTTCTAGGTTTGTCAGCACCATAACCGTGCTCGTAGGTTTCACCGAAGTGCTAAACGTCTGATACCTGCATCACTTCGAGCTTTCCTCCAATATTAAAATGACACGCCGCGATATAACTGGAATACTGTTAAAAGCGGTGTTAAACCCAACTCACTCACTCACTCACTCGAACCCGTCGAGCTGATACTTTCTTCATTACCATAGTTTCCTGCCAAAGTTTCTGTTATAATGGAACGTACTCTCTCCTTGGAAATGCCTACAGAACTAGCAATAGGATGACTCCACGTTCCTAAAGTTTGTCAATTTTCCAAAGGTCGGACCCCTGCTTATTATACTCTTATATACTTATTTGCTCAACTGACTCAAGTTTTTGTGGAAATACCTCTATGGCATCATGTGATTTCCACAACCAAAGGACCCGTGAAGATTCCGGGGTAGAATAGGTCTTCAGCAACCCATGCTTGCCGTAAAAGGTGACTATGCTTGTCGTAAAAGGCGACTAACGGGATCGGGTGGTCAGGCTCGCTGACTTGGTTGATGCATGTCATCGATCCCAATTGCGTGGATCGATGCTCACGATATTAATCACTGGATTGTCTGGTCCAGACTCGATTATTTACAGACCGCCGTCATATAGCTGGAATATTGCTTAGTGCGGCGTTAAACAACAAACCAACTACAACCAAAGATTTCACTATTCCGTAATTTCTTCTATGTGAGGCACAGCCCCCATATATTCAACCAACGTATCAAGCTCCGACCCGTTTTTAGCGAGGGAAACCATTGAGAATTCAGGCCAGTGAGTGGTCAGATAATGTGGCGCACACACGGCATGGCCAAAGCTTTGCGGCCATCTGACCTACACATTACTTGAATATAAAGGGATGGTAGGGTTCGCACAAAGTTCATGCACGGAGTTGATATAAGCTTCATTCGATAACTAATATAGACACACGTCTCTACTCCCCAAAGCTGCCGTATGTATTTCCGGGCGATGGAGGATACAAAACTCGTGAAATATTGACGATGACACACATCAGGATTACGTGTATTTATGGAAGCCTGTCCAATGACAGAGACTGACCTGCCCATGATTTCGTCCTGATGAAGATATTGCACGTCAAAGGCTTCCCGGCACCTGCCCTTCTTGCTCTCTGGGAGATCCAGCACCGGCCCCAGCCATGTCAGCGTGTTCTGAGACGTCCATATCCCTGTCACTGGGTTGAACTTCAACAGACGGGCTCCTTGGGAAGAACAGGTTCAAATAAATGATCGGTAATTCTTATGACAACATTGATCCAATAGATATGATAATTAAAGTAAAAATGTTTTACAGTTGACGCGGGGTAATGTTTATTCCTAATATTAGTTACTCTGAAAAACACGGATTTGTCTGTACATTCACTCTATGTCAATGAACTTGAGAAATGGTCACTGCTCATAATAAACTGTACCCGTGAAGATCCGGGGTAGAATAGGTCTTCAGCAATCCATGCTTGCCATAAAAGGCGACTTTGCTTGTTGTAAAAGGCGACTAACGGGATCGGGTGATCAGGCTCGCTGACTTGGTTGATTCATGTCATCGATCCCTATTGGGTGGATCGATGCGCATGACGTCAATCACTGGATTGTCTGGTCCAGACTCGATTATTTACAGACCGCCGTCATAAAGCTGGAATAGTGCTGAGTGCGGCGTTAAACAACCAACCAACATAATACATTGATCATTAGTACTACCCATCTCTATGTGACAACTTTAATCAAAATCGTAAGTTTGAAAATGGATCTCAATCTGACAAGGGCGCAAGGGTGGACAAGCTGCGTATGGCGCCGCAAATGATTGTGCAGAGTTGCGTCCCGTTGACGCGCCAGAAACCTGACTGAGGGTTCGAACAACAGCGTCGAACAAAATTCACTCTCTTGCTTTAAAAATATCAAGGTTGTTCTGAAAAGCAGCGAGGCTATTGATGATACCTTTCTTTCTGAACAAGTCTTTGATAAATGTATTAAAGTTTAAAAATTACTTTTGACAGATCCGCTTCGTGTGTGTCTGAAGTCTCCAACAAATGAAGGTACGGCCGACAATAACGGGGAGAATTTGGCCCCGTCGCTGATGCTGTTCTCGTCACAGCTGTTGACGCCACTATCGCTGCCGTCAGAGCTGCACCTCTCGTGTGTGTCGACATATGTGGGAATGAATGTACTCACAAGGGGAGGCAATTCAGGATCTAACTTCCGGCCTCCTACTCTCATACTTCTGCTGTGGTTAATCTCGGGGTACTCTCCCCTTTTACTAAAGATACAGCCGCACAAATCCTGAAATGTCTCTATGGGTACATCAGAATCGGGGATGCCATATTCAACAGGATTGATAGGTAAACCGAGTTCTAATCTGTCTGCCATTCTTTCACCCCTCTTGGCATCAGAGCAGTACTCGTCACACCCCTTGCCCTGTGAGGAGCCGAACGTGACAAGATGGCGTCTGTTGGTGGATTTCTTCTCGACGTCTTTCCGAGTTATCTCAATACAACAGCTAGCAGTGGGGTCAATGACCCCTAGACCTAGATCAACCATCAGAGAGTTGGCCGTTGTCATGATATCTGGGGTCAAGGTCAACGTACAGACCATAAATCCACCGGAAACGAGCTGCTGACAATACTTGCCGTACAGAAACATGGCGGTCTCTTCAAGCTTTGTCGCGTATCGCTTGTCTTCCTCTCGGTCCGAGAAACAAAACGCGAGTTTCAGGAGGTATATTGCTCTGACAAACTCAAAGAACTCCTGGCGACATTCCAGATGCCATCTGGACTTGTGGACAGCCAGACCAGTGGTCAGTTCAGTGATGACCTGTTCTATGTTGTAGAGATGGTCAGCGCTGCCTGGGTGCTGGGCCGTGTACATCAACAACGATTCCGCAGCCTGGTTCTGTTGAACATGGGACAACAACAGAGTGTACTAAGATGGAAACATCAAAATAATGACAATTCAACTTGCAGCAATTTTGTAGAGAGACAAATGGCATGATTATATCATTTTCATAATTTAATCAACTTTTGAGAGGACACTCTTCCATATTATTACCAAATAAGAAATAATCGTTTGTACTTTTTTTTTATGACAATCAGTATTCTTGAAAATGAACAAATCTGTAATTCTTAATAATGATCATACATGTATATTATATTTGTGATGTTAGTAAGCACGAGGAATACAATTTGAAACAAACGTGGGATCACATTTTATATGTTAGTATCATACCATATAAAGGATATAATGCTAGCTCCTTTCAGAACTATAGATGTTCTTATATCTATGCGTGGATCATCATTATCTACTAGATAAGTATGTACATACAATTTGAGTTGTATTTTAACGCGCTGGGACTGCAAACTGATCCGTGCCTAGACCCTAAAGATCGTTATTTTTTAGATCGGAGAACGTCAATATCACCGAATGTGTTGATTTGCCGTAATGCTCGGTTGTATAGTCTGCCACATATCATCACTGACAAAATCTACCTGTGTTCTAGCAGCAAAGAGTGGACATCTGGCCAGATCTGCAGCCTCTTTGCTCGCAACATGAGCCTGGAAGTAGCGATCGTCGAACTGAAAGCCCAGAATATCCTTCAGGTCTTGGTAGTCCCCATTGGTTATCTTACACAGACATTTAGATATCAGCTCCAAGGAAACAATGATGCCGTCTGTGTCCTTCTCTTGTGTAGATCCAAACGCCGTGATCGACTCAACCAGTGGGGTCACAGCATCCTTCCAGCAACCTGCAGGGAAAGATAGGAATGGCATTTCAAACTATCGCCTCTGGATATGCCAAGCTTGAATGACACCCGTGAAGGCCCTGGTTACAATAGGTCTTCAGCAACCCATGCCTGCCGTAAGAGGCGACTGACAATACTTGTCGTAAGAGGCAACTAACGGGATGGGGTTGTTAGGCTTGCTGACTTGGTTAATGCATGTCATCGATCCCAATTGCGGTGATCGATGTTCATGATCTCAAACACTGGATTGTCTGGTCCAGATTTGATTATTTACAGACCGCAGTCATATAGCTGGAATATTGCTGAGTTCGGTGTTAAACAACAAATAAACAAGCTGTAATGGAGTAATGCAATTGATGTGATTGGAGTTGCGTCCCTTAGGCGTGCCAGAATCCTATGAAGAAGGAATCTTATCCCAGGTTCACCCCGAATATGTTTCTAGGTTTGTCAGCACCACACCTGTGCTGGTGGGTTTCACCAAAGTGATAAACTACTGAGACTTCTGGTTTTCCTCCCGCATCAAGATGACAGACCGTGATATTACTGGAAAACTTTCAAAGCGGCATAAAATCAAACTAGGCTACTCACACATCTTGTGCAGTATTTGTCCCGTCATCTGCGAACACTGTGCTCGTACCTTCAACTCCTGGTCCTCTGATCGATACTGCCATATACTCTCTGAAGCAGCAACACATATAATGCTACCAACTCGCACAGGGTCATCGCTTCCGTTTCAAAGAACGGCGTCAATGGTTCTGACATAGTCAGTCATCGAGTGGTACTAACAGACCGGAAGACGTGGCCTAAATACATTACAGTCTCTTTCTGCATACATCAGCAGTACAAGATCATGATTGAAAGTATCTAAAAAAACCAAACAATTAATTGAGTAAACATTGTTTGACATGTTTTTCCAAAGACTTCAAGATTATATAGTTCCCCTCTCCGCTAACCTCCATGTTTGTCTTTCTCCAAGAGCCCAGTCAGCTCCCTAATGGCTCCATGAAGGTCACCTCTGTAGGTCATAACCTCTGACCTCCTCAAGACGAGCTGTGGTGGGAGCAGAAGGCGTGGACACAGCACGTGTAGCAGTTCTATAACATCCACTAGTAGCTCTTTGTCCTTGCGCTGCTCTGTCGGCTGGTCTAGGAGCAAGGTCAAGGCCGACGCCATATCGAATTTGTTACAACGGAGAGCGTATCCTACGCATTTCTGCGTTAGCATAGAAAATAAATTAATATTTAGATGGCTACTGGTGACTATGTCATCGAACATACATGCCCTTACTCACTTTCTTAGACTGAGTGAGTACACAACTTAGTAATAGTTCAGTATTAATAGCGACACCTAGAACTGGCTTAACACGTTGTAACAAACTTGAAAATCGAACTGAGATTGTGGGAGGAGTGGTGTGGTGGGAGGAGTGGTGAACATTACACAAGGCCCCCATAACGACCCGAGATTCCCTCAGGGAGTGAATGAGCTTTTAGCACTGTTCCAGCTATATCACGACGAGGGACACCGGAAATTGACTTCACACATTATACCCGTGACGAGCGAACGCTTTGACGTCCTCAGAGAGTAGCATACATTGTGTGTTGTATACAAAGTATATAGCAGTATTACATTTACACTAGCTGTAAGTGTTCTGGGTGTTTCTTATGCATTGGAATACAAATGGAGAGGACATCCTTTGTTGTTAGTGTTTACAGATCAATAGGGAACTTGTCAGTCGTTAATTCCGTGTCTTTAAACTGACCTTGAGTATCTCGCCAACCTTGAGACCACCTGAACTTGGAGGAATGATCTCCAAGTAATCATAGGCGACCTCTGGCGGCAAGCAGGCCCAGTCTCGCTTGAGGGCGTGTCCTAGGTACTGCCGTGTGGTCTGGTCCAGCAGATGGAAGAAGGCGTCCAGGCAGATGGAGGCGTTGTCGGTGTAGGTGTCTGCCGGGACGTTGTAGATGGCGGACAGGAGATCTGAAGCAGACGACAGAATGCATGTTGTTATTCACGAGGGTCGGTTGAACAGAAGAGTATATCAGATTCTCCTAAAACATTCGTACGATCTGTCTCAACGCTATTGCTTAAACGTGGAGGATTGTATTTGTTTATGATTTCAACATGGTTTGGAGAACATCGGATGTGTGTCTTATATTGACAGAACTGGAAAAATACATTCCATGATGTTAATCTTTTATTCAGCTGGAACATTCGAAAATATATCAAGCTGGGTCACAAGGCGGTTAGCACGTTACTGATCTAGACATTAATATATCACCTGCATCGGCGTCGGAGATTCCTAGAGATGAGCAGACTGAGTCTAGATGGTTTGCTTCTTTCCTCTGTTGTGCTGGAGAGGGTTTTCTGAAACAAAAATAAGATGCATTTTGATGTCGGGTAGTGGTCTGACTCATACAGAAAGAAAGTCAGGAAATCATTAAAAAAATAAGTCAAGAATGCAGAAACAATGTGACGGGCATTGGCATTCGTCCAGAGAAATTGACAGAACACGATGATTCTACTTAGAACCAAAGCCACCAATGACAATGTTTATTAAGCGCAGCTAGTCGAGCTTACTTTAATTCCGGTTCCACCCGGTCATAGTGCCGCATCCGTTGCAGAATGACTCCACCTCGACTGGGAACATCATCGCCGATTTTCAGGAAGCGGAACTTGCCTTGCCTATCCACATCCGGTTTAGCCTTGGCGGCGTCTTTTAGTGTCGCCCGCACTACATCTAACTGTCTGCTATGTCCTCCACCCATGTTAAAACCCTGAAGCAAATTAGAATGAATTTATCGTCGGTGTCACACGATACCATATTATGTGAGGAGTCCGCAGATCTTCCTGCCGAGAAGTACCGTATCAGAGTTAAAGATCTGATGGGATATTGCAGTCACACTCGGGGATTGCACAACTGAAAGGCTTGTATCAGGCCTGTCTGTTCTGTTTTCAGAATAAGCGCGTTTGTTTACAAGCAAGAGAAAAGTCCGGTCACATGATATGCACATTAGCCTGTGGTAGTGGTGTTATGCGTAGTCACCACTGCCCCGGAGTGTACCCACAACCACATGACAGCCATATCACAGTCATATCAGTCACATCTATACCAGTCATGACATAACACAAATAGATATAAACGTATTATTTGACAAGAAAAGACAAATGTATTTTCTTACTTCACGATCTTAATCTGAAAATGATGTTGTCACAAAGGCAGACTGAAAGTAGTTCCGGCATAAATGTTATGTCATTCAAGTGAGATTTTCTTGTCCCGAAAAATACTGACAAGTGTATTTCATCTCTAAATACATAATAGACATCCATATTGCAGTCATATCACATCACAGGCATAACCCATTTATATAACATCCAAATCATAGATTAAGCCACATGAGCCATATTACAGTCGCATCCTAGCTATATGCTCTATCACAGACATTCAGCCATATCACAATCATATCAAAGTCATAATTTAGCCATATTACATACTTTGTAGCAATGCCAAATCACGGACATTCTAGACAAATCATAATCATAGCCTAGTCATATCACAGCCATATCACACATCTGATTTAGTCATGTAAGTCATAGAAAAGACTACAGAGATTACTCCGCAAGACACCGTGTCGTAGGGCTGTCAGATTAACCTTACAACGAGTCGAAAGATAAATGGAATATGACAGGCAGGAGTGCAGCAATCTGTTTCTTACATCCTAAACTGACACCGTTTTAGCATCAAATCGATGCATATTTTATCTATTCTCATGACCTCAGTGGCGCATTAATTCAGAACGCAACAGTCATGAGTGACGTCATCAGGTTCACTGTTACTACTCATACCAAGCGTGATCCTACACAAAAAAAGGTTTCTGCCATATCTGTGGATTATAAAGGCGATGGTGATAACGCAAACTAGATAAGATCAAAGTACGCTCGACACAGACGTTGACACAGACTTTGGTGAATTCGACAGAAGTAGGGGTAACTTATCAATGAATTACAACCAGGAAAGTAGACCCGGAACTCGATCTCACACATATGTTTGATACCAGTTATCTCAGAGGAGCTTAGTGTTATTCCAACCATATAATATCATTCACTTTCTAGACCTAATACAACTATGTCATATGATATCAAAGATATCTTTGTCTGTTGTTTAACGCAGCATTCATCAATATTCAATCTGACGGCGGTCTATAAATAATCGAGTCTGGACCAGACGATACAGCGATTGATCAAGGGCATTCATCCACGCATTTGGGATACGATGACATGCAAAGCTAGCCCGACAACCCGATCCCTTAGTTGCCTCAAACGACAAGCAATTCTAATACTATTGACATATTCGAGGCACATCACAGTCATAGCCTAGATTTATTCCGACCATATCATTGTCATATTCTAGTGATATCCAAGCAAAAGTCAAGCCACATTCTACAGTAATATAACGCGCCCTGACCATGGACATCATCGGTGTTGCAAAACCGGTGTTAATTTATCAAATATATCCCGACCTACAGGTTGACTTGAAGAGACTTTGATTGTATGGGATTATCAGTTCATGGTCGCGCCTTAATGAGGCTAAATCTACTTTTGATCTTTTAAACCAGGGCGCCGTCCCCCAAAACGATCCTAGTCTGTCTCCCCAGACCCTAGAGAATAAATTAAGAAGTGAATCAAATAGAATGATTTGGTAAGTCTAGATTCCTTGCAATTATCTTATTAGTTTGGGGCTCCATTTGGGTTATATTTGATTGTTTGTACATATTTCTAGGACTAAATTATAGGACATGTATAAAGCGAAACTACCCCTAGGGCCAAGGGCCCCTTTTCACATATAATTTGTAGCGCTACGACTGCCGTTAGTATATATACAGCGGGACACCCGACCCGTGTTCTCATCGTCAGACCCGATCTAGTACAGATGTACCAATAGAGGTTGCGTCTGTCCTGTTTTATACATAACAGAAATAGTTTTTTTTCGTTTCAGTCCCATTCCGGATTTTACAACAATGTCATGTTTGTTTCTACAAAACAAAGTACATTGTCGGAATGTATGACATTTTATTGCATTAAATGACGATGCATGAAAGAGTCAGCGACTAAAGCAGACATGGCATTTGCCACACACGTGAATTCGTGTACCCAACGTGCGGAGGCGTTAAAATCCCAAACAAATCAGATTTCATAAGAAACTTGAGAGGCTATCGTCGTTGTCTTTTTACGAAACGTACGTGATGGTTTTCCCTTTTATTTCCTCCCAAAGATATAACGCGGTTATTATAATCTCCAAATCCGTTTACAGGACTTGATTGATGTAAACACCAGGTCTGGGCGGAGAAGCACGTAAAGACTGTTTGTCGAGGATGTGAACAGATAGGTCACTCGGCTGGACATCGGGAAGGTCAGTCAAACAACGTCGGGAAGCATGTCTGACCACACGCGATCTCGTCAACATACCAGTTGATTTCCCTATCACATGTTTAGTAGGATTTTTTTTATTATATATTTTATTATATCATCACTATATGGCGTCACCAATGACTTAATCAATCCGTCGTCATCATCATCATCATCATCATCATCATCAATCATTATTTTATAGTTCACATCGTAGTTCATTATTCATGTATTATAAGTTGTAGCAGGAACACTCGGGGATTTTATGGGTCCGCGTTAGGTTTTATTCCACGAGCCGGAGATAAGGCTTTATACAACGAATTTATCTTACCGGTATGTTTTAATATGACATTGTTAAAAAAAATAAAATAATTAAAGCTTGATAGACAACAGCTGTTCGATTGAGCTGTGGTGAACTTGTGTGAAGTCACGTGACTTTAACTGACTCGGAAAAAGCATGTGCCTTTTTGCTTCCAAGCGGGGTATGTTTCATCTGACATCCACGTCAGACATCCTCTTGAAGTGATGTTCTGTGGCAAACTTCTTCTTCGATGGCGAGGGTTACCGAGATAAGACCGTGTCTGCACACTATGCAATTCATCTACTGTTGGAGACGAGTTTCACGATCTTTTTAGGTGTGCAGCACTTCTCCAAAAACGACTTTACATCCCAAAGAATTGTTATATCGGGCCAAATATGTGTAAACTGCGTAAAATGTTATCACCTAATAATAAATCCACTTTGAAACATCTGTCCAGATTTATTAGACATTTGAACACAATATTACGTTAAAGTGTCTAAATTATTTATTAAGACAAGTTACCGTCTTGATCTGCATTGAATATATATAGACTCTGAAAAACCACCAACGGTTGTACAAGAGTATATATATATATTATTATCAAATATTATTTATTAAGACACTAAGACATATTACCGTCTTGATCTGCTTTGAATATATATATATTCAATGATATATGATTTTAGGGTCATATATATATATTCAATGCAGATCAAGACGGTAACATGTCTTACTGTCTTAATATATATATATATATATATATATATATATATATATATACAGTAAACTACGGTATATAACGAACTCAAAGGGACTACTAATTTTAGTTCGTTATAACCGTAGTTCGTTATAAGCATATATACAGCATAACTACAGCAAATAGTCGGGACCAAAAAGTAAGTTCGTTATATCCGTCAGTTCGTTGTAAGGTGTTCGTTATAACCGTAGTTTACTGTATATATATACTCTTGTACCAGCGTTGGTGGTTTTTAAAGGACTAAACTGAACTCGAACTGGAACAGTCCGCAACGTTGTAACGAAGCTATCAAGTTACCTCCATGTGTAAGGCTGGTTATGTGAGGCCGGACACCTGGTAAATGTACCCGGGCCATAGGTTATACCAAGAAGTAGCTAATTTAGGCCTTGTAAACTTGGTTACTTATAGTTCTCGTTAGGTGACGCCTCCACTTCCTGGATCAAACCATACGTTGTTGGTGATAAGAGCTTTGTGGTCGAATTAAAGGGGGTCTACGCTCCTTTGTCCTGTGCCCTTATTAGTCTTGGTGGAGACCTCATAGTCATAGTGCCGTGCGTGACTTTGTATCATTGCTTCTATGTAAGTTGAGTAATCACTAACTTATATTGACCTTCATTATGAAATCTGAGTAAACGTGAGTGAATGAGTGAGTTGGGTTTAACACCGCTTTTAACAGTATTCCAGTTATATCACGGCATGTCAGCTTAATGTGTGAGTTGAGTGAGTGAGTATGGTTTTACGCCGCTTTTAGCAATATTCCAGCAATATCACGGCGGGGGGACACCAGAAATGGGCTTCACACATTGTGCCCATATCGGGAATCGAACCTGGGTCTTCGACGTGACGAGCGAACGCTTTAACCACTGGGCTACCCGACCGCCCTGCTTAACGTGTGAGGAAAGCCGGAATCGATGCAGGTCTCAGAAGTTTACCTGAGTAAAGGATACACAGGTATGTTTGACGGACCTGAATCAATCCTACCAGGCCTGCTGACTGTCCTCCCGGATCTAGTGTCCTATTCAACATGCTTCTGGCATATCAGACATGCTTCCAACGAACGTAATATATAGAGGAGGAGAAGAAGGGGTGGTGGGGTGGGGGTTGCGCCCAAACGTTTAATTAATGTCTGCAAATTTGATACAACCTTAAATAGGCCCCTAAAACTACAAGTACTCATATGGATATGAACCTCGTCACATGTGATCAAGACGAAATATCACATAGAAATGTCCCTTGTATCGTCGTCTGGCTATACTGAGTAATGGTTTTATTAATTACGATCTTAATGATAACATGCCTATATAGTACGACCTTAGTCTAAAAGCATTTTAACTTTAAACCATACGAAATACACGCATCATATATTTTATAAATATGACAGAAATGATATGCCATGATAATGTTGATGTAGAGGTGTCATTAATCTATATGTAATACGTGAAAACATGAAGAAGGATTAGTAAATACAATGGTTATGATATGGTAATTCGAACATGGTGATGATAATGTTATTACTGATAAGTACCATATGAGTATACAAACAACGCCATAATGTCAAGGCTGTATAGTACTTGGAACAATTTTCAAATGGTGAGTCATACAATGATTCATATAGTGTCTCAACCAGTATATCTGAAGCTCCTATGTTAGAACAATAATAGTATTAGGTCACAGTACCTATATCAACAGCGTAAATATCTCCCCATTCAGTGACTAGAGCGTCAATCCAGGTAAGGTGAATCCTTTGACGAGAGCGCGAATCTGATCAACAGGTAAGTCGTTTTGCTGTCGGTTGTATGCGGAAGAGTTGAGAATCTGCTCAGCAATAATCTCGAGTCCAGTCTTAACCGGAGTGTATTTTTAAGTACTCAAGTACGTGTAACGATGGGGTTGTGCTATGTGTATTTCGGAATGAATAAGCTTTGATCTTACGAGGAATGCTACTCCATGTCACCAGGTGTTTCACATGGCGTGTGAACAGTATAGGTAGGACTCACTGACATGTGCTGTGACTGTTTATTGTTGTGATTGATAGTAGCACTCACAGAACTGAAAGTTGAGTTGGTTGTGATAGTATCACAGACCTGGACCGTTGTGTTAGTTGTGACAGTAGCACTCACATAACTGGACCGTTGTGTTAGTTGTGACAGTAGCACTCACAGAACTGGACCGTTGTGTTGGTTGTGACAGTAGCACTCACAGAACTGGACCGTTGTGTTAGTTGTGATAGTAGCACTCACAGAACTGGACTGTTGTGTTAGTTGTGATAGTAGCACTCACAGACCTGGACAGTTGTGTTAGTTGTGATAGCAGCACTCACAGACCTGAAAGTTGTGTTAGTTGTGACAGTAGCACTCACAGAACTGGGCTGTTGTGTTAGTTGTGATAGCAGCACTCACAGACCTGAAAGTTGTGTTAGTTGTGATAGCAGCACTCACAGACCTGGACTGTTGTGTTAGTTGTGATAGTAGCACTTACAGAACTGAAAGTTGAGTTAGTTGTGATAGTAGCACTCACAGACCTGGACCGTTGTGTTAGTTGTGATAGTAGCACTCACAGAACTGGACTGTTGTGTTAGTTGTGATAGTAGCACTCACAGAACTGAAAGTTGAGTTACTTGTGATAGTAGCACTCACAGACCTGGACCGTTGTGTTAGTTGTGATAGCAGCACTCACAGACCTGGACCGTTGTGTTAGTTGTTATAGTAGCACTCACAGAACTGGACTGTTGTGTTAGTTGTGATAGTAGCACTCACAGAACTGAAAGTTGAGTTAGTTGTGATGGTTGCACTCACAGACCTGGACTGTTGTGTTAGTTGTGATAGCAGCACTCACAGAACTGGACCGTTGTGTTAGTTGTGATAGTAGCACTCACAGAACTGAAAGTTGAGTTAGTTGTGATAGTAGCACTCACAGAACTGGACCGTTGTGTTAGTTGTGATAGTAGCACTCACAGAACTGAACTGTTGTGTTAGTTGTGATAGTAGCACTCACAGAACTGAACTGTTGTGTTAGTTGTGATAGCAGCACTCACAGAACTGGACCGTTGTGTTAGTTGTGATAGTAGCACTCACAGAACTGAAAGTTGTGTTAGTTGTGATAGTAGCACTCACAGAACTGGACTGTTGTGTTAGTTGTGATAGTAGCACTCACAGAACTGAAAGTTGAGTTAGTTGTGATAGTAGCACTCACAGACCTGGACCATTGGGTTAGTTGTGATAGCAGCACTCACAGAACTGAAAGTTGAGTTAGTTGTGATAGTAGCACTCACAGACCTGGATTGTTGTGTTAGTTGTGACAGTAGCACTCACAGACCTGGACCGTTGTGTTAGTTGTGATAGTAGCACTCACAGAACTGGACCATTGAGTTAGTTGTGATAGCAGCACTCACAGACCTGGACTGTTGTGTTAGTTGTGATAGTAGCACTCACAGAACTGGACTGTTGTGTTAGTTGTGATAGTAGCACTCACAGACCTGGACCGTTGTGTTAGCTGTGATAGTAGCACTCACAGACCTGGACTGTTGTGTTAGTTGTGATAGTAGCACTCACAGACCTGGACCGTTGTGTTAGTTGTGATAGTAGCACTCACAAAACTGGACTGTTGTGTTAGTTGTGATAGTAGCACTCACAGAACTGAAAGTTGAGTTAGTTGTGATAGTAGCACTCACAAAACTGGACTGTTGTGTTAGTTGTGATAGTAGCACTCACAGAACTGAAAGTTGAGTTAGTTGTGATAGTAGCACTCACAGACCTGGACTGTTGTGTTAGTTGTGATAGTAGCACTCACAGACCTGGACTGTTGTGTTAGTTGTGATAGTAGCACTCACAGAACTGGACTGTTGTGTTAGTTGTGATAGTAGCACTCACAGACCTGGACCGTTGTGTTAGTTGTGATAGTAGCACTCACAGACCTGGACTGTTGTGTTAGTTGTGATAGCAGCACTCACAGACCTGGACCGTTGTGTTAGTTGTGACAGTAGCACTCACAGAACTGAAAGTTGAGTTAGTTGTGATAGCAGCACTCACAGAACTGGACCGTTGTGTTAGTTGTGATAGCAGCACTCACATAACTTGAGCGTTGTACAAAGCGATCTTAGCGCTTAAGTGATCGTAGCTCCCATATCTTAACATAGACAGTCGCAGCGCTAAGGTTGTTTTGTGAAACGGCACCCTGGACCGTTGTGTTAGTTGTTATAGTAAAAACCTTAACAATGACAGTTGGGGTAGCTGTGATAGTAACAGTATTAGCAATCACAGTTGGGGTAGCTGTGGTACTAACATTAGCAGTTGGGTAAGCTGTCATCATAACAATATTAGCGGCCAGGGTAGTTGTCATTGAAACAACATTAGCAGTTGGGGTGGCCGTGATAGTAACAATATTAGCAACTACAGTTGAGGTAGCTGTGGTAGTAACATTAGCAGTTGGGTAAGCTGTGGTAGTAACATAATTAGTGACAGCTTTGATAACGGAACATAAATAATCAAACCGTTTTAACTTTCCTTTAACCTTTATTTTGAACAAATATAACATCAACACATGTGTAATTAAACTTAATGACATCGTACATATATTCTAAATATTTAGAAAAACTGAATGCGCAAAGCAGACACGTTTCTCCGCGGTTATAATTCTCTTCTCAGTTGGCAGTACTCGGTTGGAAATTCGTGTATATTTTTAAAACTAAAACAATAATCTAATGTTGAATTCCTTTTCCTCCAATAAACAACCATGTACAATGCACCGGTCTATTCACATACCTTTACAGCAGTTCATTCGCATGTCATATCCCATTTATCATCCCATCCGGGTTTACTGACCTTTGAATTCCTTTTCAACAAATTCTGTGAAGAATATCATAAGCCACGCCCCGAATGCAAATATCTGCAACCATGGGGGTCGTGGGCCGGATGGATATGCTCGTCTGGGGCTGATACGGCAAACTGTTGATGTTGCGTGTTTACCTTCACACTAGGAAGTTGGCCAAGACTTCAGACAATTTAACCATGTTTGTTACATCAGTGGTGAGTTGCTTCAGGGAGACGTGTTCCCTTTTTCTATTCCCTATTTGTACATATACACATGAGACTACTGGGTAGTGTTTGGGGGTGATTTATTGTAGTGTTGTACAAACACTAGTATGTTTATCCTGTCCGGTATTCGGCGGATTAAGAAGTAAGTAGTTACCTGTTGATATTCATTGTTTGATTGGCTTTTATACGTTTTTTTAAACAATTCTTTTTGATCGGCATTTTCATTTATATATATATTACTTTCTTTGTATCAGTATTTCATGTCATGTACCAGTCCGTTCGGCATTCCCTATCGGAGTATGAATGGCTGAATGTTTGATATACTCGAGGTAGTATTGGTGGTTGAGTATATTCGAGGTAGTGTATGGTTGATTGTTGAGTATACTTCAGGCAGTGACTGGCTCAAGGTTGGGAATACTCAAGAGGATGAGTGGTTGATTGTTCATTATACTCGAAGTGGTGAATGGTTGATTGTCAGTATAGTCAATGAATGGTTGATTGTTGAGTATACTTCAGGCAGTGACTGGCTAAAGGTTGGGAATACTCAAGAGGATGAGTGGTTGATTGTTCATTATACTCGAAATGATGAATGGTTGATTGTCAGTATAGTCAATGAATGGTTGATGATTGAGTATACTCGCTGTGTAGTGAATGGCTGATAGTTCAGCGAACTCGAGGGATGAATGGTTGACTGGCTAAGAATACTCTAGGAGTGAATGGATTATGGTTCATAAACTCCAGGGGGTGAATGGTTGATTGGTTCAGTATACTCGGGTGTTGGTTGGGTAGGTTGAATGATTGATTGTTCAGTATACTCGTTGGGTGAATGCATGGTTGATTGGATTTGTAGATTTTGGGGTAAATAGTTAATGGTTCTGTATTCACTAGGGATGAATAGTTGGTGGTTCAACAAGAACTAGAAAAGAATGTATCCCTCCTACGAAAACCTAATCATACCACTTTTGTGCCATAATATTTTTTTTCAAATCGAAATTTCTAGTTATTTCAATTATTTTCTCGTTACTTCGACTTTTATCTCGTTACTTTCAATTATTTTCCTGTCACTTCGATTATTTTCTCGTTATTTCAATTATTTACTCGACATTTCGAGGTTTTTTTGCGTTACTTCGATTATTTTCACATTCATTTCAAGTTCACCTCTGTAAAACGAGAACACTTTCGAGAAAACAATTGAAATAACGAAAAAATACACTTGAAATAACGAGAAAATAATCGAAATAACAGGAAAAAATCAAAGCAACGAGAACAAAATCGACATTTTCAGAAAATAATTGAAATAACGAGAAATTTCGATTTAAATAAAATAAGATTGTGGTACTAAAGTGGCACCATTAGGCTTTCGTACCCTTCTGTCACATTTGTGGTGTTTCTGGGGTGAACACCACCACCCAGTAATGTAAGAAGTCAATGCAAGACTAGCACCCATTACTCATAGATAAATAGCGTTGGTAATAGATATATGCATCCTGTTTGTTCCAGAAATCCGGGTTCTGTGGTGTTTCCGGGAAAGGAGCTATACATAACTAGGGTGACCCTGACCTTCGCACTTCCTGGATCATGGATCGCCAAGCAGAACTCGTACGTCAACAATGTCCGTCTAGTGACTGCACGCAGTTATAGCATTCTTTTGAATTGTATAACCAGGAGGTATAGTGTGACCTAATAGTTCTTACCCCCGCACAGTACAGTTGCGGATCCAGAGGGTGTTGATGGGGTGTCTCCTGTATTGACCACCCACTTTATAGACTTCTACATTAATATATGGACCCCCATTAACCTCAAATCCACAAAATACCTTCGTTATAAGTGTAGGAGAAACCATGTCTTCGAGGGATTACTAGAGATTGTAAACCCTCACATGAGGGAACGTCCCGAGGGGGCCTACTTCGGACTTATAAACCGACTCATCGCACAGACAACGCTTTTAATTGAATAACTGTAATAAAAACTCTCAAATGTATAACCTGTATCGGAGATGAAATATCGCCTGCAGTCGTGAACCCGGTTCAATGAAACCGGTGACCTCAGCACGTGGGTTTCGCAACTGTGCGAAATCTACACGTGCCTCTCGCAATGGCACAAAATCTGCACGTGCGTCTCGTAGGCTGTTCGTAGTTTTTGTTCTATCAAGGGTTTACAATGATTGTAAGCCCCCCTGCGAGGTGTTACAATCGTAGTAATACCTCCTGCGAGGTGTTTCCACAATTTCAAAAACTGCATATCGAGTTACACAAACAGCCAGTAGGTTTATAATTGTCTGTTTGTTGAGGGCACATGTGAAGATCCGGGAAGAGAATAGGTCTTCAGCAACCCATGTTTGCCGTAAGGGGCGACTATGTTTGTCGTAAGAGGCGACTAACTGCATGGGGTGGTACGGCTCGCTGACTTGGTTGATGCATGTCCTTGTTTCCCAATTGCGTAGATCGATGCTCATGATGTCAATCACTCGATTATTTACAGGCCGCCGGCATATAGCTGGAATATTGCTTAGTGCAGGCTTTAACAACAAACAAACCAACCAACTGTTTCTTAGGTCGTTTTCTGTCAAAATCATTTTGTGTTAATGTCATTCCGTGTATGTAGCATATTACTTTGAGCCTTAACGGACGGTATTTGAATTGAAACTGGTTAATGACAAAGCTCTTATTTCGGGGTCTTTAAAATGCGATCGCGAAATCCACAGAATGTTTGGGAAAATTTTATTTATCTTACAGAGAAACCTAATAAAAGAGACTAATATATCAAAACAAGAGGTCTTGGGGGATCAAATTTGCATAATTTAAGAAATAAGCAAACTTTTTAGATGACATGAAAATCTTACCTGAACTGTTGTCATCACTGGATTTCTGTAGTCCAGTCATATAAAAAGAGCAAATCAGTGATGACACCAGGTGTTCGCGAAAGGGGAAAGCAGTTGTTTCGCCCCCGTTTCCTTGACACTCACCCGTACCTATGTTTACACTTGTTCGTAGTTATTTCCACACGTAGTCCATCCAAGATTGTTATTCCCTACCGGTAACACCCGCAAGTTATCCGTAATTTATACCAGGGTATGGTTAGTGCCCTTTTGGGACCACAGGATCTACATAAGTTTAAAAATTAGTTTCAAAGTTATCAGATAAGTCAATATGAATGATAATTAGGCCCGAATATGTATAGGTAAGATTAAAGTGTCGAAAAGGCTTTTATAGTCTTTCTTACAATTTGAAGAAGAACAGTTCTTTTAGCCAAGCTCAATCTCATTGAGCCAAGCTGATTGTCTTTGGAAAGACGATAATGACAATGGAGTAAAATATATCTTGGGTCAGGGATTTGCTCACAGTTAGATTCCCCCTGACGTATTTTTCTCTTTTTTTAACCATACTAATGTACTTTACATGTCAGAAGTTTAAAACGTAAAAGTGAAAGAGAGAGGCTAGTTGTCAGCCACTGGATCCCCGTTCGCTAACGTTAAACAAAAAATAAAACTTTTCCAGGCGTTTTATATTTTTCGAATTACGGACCCGCCGACTCTAATTTTTTAGAAAATGTAAAAACAAAATCAGATTTCCGTTTTTTCCCCCGCCGATAGCCACGTAGTCAGTTATTTTATTTGTTATCATCACCTTTTAATAAAAGAAACATGAATTTACCGTTGTAAACTAGTAAAGAGATACATAATCGATCTTTGTTGATCTCGAAGCCGAACATGAACAGCCTCCCTTGACAATTGTCCGTGTTGTAAGTGGTAGAGTTTTTATTGTTACAAGGGGCTTTATCGTCACAAATGGCAGTCTTTTGAACACAGAATATGTTCATAAAGTATGCCAGAGGCATTCTGCATAAAAAAAATGCATCTGGCTTTTTTCCCCTCCTCCAACCCTGGACTTAAGGCTGAAAAATCCGTAATCATAAAAATAAAAAAAAGCCTGGCCTTAAAGCCTGATATCTTGTCTATCCACAGAGTGCAACAATGAAAGACACGTGTGCAGCGACTATAGAAACACCCAGTCGTCTGCTTATCTTCTACCAACCAACCCTCAGCACCAGTATCTCCGCTTATCTCCCTTCTTACGTCATCAGACGACTTGTTGGAGAGAAGGTGACAATAGGTCGAAGCTCGAGTGCAGACGTTAGGTTGAATGACGAGCGTATGTCAAGAATGTACGCTGAGATATGGAACGATGGTAGAGATCCGTTTGTCTTCAAAATCCGCAATATCAGCGAGAGGAAGATGGTGATAGTCGACAGCAAAGTACTGAATAAAGATGACCAAGCCTCTTTCAAAGACAACTGCACCCTTAAACTTGATTTTGTAGAACTTCTTCTAAAAGTGTGCCCTGGTGACGCTATTGCGGCGACCTACGAAGTCAGCGTTATCAAGAACGCTGTCGTCGGCAGGGGCCCTCCTTGTGACCTCGGGTCTTCCCACGGAGACACCTTCCGATCAACCTCCCTCCTGCGTTGTCTCATGCCCCACACAGACACCGAGGGGTGTCCTGCGTCTGGGAAGGATTATACAAGTTCACGCCAATCCCTTCCCCCCGAACCTCTTAGTAAGTGTTCAAGAAATGACCTTGACTCTGGTTGTGTCTTTGATACAAGTGGAAAGTACCGCCCAAACATTCCAGCCAATCAACATCCAGCATCCACACCACGGTGCCACACCTGCCTAAGAGCGGGTCCTGATAGAAGGCGATCATCTCCTTGCGAAAATAGTGACGTCATCAACGATGGAACAACAGACGACAATAATGCGTTTTGATATCTGTGTGATGCTGTCAATGCGATGTAGGCTATATCATTATGTAAAGTCAAATGGTCATACTCAATAGGTAATCTCGGATTGTATCAAGCGTCCAAGAGTGAGTGAGTGAGTGAGTGAGTGAGTGAGAGGGGTTTTACGCCGCTTTTAGCAATATTCCAGCAATATAACGGCGGGGGACACCAGAAATGGGCTTCACACATTGTACCAATGTCGGGAATCGAACCCGGGTCTTCGGCGTGACGAGCGAACGCTTTAACCACTTGGCTACCCGACCGCCCACTAAGCGTCCAAGAGACGACATCCTGGATGACTTCTAATGTGAACAGGATTGTTTCCCTCCCCGCTGGTATTAATACCGTAGCCAGATCATACCATGATGGACCTCAGCTTGTGATCTCACAGAACACTGGATAAAGTCTCAACGATTTCATAATTTTAGTAAATTGTTATTTGTGAAACATGTATGCATTATCGAGTAATTGACAAATAAATTGGCTCAATTTCCAAACACAAATTGTTCCGATTTATTTACGTTTATTAAACTTGCATTAGTGCACCCTTCGGGGACACGACTGGCCCAGTCGTCTAAGGCACCGCATATCGCTGTGCAGAGCTGCGTCACTTGGGTACGCCAGTAACGTCTGAGACCTGCATCACTTCGGTCTTTCCTCCCACATTAAGCTGACACGCCGTGATATAGTCTGTTCAAAGACTAGATGAAGCCATGTAAGGCAGCCCAAGATTCGTCACCAAGTCGGCTTTTCTTTTCTTTTCTTATACTGGAATACTTCATTAGCACTTCATTAGCAGCGAGCTTTTGATGTCTTAAGCCAAAAGATGTAAATGTCTGGTCCGCGAACCAAAGAAAACACAATTCGAGCTGTCACAACTAAGAACAACGACGTCAAACAGAACTTTCTAATCTTCCATACTGGTTGTCAAGCCTCACACTAAACTCAGAGAAGACACCAATGCCGATCAGGGGCGGTCGGGTAGCCTAGTGTTTTAAGCGTTCGGTCGTCACGCCGAAAACCCGGATTCGATTACCGACATGGGTACAATGTGTAAAGCCCATTTCTGGTGTCCCCCACCGTGATATTGCTGGAATATTGCTAAAAGCGGCGTAAAACCAAACTCACTCACTCACTCACTCAAAGCCGACCATCGTCTTTAGAGATTGCGTTGCTTGACAAGGGTTTGTCAGATGCTCTCCTGCCCATATACAAATGTATAAGTATACACAGTTACTAGGTATAATATGGTAGTCGCAAGAAAACCGTTTGTTCTCCAAGGCTGGGTTTGTGAATACATTAAACTGGCTTTTTTCCGCTGTGGACAAACATGTGTTTACCTTTGGTGAGTTTTGACGACGTTTTTGAGGACTGTCACAATGAAATACATTGTACCGAAAACTCGATATTTCTTATTAGTGAAGCCTAACTTGCATGTCCTCTATTTAACCACCGCATAACTAAATCAAATTTCTAACATGAAATATTGTATTATGAATAAAAAATATGTAGTAAAATACATGTAATAACAAACTGTCTGTCATCATTGTCATTATCATGTCCTAGGATTAGCCTAAGGTTTGTTACGATTGGTATGTTGGAGAAGTCCCAAACACAAGAGACGCCTTACTGTCCAGCGTGTTACTTCAGCCTATATGGAGATATCTTGGACGATGATCATGATACCAAGCACCTGATTGTATGATTCAGTTATATACAGGTCGCCGTGACATACCTGGCATATAGCTGACTATGGCGTAAAACAACACACAAACAAATAAACACTAAGTTACCCGAACACATTGACATGCTGCATAGTATTGCTCCATTGACTGGTGGTTCGTTGAACATGATGGATGTCCTAAACATAATCAGATTTGACAAAATTAATTTTGGCTTTTCCTTTCAGAGAAATAATGATGTTTGACATTGAAAAACATGCTGAACAGTAGCCGATAAAAAATTCTCCCTCAACCAAAAATCCCAAACTACTGCTACTAATTCTGTACAATACATGCATGTCAACGTGACCTTCCAACTGAAAGTGTCAATCAATTGTTCGAAACAGAAAGTAGCTTTGAGGACGTAACAACAGACCACCATTCCCCGGCTGAGTTAGTTTGGGCGGGGAATTTACCCTATAACCACATAAAATTTCAGGTAGGACCTTAATACAATATGAATATTTATATATATATATTGATTATATGTTGTATATACGTTAGTATTAAGTCGGTATTGCACTCGTCATAAAGAAACCAATAACTGACATGAGGTAAATCGATGCTGTAATTCTATTACTGAAAAGGGCAAGCAGTGTCGCTTTGTATGACAACTGTAAGCCACTTATATAAAACATAATAACCAACATTCACACTTCGTTTCTAAATGAAATGCTATTTTCCATCAATTACAGTGATGCGTTCCAGGAAATCACGTTAGATTTCCAAGAAAACGCTCGCTGTCACAAGCCGAGGTAAGCTATCATGAGATGCGTCTTATTCTCAGACAAGTCAATACATCTGAAGACTTTAAGTCGGGAGAATACAATGTATTGGTCTTATGATGTAAGGTTACATTCCTACTTCTCGCGATGATAGATATTTGTGTGCAGGTGGTTATGTGTGTAGCGTAAACAAGGGAAGTCAGGAGAATGGATGAAAACCACATGATCCAGTACATAATGCCACGTCACGACAACCTTGCAGGCAATACCACCTCGCTTCGTTGAAGATTGGGTTGAGGTAAAAACATCAGTCAACTTGGAACCACCCGATGGAAACCGCACAAACTACAGCCTGGGGATGACACGGGAGATCGAAGACGATGATTGGCAAGATTCATCTTCAAAATGATCCAATCCCTGCCTGATGAACAGTAGATAATTCAACACAGGCAAGCTGATCCCACAGGACCTACAGAAGAACCTCAGCGGGATCTCAAAGGGAGATTGACCAATGTTTCTGTACTGTGTTCAAAAACAAAAGTTTGGGTAGAATTTCGAATGCGAATAAGGATTAATATCTTTAGGTATTGTACATTTATGTTTAGCACTATTACCAGCTGTTGGTTTTCTTGTTGTATCGCCAATCCCGGTAACATGACAGAACATTATGGTTAAATCGTCATTTACATATTTCATTTTTCTACCACTTCGCTTTTAACATGACCCTAGTGTTTGTAATCACACTGGCTTCCTATTGTCTGAGATCACCAGACCTTGAACACACGCCCCGTGCACTTTGTGTAAACACCCCGCAGAACCGTGCTTACTCATAGCCAAAAAAGTCTAGTCGAGGCTTTGAAAAGTTAACAAAAGCTAAGTTCGTGCATGGCTGCTTGCTATTACAGGGTTATCAATGTTGGGGTTGTTGCCGGGGTGTGCCGTGATGCAGAATGACGTAACCATGTCGTTGTTAATGCACGCATATGCTATACACAATACCAGTCCAAAACCTTTTTAATACTTTGAAACATTAACATGTTCAAACTTATGAAGATACATTTAAACGTTATAACACAAACACATAAATTAGTCTTGTCAATATATGTATAAACTTTGAAGGTTCGAACATATCACTGTGAACAGCACCGAGTTCCCTTTGTTCATAACTAGCAGAGTGACACCATGCCGCTTGAAGTGGATTTATGGGGTCACTTATGCATGTTGCATAAGCACGGTCACCTCAGAAGAAAATACATGCACATGTATATAACTGGAAAAATACAAAACATCCTACACTTAAAACAGTAATAGGTTATTTTACTAAACCGACCGACCAAAAAAACTCTATGCCAAAATAACTTAATTTATATAAAATCAAACCTATTTGGGGTACATAAAGCCGTAAATCACGAGATAGTAAAAGCGTAGCCGATGGTCAAAAGTATTCAAATAAGAGTATATTTCTCAATCAGCATGTTGTTAGTCTTTGAAAATCCAACATGAATTTAAAAAGCTTTTAAGACTGGCACAAGTGAAAATATCACGTTAGAGCGATCAAAAGTGCGCTGTTCATGTTGAAAAGAAAAATATTTATCGCATGCATTTTCACTAGGCTATCGCGTGGGGATTCCCATGCAGACAAGAAGGCCAGGAACGTCATGCTTACCGTACGAGGCGACTACAATACGAATATCGGGTGGATCGTTGGTCTTGCCATCAGCTATTGGTGTGCCTTGCCCAGACTCGATAACTCACCGGCCACCATCAATAAGCTTGAATAGAGCTTCAAAACGCCATCGCCAGAGAATAATCAGTTTCTCGTATCTGCGAAAACAGACTTCAATGGCGTAATACGCAAAATAGTGATGGACATTTTATGAACTCATCAATGCAAAGCAGTGTTGACACCAGGTGTTCCCGAAAAGGGTAACCATGTCCCGCTCGACTGGTAGTACCCGCCACCCAAACAACTTTTAAAAAATGTAAATACCCGTGGGAAAGCAGGTGTGAAAACGTCCTGCAAAGGTCATAGTAAAGGTGTCTTCCAAATATGCCTACAGTCCCATTCTGCCGAAGTAAAATCATGAAATGATACGGCCTGATGCTCAGAAAGTGATGCATGAGTGATCATGACTGTTTCACCTTGAATAGTGTGAGTGAGTTGGGTTTAACGCCGCTTTTAACAGTATTCCAGTTAAATCACGGCGTGTCAGCTTAATGTGGGAGGAACGTCCGAAGTGATGCAGGTCTCAGACGTTTACCACTTCGGTGAAACCCACGAGCACGGGTATGGTGCTGACAAATCTAGAAACATAATCGGGGTTTCTGGGGTGCCCAAGGGACGCAACTCTGCACAGCGAATCGCGGCGCATTAGACGACTGGGCCACCCGTGCCCATCTGTTGACCCTCAGGCAGACTTGTGTTGTAGATTTCACACCTTATTCCCAGAGCGCTAACATCTGCTTGCGACATTTTGTAAATTACTCTCGATGTCTACCATACAATTCCTGCAATCAACAAGGCCATGGTAGTCAAAAACTAGATTTCAAAACTTTGTTGTAAGCAAAATGTGTCTTTCCTTGAAATTTGAAATGTACACGCTCTAAAGTATCCAAGTCATGGAGAAATGTATAGACGCCATAAGAGGTGATGATGTCTTGCTTGATTGGAAAATGGAAATCATTTCTTGTCGCACAGCTTGGCACAGGCCTCGTCCTGTTTGCATTTCTAGTCATATCAAGGTTGCGTCAGTTGGTGGTGTACCCATGGGGATACCTTCTACTTGTCTAAATATTCTCTGTCCAAAGTTAGACATAATATTGCCAATCGGTAAGTACAGCAACTCACATATTTGGTTATCTGTCTATTTCTGAGTAGAGTTACTTTCAGTCTTGTAATTTAATGTCCAAAACCCTTTCGCGAAATCAAAATCCCTCTTGAACAATTTATCAGTTTACTTTATTGCTGTCAGAATTATTGTTATTACCTTTGACAAGGATTCGTTGGTACATTTGCTGGACCCTGCAATATCTCTCCCTTTATATGGATTCTGAGGAAGCTTATTAATCCCGCGTAAAGTTGGAATGAATTTATGTTGCAGAAATTCCACGAGTACTTAGAAATTAATTATTCATGATTGTTATATATTTCCCCTTTTTTCAGATTTGTCTTGCCTTTTCATGTGTTTGTGACGAGTGTCACCAGTGAAGCAGGATACGCTCACTTACGAGAACATTTGTTATCACTATGCTTATGGTATAGTCGGAGTCGTTCGTACAATGATATCTGGGGGCGGTCGGGTAGCCTAGTAGTTAAAGCGTTCGCTCGTCACGCCGAAGACCCGGGTTCGAATCCCTACATGGGTACAATGTGTGAAGCCCATTTCTGGTGTCCCCCGCCGTGATGTTGCTGGAATATTGCGAAAAGCGGCGTAAAACCATACTCACTCACTCACTCACTTACAACATACTGAGATTATTTCAAATTGTCAAACTATCAGCGCTAAACTAAAAACACAAACTGCAGAGTTGTACCTTCAGTGCTATAGGATGATGACGAGTATTGGTTTGGTACGGTGGCCCATAAGAGACATGGAGTCTGTTTTTTCCATATTTAATAAATCATGTGTAAAGAAGATATTGAATCGCTGAAAAGTGAAACATTTGACATTTCCATTTTAGCTTTTGACATTTTCACTTCACATTTCAGCGACTCAATAGCTACTTGAAAGTACATGTTTTAGGTTGTTTTTATACATGATTTATCACATATTTGTATGACAAATTGTCTTAATTTGCAAAAGGTTACGATAAAAGTAAGTGAAACATCAAAATATTGAAAAACAGACTCCATGTCCCTTATGAGCCACCGTAGTTTGGTATAGTTTATTTAGTTTGAGTGATTCTCACCCCTTAATATTCACGTTTCACATCTTAAACTTAATTTTCGTAATGGAGAAATCTTAAGAAGCAACATATTCGAGAGATGTCTCCAGCTTTAACAATGTTATGGTTGATGTATAATTTCGCTAAAACTTTGAATAATGACCTGGGCCCCCTTGCACAAAGCGATCTTAGTGCTAAGATCATCTTAACTCCCATACTTTAACATAGGCTTACAATAGTCTTAGAACTAAGATCGTTTTGTGCAAGTGGGCCCTGGAGTTATTTATTTGTTTGTAGTTTGGAGAACATTTTGTGTACTCCTTTCTTTATTACGGTTGTAAGAGAGTGTGGCGCGTGTCATTCTCCAGTAATTTCGACACATTGAAATGAAGATTTACCTAATGCAATGTTTAAATAGTATATCAACAAAGACATGTCAAGATAGAAAGTCAAACAAACCGATCATTATTAATAAAGCCAGACTGACCCGGAAATAGTGTCGATTACTCGATAAAATATTATAACTTTAATCGATAATTTGATAGTAGATGATACATTCTGCAACGTAGATTATTATATCAGGTTCGTAGATGCAAGTATCTTCTACGTAGATGTGAGTGGTATCATCTACGTAGATAATAGTATCACCTATGTAAACGTAAGTATTATCTACTTAGACGAGACTCATTTTTAGACTTTCGCACTTATATGCTCCACAGAGCCCCTTTACTAGCGTTACATCACATTGCTGGTTTCAACAACCCTTTGTTACTAAATATCCTGAACAGCAAAAGAAACGTCACCATGGATAGATATATGAGAAACCTTATTTGTCCAAACACTGTAAACATACTTTGAGACATATTAAAAAGATGAAACTTGTTAAAACCTATCATCAAGGTTGAAATTAAAGTGTCAAATGTTCTGAAAGTGAAACACAGCACTAGTCTCTGAGAAAATGGCATCACATGTCAGTATCTCGTGTGTCCGCCATGTGCATTGATGACTGCCGTGCAACGTCGATACATGGAATGGATGAGGCGGTTGATGAAGGCCATAGGTACTTGAGCCCACACTCCGAGGAACGCCTGACGCAGTTCGGCTGCAGTTGTCGGCGTTGGTCGGACGTCATTCAGGCGTCTTTGAATCTCAGGTGCTAAATGGGATTTAAATCGGGACTGAGGGCAGGCCACAACTTGGTTCTGATGCCATTCTGCTGGAGGAAGTCTCTTGTTGCTCTCGCAGTGTGGGCACGGGCGTTATCATGCTGAAATTCGTGATTGCGGCGACGTTCCAAATGAGATATGGCGTGTGGTCTCAAGACTTGATCAATGTACCGAGCTGCTGTGACACCATTGCCTCTCCCAGGACCGATGATCTGGAAGATCACAGGGCCGACCCTCTGTGCAAGACCAATTCCACCCCACACCATGATGTTTGGACCACCCCACGAGTCTCTCTCAACAACACAAGCATCCGAAAAACGTTCCCCACGGCGTCGCCAGACTCTCTCTCTCTCTGCCATCTGCTGTTGAGATACAGGAACGGCTCTCGTCTGAGAAGAGGACACTTCTCCACTGTTGGAGGCGCCAATGCTGGTGCTGTCTTGCCCACTGAAGACGGTCCCCGCGATGACGTGGTGTCAGAATGGGTCCTCGGTGTGGCCTGTGACAGTGGAGGTGTCTGCTCGTCAATCGTCGACGCACGGTGTCCGCACTAATGTGTCGCTGGTGTGTCCCCATGGCCTGGTCGAGCAGTTTCCGCGGCAGTAACAAAGCGACAAAGTAACAAAGATGCTGTCGCACAATCTGACGATCCTGACGTCGAGTGGTGACCCTTGGTCTTCCACTACGTGGTCGGTCATTTGAAGTGTTGGTGGTCTGGTACTGTTGCTGGAGCCTGTATATGGTCCTTACGTGGACTTGAAATACATTGGCTACTTCCCGCGCGGTTTGTCCAGCTTGCAATCGTCCAAGGGCTTGGTGTCGCTAATTTCTCGTCAATCTTGACACGTGGTATCAATTCAATAACGATTGAATGTTATCCGATCTGGGTGGATTTTTATAGGGCAAGAAATGGGGGAACGCATGTGCATTTCAATTTGCACGGAACCCACGTGCATTCGGTTACCATGGCCGTTGCCGTGATGCGTTTGTGGGCGATCGGTTTTATTGTCACCTGCTTTGTTTTTTTTATCATCAAATTTCATTTTTCCGGTCAAGGTAATATTAAATTTTAGAAACTTTGACAAAAATTACCCAGATATTTGAATGACAACTTTTCATGCAATGTTACTTGGGGTGACGTTTCTTTTGCGGTTCAGTATAGTTCTACAAGGGCCTAATGACGTGGTAGCAATAAGACCGATTATCTTCCAATCTGAATTTTGTGTTAATATGTTTCTAGAATAAAAGAAAATGGGGAACTGCTTTTCATCTAACGGCAGGTCATCGGAGACTGATCCCGCACAAAGGAATGAGGAACAAGGGAGACAATCCACATCACAACACTTCTATGGTGAGATAACCATCTGTTCTGAAACAAGACCTGTTTTCAAGGCAATTCATTTACAAATCTCTGTCATTCCTCTTATAGTGAGGGATTCGTATAAAAAAATATGAAATCACTACTACTTCTAATACTACTTGTGTGTGCGCGCTCATGCGTGCGTGCGGTCACCGCCCCGCAAGGCAAAATATGGATAAGCAAAAGAAATAATAGAATCACATCCGAGCAGAAGACAGAATAACCCATATAGACAGTCAAATTACACAGATTGCTTTGTTGAATACGTGTTCAAACTGAAGTCGACTGACCGATAAAGATAAAGACAAAGACACCTTTCTGTTGTAGACGCTCCGGTGACACAGTACAATTTCGGAAAAGCTGACACTGTCGGCGTAACCACTGGGAACCCTGCTCGTAGTCTCTCAAAAGGCAAGTCTGGAGACACAGTCTGTATAATAGTATGTAGACTGTAGAGAGAATATAATTCCATTTGGTAACCGAATAATTGTATGGTATTTAACATATATATTATATATTTTATATTACTTTTCAGTCATAAAAAATTGATCTAGACCATGTTATTTGTGTGTTTCAGAAGGCCTTCGCCTCAAAATAGATCAAGTAGAAAGTACCTTTGTGGATATCCAAGTTTTGACAAAAGTAAAAGACATTTTGAAAAGATACCACCATGTCGCCATCATTGGGTCTGCTGGAGACGGCAAAACCAGCATTGCTGCGATGCTTTGTGGCATGTTTATGTCAAAGTATGAAGCATTGTTTGTGGAACATATTGACGATTTTGATGTTGAAATAATCACTACAAGATGTTCTCATATGCTGGTTGTATTTGATGATATATTTGACGGTTGTCACTGCCCTTCAAACCTAAAGAGAATACTCAATGTGTTGGCGAATAGTCTGACTCACGATGCCTCGTCAACAAAACAGAAAGTTACACAAAAACAGAAAGATTCAAAGAGAGACAGCACCTCAAGGGGAGAGCAACCCAAATCATCCTCCAAGCTACTGTTCATCTTTACATCGCGGACATACAACTGGAACAGAGGATGTTCCCGGCTACATCAGTACAAATCCAGTCTGTTCAGGCCAGAAGCAATCGTGGATATGACCAACGAATACTGGACTGCTGAAGAAAAGAAAGGCCTCTTACATTCGTTTATGGCAAGACATCAGAAGTGTGAACTCTCCAACAAGGAAATACAAAATATTGCCAATTCAAAAAATATCGGATTTGGGTTTCCTCTTATGTGTAGCCGGTTCTTCCCAAATCCTGTATTTCAGATGCACACTGTGGACTTCTTCCAGAACCCCGTGACCTGCCTGAGAGGTGATCTTGACGCCATCATCCGAGAAGACAACAGCAGATCAGCAGCCCTCATACTCCTCATCCTGTGTGAGGGGAAGCTCAACCTTGTCACATTTCAGACAAAAGCTGACTTCAAACATCTCTTTAATGTTGTCAAAGAGGTTGTGGAATCCTGTACTCGAACAGGCATTGGCGAGGAGATAAGCAATTTTAAAGGCACTTACTGTACAGTGGAGGACCACATCGCTTCCTTCTCTCACCCGTCGGTATATGATGCTGCAGCCTGTGCTCTAAGTCACCTGAATCTTGTGCTGTTGCTGCAGTACTGCACTCTAAAGTTCTTGCATCAGCGGGTGAGACTGAAGAAGAAGCTTCAGACATCAACTACTGATGATGTCACAAATATGATTTACATCACCCCTGCTCAACACCAACTTGTTGTGGATAGACTTTCGGAAGGCATCCGACAGAGATGTTTCCAATGGACAGTCACACATCCTGTACTCAGTAACGACACCATTGCCTCCTCACTTGTGACCCAGTTAGGTGATGAGTTGACAACGATAGCACAACAGAGAGACAAAACATCTGGGAAATGTTTTTTGCATTGGGTTTCAAAATCTAATAGTGATGCACTGTTTAGGGGGGCATTGAGCGCTGTTGATAGAAAACACATTAAAGAAACCCAATCTGACATTTATGAAAGTGCAGCGGTATGCGTGAAGAACTACAAACAAGAACGTGTTGTCGACATTGTAACCCTACTGAAGCAAAAGGAGAGATTCAATGTGGATTACAAACTAGACACTGACAATGACAAAACCTTACTTTTGATTGCTGCAGAGGTTTGTGCTGTTGACATATTCAACTTATTTATAAATGAAAGAGCTGATGTATCTTTGGCAGATCGCGATGGACATACCAGTCTTCATTATACGTGTAAAAGGGGGAACACAGTCATAACAAAGAATATCTGTGAACTGGTCCCCGATATCATCGATGTCCGTGATACTAGTGATCAAAGACTGACTCCAGCATTGATAGCTTCTGAAATGGGTGAGGACAAAGTCCTACAGCTTCTTGTATCCAAGGGAGCAGACGTGACTCTGTGTGACAGCCAAAACCGGAACTGTCTGCATGTAGCAAGCTGTGGGGGACACCTCTCCACAGTCACGTATCTACTTGGGCTGGAGCGTTTTAACATTAACTGCAAAGGTGGGGCATCACGCCAAACACCTGTCATGATGGCAGCTCTGAATGGACATGACAAGGTGTATGATCACCTCGTGAACGAGGAAGCTGATCTGTCACTTTGTGATACCAACAATAGAGACTGTCTGATGTTGGCGTGTGAAGGTGGAAACCCATCTATAGTTAAACATCTGCTGTCAAAGAACACGTTTGATATCAACAGGAAAGGTAGGTGGGACAGCCAAACTGCTGTTATGCTCGCAGCTAAAGGTGGTCACTATGACGTGTACAATCTTCTTGTGACAAAGGAAGCTGACCTGTTAAAGCTAGATCTCTACAACAGTGACTGTCTAACTTGGGCATGCAGTGGAGGGAACGTGCAGATCGTGCGTCACATGCTGTCTACGAATCATTATGACATCAATAAAAGAAATGATGTAGATCAAACAACTCCAGTCATGCAGACAATGTACCTTGGATACTACGATGTTTTTAATCTTCTTGTGGCAGAGGGAGCTGATCTGTCTCTAAAAGATGCTAACGACAGAGACTGCCTGATGTGGGCATGCGCAGGAGGTAACGCATCCATTGTGAAACGCCTCCTACATTTGAAAAGATTTGACATCAACAGAATAGACAGTGTGTTGCAGCAGACGCCACTAATGATGGCTAAAGCTGAAGGTTTTGATGCCGTGTTCGATGTTCTTGTGTCAGAAGGGGCAGATCTGTCACTTGCTGGTAACTGAAACACGCATGGTCTATTTCTGTAATTGTGAAGGGGTGCGTTGAACATTGTCACCAGGGCTTCTGGCAGATGACGTCCTCAAGGTAATGACTAGGACATCGCTGCTTCCTCTAGGGCTTACCAACATACCTGTGGCGAAGACAACGTGGAACCAGAACAGTACTTCAGTGATACCCACAGCGTGTCAGTTTTATGGTGAGGGTAACCGTTACAAGCACGGTGCAGGCAAAACAATGATCACCATGGGGGATTATGGTATTCGTACGCACAATCATGCCTGCAAGACACAGCGATTTTGGGCGACATTGGACCATCATGTTCGCCCCTAAACTGACTTTCTATTCTGTTATTGTATTACTTGAAGCTGTGCTTCTATAACTTTCTTAAGCCAGCCCTCTCTTACGTATTTGGTAATACAAATAGACGTATGCTGTACCATTGCACATGTTTAGTCCTTGAGGGCATGAAATGGCATATATTGATCCGAAGTTGAGGGAAATACATCATGATTGCATATATGACGAAACGGTGTAATCTTGATTCAAAGGCATGGTAAAGTGTTAACAGAGGATTCGGCATTAACCACGGCTTCACACATTGTACCCATATCGGGAATCGAACCCTTCTTTGGCGTGACGAGCGCACGCTTTACCCACTAGGCTACCCGACCGCCCCCAGTATATACAAAGAGGCGTCAACAGTGATCAACATTTGTTAACTCACCTCAAAGTCTAGTAGTTGTAGGTGGTTGAATCTTGTTACATGTACATGCACATTCTAATCACGGACAACAATACTGTTGTTAATAGTTTGCTCACATACTGTAATGTTGCTTTGTGATTGAGCATCTGATCTACTGGGTTCTATACACTATTTGTACCAGAAAATACTGAAAAAGTAGTTTCAGGTTTAACACACACACGAAATGTTCCCGTAACAAAATGTCCTAAAACATCTGTTGTAAATAGAAATACAATTGTTCGATTCACCCTTTCAGACAAAAAACAATTTTTGACATGAATAAGTGACAGAACAATAATTCTCTATCCAACTCAAAGCTGGTATCAACTAATTCATGCTATAAAGCTATCGTTGTATGTATATATCATAATGTTTGATAAATAGTGTACATGTTATGGCTCTTAGTGCTTGTTTAAATTGTAATATCTGATGCCAAATGATCAGAATTATGGCTCTCCATGCATGTACATATCGCTATGTTAGATACCTATACTAATGCGGATACCATAGCTCCCCGTATATCGTACATTTTAGGAGATGAACCTTCTGTGTTTTGAAATTTGATGTAGTCCCACTGTAGAGTAGATACCTCTTTATTTTAATTTAGAACCGAGCGCTTTAGCGCGAGGTTCCAAATTTTAATAAAGAGGTATCTACTTCACAGTGGGAGTACATCAAATTTTAAAACACAGTAGGTAATTCTCCATTCTACCATGACGGCAACAACGCTTTGAAAACGGTGCTCCCTTGCAACGCTTAACAACACAGGTGCACAGGTCCGCAATCTTAGAACATTCCAAATTTTAATAAAGAGGTATCTACTTCACAGTGGGACTACATCAAATTTTAAAACACAGTAGGTAATTCTCCATTCTACCATGACGGCAACAACGCTTTGAAAACGGTGCTCCCTTGCAACGCTTAACAACACAGGTGCACAGGTCCGCAATCTTAGAACATTCCAAATTTTAATAAAGAGGTATCTACTTCACAGTGGGACTACATCAAATTTCAAAACACAGTAGGTAATTCTCCATTCTACCATGACGGCAACAACCCTTTGAAAACGGTGCTCTCTTGCAACGCTTAACAACACAGGTGCACAGGTCCGCAATCTTAGAACATTCCAAATTTTAATAAAGAGGTATCTACTTCACAGTGGGACTACATCAAATTTCAAAACACAGTAGGTAATTCTCCATTCTACCATGACGGCAACAACGCTTTGAAAACGGTGCTCCCTTGCAACGCTTAACAACACAGGTGCACAGGTCCGCAATCTTAGAACATTCCAAATTTTAATAAAGAGGTATCTACTTCACAGTGGGACTACATCAAATTTTAAAACACAGTAGGTAATTCTCCATTCTACCATGACGGCAACAACGCTTTGAAAACGGTGCTCCCTTGCAACGCTTAACAACACAGGTGCACAGGTCCGCAATCTTAGAACATTCCAAATTTTAATAAAGAGGTATCTACTTCACAGTGGGACTACATCAAATTTCAAAACACAGTAGGTAATTCTCCATTCTACCATGACGGCAACAACCCTTTGAAAACGGTGCTCTCTTGCAACGCTTAACAACACAGGTGCACAGGTCCGCAATCTTAGAACATTCCAAATTTTAATAAAGAGGTATCTACTTCACAGTGGGACTACATCAAATTTCAAAACACAGTAGGTAATTCTCCATTCTACCATGACGGCAACAACGCTTTGAAAACGGTGCTCTCTTGCAACGCTTAACAACACAGGTGCACAGGTCCGCAATCTTAGAACATTCCAAATTTTAATAAAGAGGTATCTACTTCACAGTGGGACTACATCAAATTTCAAAACACAGTAGGTAATTCTCCATTCTACCATGACGGCAACAACGCTTTGAAAACGGTGCTCTCTTGCAACGCTTAACAACACAGGTGCACAGGTCCGCAATCTTAGAACATTCCAAATTTTAATAAAGAGGTATCTACTTCACAGTGGGAGTACATCAAATTTTAAAACACAGTAGGTAATTCTCCATTCTACCATGACGGCAACAACGCTTTGAAAACGGTGCTCCCTTGCAACGCTTAACAACACAGGTGCACAGGTCCGCAATCTTAGAACATTCCAAATTTTAATAAAGAGGTATCTACTTCACAGTGGGACTACATCAAATTTCAAAACACAGTAGGTAATTCTCCATTCTACCATGACGGCAACAACCCTTTGAAAACGGTGCTCTCTTGCAACGCTTAACAACACAGGTGCACAGGTCCGCAATCTTAGAACATTCCAAATTTTAATAAAGAGGTATCTACTTCACAGTGGGACTACATCAAATTTCAAAACACAGTAGGTAATTCTCCATTCTACCATGACGGCAACAACGCTTTGAAAACGGTGCTCTCTTGCAACGCTTATCAACACAGGTGCACAGGTCCGCAATCTTAGAACATTCCAAATTTTAATAAAGAGGTATCTACTTCACAGTGGGACTACATCAAATTTCAAAACACAGTAGGTAATTCTCCATTCTACCATGACGGCAACAACGCTTTGAAAACGGTGCTCTCTTGCAACGCTTAACAACACAGGTGCACAGGTCCGCAATCTTAGAACATTCCAAATTTTAATAAAGAGGTATCTACTTCACAGTGGGACTACATCAAATTTCAAAACACAGTAGGTAATTCTCCATTCTACCATGACGGCAACAACGCTTTGAAAACGGTGCTCTCTTGCAACGCTTAACAACACAGGTGCACAGGTCCGCAATCTTAGAACATTCCAAATTTTAATAAAGAGGTATCTACTTCACAGTGGGAGTACATCAAATTTCAAAACACAGTAGGTAATTCTCCATTCTACCATGACGGCAACAACGCTTTGAAAACAATGCTCTCTTGCAACGCTTAACAACACAGGTGCACAGGTCCGCAATCTTAGAACATTCCAAATTTTAATAAAGAGGTATCTACTTCACAGTGGGAGTACATCAAATTTCAAAACACAGTAGGTAATTCTCCATTCTACCATGATGGCAACAACGCTTTGAAAACGGTGCTCTCTTGCAACGCTTAACAACACAGGCGCACAGGTCCGCAATCTTAGAACATTCCAAATTTTAATAAAGAGGTATCTACTTCACAGTGGGAGTACATCAAATTTAAAAAAACACAGTAGGTAATTCTCCATTCTACCATGACGGCAACAACCCTTTGAAAACGGTGCTCTCTTGCAACGCTTAACAACACAGGTGCACAGGTCCGCAATCTTAGAACATTTCAAATTTTAATAAAGAGGTATCTACTTCACAGTGGGAGTACATCAAATTTTAAAACACAGTAGGTAATTCTCCATTCTACCATGACGGCAACAACGCTTTGAAAACGGTGCTCTCTTGCAACGCTTAACAACAGGTCCGCAATCTTAGAACATTCCAAATTTTAATAAAGAGGTATCTACTTCACAGTGGGACTACATCAAATTTCAAAACACAGTAGGTAATTCTCCATTCTACCATGACGGCAACAACGCTTTGAAAACAGTGCTCTCTTGCAACGCTTAACAACACAGGTGCACACGTCCGCAATCTTAGAACATTCCAAATTTTAATAAAGAGGTATCTACTTCACAGTGGGACTACATCAAATTTCAAAACACAGTAGGTAATTCTCCATTCTACCATGACGGCAACAACGCTTTGAAAACGGTGCTCTCTTGCAACGCTTAACAACACAGGTGCACAGGTTCGCAATCTTAGAACATTCCAAATTTTAATAAAGAGGTATCTACTTCACAGTGGGACTACATCAAATTTCAAAACACAGTAGGTAATTCTCCATTCTACCATGACGGCAACAACGCTTTGAAAACGGTGCTCTCTTGCAACGCTTAACAACACAGGTGCACAGGTCCGCAATCTTAGAACATTCCAAATTTTAATAAAGAGGTATCTACTTCACAGTGGGACTACATCAAATTTCAAAACACAGTAGGTAATTCTCCATTCTACCATGACGGCAACAACGCTTTGAAAACGGTGCTCTCTTGCAACGCTTAACAACACAGGTGCACAGGTCCGCAATCTTAGAACATTCCAAATTTTAATAAAGAGGTATCTACTTCACAGTGGGACTACATCAAATTTCAAAACACAGTAGGTAATTCTCCATTCTACCATGACGGCAACAACGCTTTGAAAACGGTGCTCTCTTGCAACGCTTAACAACACAGGTGCACAGGTCCGCAATCTTAGAACATTCCAAATTTTAATAAAGAGGTATCTACTTCACAGTGGGACTACATCAAATTTCAAAACACAGTAGGTAATTCTCCATTCTACCATGACGGCAACAACGCTTTGAAAACGGTGCTCTCTTGCAACGCTTAACAACACAGGTGCACAGGTCCGCAATCTTAGAACATTCCAAATTTTAATAAAGAGGTATCTACTTCACAGTGGGAGTACATCAAATTTCAAAACACAGTAGGTAATTCTCCATTCTACCATGACGGCAACAACCCTTTGAAAACGGTGCTCTCTTGCAACGCTTAACAACACAGGTGCACAGGTCTGCAATCTTAGAACATTCCAAATTTTAATAAAGAGGTATCTACTTCACAGTGGGAGTACATCAAATTTCAAAACACAGTAGGTAATTCTCCATTCTACCATGACAGCAACAACGCTTTGAAAACGGTGCTCTCTTGCAACGCTTAACAACACAGGCGCACAGGTCCGCAATCTTAGAACATTCCAAATTTTAATAAAGAGGTATCTACTTCACAGTGGGACTACATCAAATTTCAAAACACAGTAGGTAATTCTCCATTCTACCATGACGGCAACAACGCTTTGAAAACGGTGCTCTCTTGCAACGCTTAACAACACAGGTGCACAGGTCCGCAATCTTAGAACATTCCAAATTTTAATAAAGAGGTATCTACTTCACAGTGGGACTACATCAAATTTCAAAACACAGTAGGTAATTCTCCATTCTACCATGACGGCAACAACGCTTTGAAAACGGTGCTCTCTTGCAACGCTTAACAACTAAGGTGCACAGGTCCGCAATCTTAGAACATTTCAAATTTTAATAAAGAGGTATCTACTTCACAGTGGGAGTACATCAAATTTCAAAACACAGTAGGTAATTCTCCATTCTACCATGACGGCAACAACGCTTTGAAAACGGTGCTCTCTTGCAACGCTTAACAACACAGGTGCACAGGTCCGCAATCTTAGAACATTCCAAATTTTAATAAAGAGGTATCTACTTCACAGTGGGAGTACATCAAATTTAAAAAAACACAGTAGGTAATTCTCCATTCTACCATGACGGCAACAACGCTTTGAAAACGGTGCTCTCTTGCAACGCTTAACAACACAGGTGCACAGGTCCGCAATCTTAGAACATTCCAAATTTTAATACAGAGGTATCTACTTCACAGTGGGAGTACATCAAATTTCAAAACACAGTAGGTAATTCTCCATTCTACCATGACGGCAACAACGCTTTGAAAACGGTGCTCTCTTGCAACGCTTAACAACACAGGTGCACAGGTCCGCAATCTTAGAACATTCCAAATTTTAATAAAGAGGTATCTACTTCACAGTGGGACTACATCAAATTTCAAAACACAGTAGGTAATTCTCCATTCTACCATGACGGCAACAACGCTGTGAAAACGGTGCTCTCTTGCAACGCTTAACAACACAGGTGCACAGGTCCGCAATCTTAGAACATTCCGAAAAGTAGTCACAGGTAGTTATATATGTAACAATTATTACTAAAGTTCAAGATTAAAAACACCATAGTCGTGAGTAGTTCATAATAAAGTGTTCAAAACACATAGTTTTTCAAAAGAAGATGACAAATAACACTCCATACTTAGTCCAAAGAGAGATGTTTTAATTTCTACCAAACTGTTGTACACTGTGGACTGACTGTCATTCCTCGGAATTTTGCGAGAGAGGTCATTTCTTGGAAATCGAACATGCCATCATTTCTATTGTAGGGGTGACGGGTTATAGAAAAAGGGTTTTAAAATGCTAAACGAATATATTTCTACAACAAACTTTATGAATTAACATTCTATTATACATTTAACATGTGTAAGTGTTATTAGTTAGTTAGCAATTACCCCCAGTAAACAATAATAAAATCAAAATAAATACCTCTCCACCCCGAACTTGGATGTGGCAGGACTTGACCTACATCACGGTTACTCACACCTCACAGCTGTCAATGGTGTTTACATTCTCCGTAACGAGTTATAGAATGAAGCAAGATGACAACCCCGATCTATGATGTGGTAGATTATCTATGTAGATTATCTGGGATTGATCGAGGCTGCTGGTTCATCCATATAATTACCAATGGGACTGAGTATGACTGAACAGCCGCTTTTTAGGCTGCAGACGAGCCGGATATTTTGTAACGATGAATCTGCATGGTGGGACCTGTAAATTTCAAGATTTCACTGATCCAAAGCCAAATAGTGACAGAAAGTAGATATTTGTGTCCCAGAAATAGTGGATCGTGTATGATTTTCTTAATTGTGCGTGTTCTGAAATGAATTTCACTTCAGTTGGGACATTGTTTTCGTGGACTTTCGAAGGGGAGTGTTTTCTGATGGACTTTCAAATCCCCTCCTGCCAAATTCTAACGGTGGTGGTTGACGGAGATGGCAACGAATATCGATCAGAAAAAGGTTTGTTAACAACATGTTGTCATAGGAAATAGCTTAAATTGTTCCGATTTTGGTCACCATAGAACATTTCTCTAACAGTTTCTTAAACATTTCATTTGTATGCAAAAAATATGCCTTCGTTAATGTCATGATGGAAGCAGTCAGGGTTGCGGCCTAGAACGCCCCAAACATCCGATATCAAACTACCGTATTTCCTCTAGTTGACGCTACGCCGTCTATTCATTTCGCTAGAGCCCTTGACTCGACGTGTATTAGAGACCTGGCTGGTATTAGAGACCCAGCGTGTATTAGAGGAAATAAAGATTCGTGTTACAGTTTATATGGGGGTGATCGATCGGCAGCCATTTTTTATGAATCGATATGTAGGCTTTCTATGTATTCATGCGCACATTTTTTGTGAAAAGGCTTACCGTAATATATTTGAAAGGGGTTTCCGTAGCAAAAAGGAAACCTCTTTTTAACCAATCAGAATCAAGCATTCATCAATGTCATGGTAGAATGTTATATTAGATACCAAATGCGCATGCCATAGCTCTCCAAGCATGTATCGACATATATACATTGTGATATTGAAAGACTTAAGCATATGCTATATAGCTCACCATGCATGTACATATTGTGATATTGGATGACTAAGCATATGCTTTATAACATTCTGTGCATGTATATTTTGTGGTATTGGAAGACTAAAGCAAATGTAACTTTCTTTGCATGTAAAAATTATGATGTTGCATGACTAAAGCATATGCTATATAGCTCTACATGCATTCATATATTGTCATATAGGATGACTAAAACATATGCTATATAGCTCTCTATGCATGTATATATTGTCATATAGGGTGACTAAAGCATATGCTATATAGCTCTCTATGCATGTATATATTGTCATATAGGATGACTAAAGCATATGCTGTGTAACTCACGATGAATGAATATATTGTCATATAGGATAACTAAAGCATATGCTATATAGCTCTCCATGCATGTATATATTGTCATATAGGATAACTAAAGCATATGCTATACAGCTCTCCATGCATGTATATATTGTCATAGAGGATAACTAAAGCATATGCTGTATAGCTCACGATGCATGTATATATTGTCATATAGGATAATTAAAGCATATGCCATATAGCTCTCCATGCATGTATATATTGTCATATAGGATAACTAAAGCATATGCTGTATAGCACACGATGCATGTATATATTGTCATATAGGATAACTAAAACATATGCTATATAGCTCTCCATGCATGTATATATTGTCATATAGGATAACTAAAGCATATGCCATATAGCTCTCCATGCATGTTTTTATTGTCATATAGGATGACTAAAGCATATGCTATATAGCTCTCCATATACATGTGTATATTGTTGATGATATTACAAAACGACCCAAAAAGGGGAGATTTTTATCTCATAGACAAGATTGAGAGGTCACACTTTCAAATGTAGCTGCGGTAGGCTAACATCTAGTCCAGGAAATCCAAAAGTGTTAGTCAATGTCACAATATATGTGTGTCACTCGGGTAAGAAATGAATTTGGGACCACTTGACCTCTGCCATGATTGAAATGTCCCATAGGCGATTTCATCTGTCTATCTCTCTGTCATAGACCTAAAGTGAAAAATATTAATGTACCATACATTACGTTACATAACTTTACTCATTCACTCACTAAATCAGTTGATGCCTTGAATATATGACCAATATTCTTGTAAAGCTACATATGTAATTCAGGTAGAAATATTTCTATGAAATATAAATGTATAGAAGTACATAATATGTTATGAAGTCGTTAAAATCACATTGAGAAGCATAGCTTGTTTTCACAAACTTAATTGGTTGTTTTTATTTGTGCAAGCGTATAATGAATGAAGCCAGTTCTTGGTGTCACCTGTGTGATATGGCCGGGAAATAGTGGGAAAAGCTCCATTAAAGCAAACTCCACCCCTCCCTCACTCACTCACTCGGACGCTGCGCTAAAAATAATCAAAGTTTCGCTTTTATAACCATGCAAATATTAAGCTTTCTATTCTACAGTATCAGACAAAGAACATACACAACAATGTTGGATGGTGGCTAAAAATGAAACAAATAAGAAGCGTTGATGGTGATGTATTTGATACCGGGAGCAAGGGGCAAGTCATTTATCAACCTGGAAATTTACCCGAATAGACGGTAAAAGTCACATACATGCATAGATTTATTGTTGAAACGTCTAAATGTTATACATCAGACTATGGTTCCGATGATTTTTTTCTCTTTGCAGAGTTGCATCCCTTAGGCATGACAGAAACCTATGATAGTGGGTTTGAATATGTTTCTAGGTTTGTCAGCACCATACCTGTGCTTGTGGGTTTCACCAAAGTGGTAAATGTCTGAGACCTGCATCACTTCAGGCTTTCCTCACAAAGAAAGCTGTTTCGTCATGATATAACTGGAATACTGTTGTAGTGTTAAAACCAACTCACTCAGTATACACAAGGACTAGTTTAACTTCGTGCTTCAACAAGTCTTTATTGCCAATAAGGGCTCTAGTAAAACATGTCTATTTCAAATGGTTTGTTTTTTTGCCACACAATATTTCCATAAAGTCCAAACACTGACGCAGCTAATAAGTCTTCCGTCTCTTCTGCAGCCACAAGTGCAGTGGCAAGAGACTGTTTCTCTGCTGTAGTCTGCTGTCAAACACATTGAAGTCACAGTTCTGCAAGGCCTTCAGATACCACTCACACACGACCTGCAAATAAAGCAGGGATGTTTACTCAAGGAAACAGGAATATTGCATTTATTACATGGTTATATTGTCCTTGTGAAGGGGGGGGGGGGGGGGGGGGGGGGGGGAGGAGAGAGAAAGATATTGTCCTTTTTCCTTGTGAGGGGGGTTTATATTGTCCTTGTGAGGAGGGTATATATTGTCCTTGTTAGGGGGTATATATTGTCCTTGTGAGGAGGGTATATATTGTTCTTGTGAGGGGGTCTATATTGTCCTTGTAAGGGGGGGGGGGTATATATTGTCCTTGTGAGGGGGTATATATTATCCTTGTTAGGGGTATATATTGTCCTTGTGAGGAGGGTATATATTGTCCTTGTGAGGGGGGTGTATATTGTCCTTGTGAGGGGGGTATATTGTCCTTGTGAGGGGGGTATATATTGTCATTGTGAGGAGGGTATATATTGTTCTTGTGAGGGGGTCTATATTGTCCTTGGGGGGGGGTATATATTGTTCTTGTGAGGGGGTCTATATTGTCCTTGGGGGGGGGGGGGGTTGTATATTATTCTTGTGAGGAGGGTATATATTGTCCTTGTGAGGGTATATATTGTCCTTGTGAGGAGGGTATATATTGTCCTTGTGAGGGGGGTGTATATTGTCCTTGTGAGGGGGGTATATTGTCCTTGTGAGGGGGGTATATATTGTCCTTGTGAGGGGGGTGTATATTGTCCTTGTGATGGGGGTATATTGTCCTTGAGAGGGGGGTATATATTGTCCTTGTGATGGGGGTATATTGTCCTTGTGAGGGGGGTATATATTGTCATTGTGAGGAGGGTATATATTGTTCTTGTGAGGGGGTCTATATTGTCCCTGGGGGGGGGGGGGGGGGGGGGGTGTATATTATTCTTGTGAGGGGGTTTATATTGTCCTTGTGAGGGGGTATATATTGTCCTTGTGAGGGTATATATTGTCCTTGTGAGGAGGGTATATATTGTCCTTGTGAGGGGGGTGTATATTGTCCTTGTGAGGGGGGTATATTGTCCTTGTGAGGGGGTTTATATTGACCTTGTGAGGGGGGTATATATTGTCCTTGTGAGGGTATATATTGTCCTTGTGAGGGGGGTATATATTGTCATTGTGAGGAGGGTATATATTGTTCTTGTGAGGGGGTCTATATTGTTCTTGTGAGGGGGTCTATATTGTCCTTGTAAGGGGGGGGGGGGTTTATATTGTCCTTGTGAGGGGGTATATATTATCCTTGTTAGGGGTATATATTGTCCTTGTGAGGAGGGTATATATTGTCCTTGTGAGGGGGGTGTATATTGTCCTTGTGAGGGGGGTATATTGTCCTTGTGAGGGGGGTATATATTGTCATTGTGAGGAGGGTATATATTGTTCTTGTGAGGGGGTCTATATTGTCCTGGGGGGGGGGGGGGGGGGGTTGTATATTATTCTTGTGAGGGGGTTTATATTGACCTTGTGAGGGGGGTATATATTGTCCTTGTGAGGGTATATATTGTCCTTGTGAGGAGGGTATATATTGTCCTTGTGAGGGGGGTGTATATTGTCCTTGTGAGGGGGGTATATTGTCCTTGTGAGGGGGGTATATATTGTCCTTGTGAGGGGGGTGTATATTGTCCTTGTGATGGGGGTATATTGTCCTTGTGAGGGGGGTATATATTGTCCTTGTGATGGGGGTATATTGTCCTTGTGAGGGGGGTATATATTGTCATTGTGAGGAGGGTATATATTGTTCTTGTGAGGGGGTCTATATTGTCCCTGGGGGGGGGGGGGTGTATATTATTCTTGTGAGGGGGTTTATATTGTCCTTGTGAGGGGGTATATATTGTCCTTGTGAGGGTATATATTGTCCTTGTGAGGAGGGTATATATTGTCCTTGTGAGGGGGGTGTATATTGTCCTTGTGAGGGGGGTATATTGTCCTTGTGAGGGGGTTTATATTGACCTTGTGAGGGGGGTATATATTGTCCTTGTGAGGGTATATATTGTCCTTGTGAGGGGGGTGTATATTGTCCTTGTGAGGGGGGTATATTGTCCTTGTGAGGGGGGTATATATTGTCCTTGTGAGGGGGGTGTATATTGTCCTTGTGATGGGGGTATATTGTCCTTGTGAGGGGGGTATATATTGTCATTGTGAGGAGGGTATATATTGTTCTTGTGAGGGGGTCTATATTGTCCCTAGGGGGGGGGGGGGGGGGGGGGGTATATTATTCTTGTGAGGGGGTTTATATTGTCCTTGTGAGGGGGTATATATTGTCCTTGTGAGGGTATATATTGTCCTTGTGAGGAGGGTATATATTGTCCTTGTGAGGGGGGTGTATATTGTCCTTGTGAGGGGGGTATATTGTCCTTGTGAGGGGGTTTATATTGACCTTGTGAGGGGGGTATATATTGTCCTTGTGAGGGTATATATTGTCCTTGTGAGGAGGGTATATATTGTCCTTGTGAGGGGGGTGTATATTGTCCTTGTGAGGGGGGTATATTGTCCTTGTGAGGGGGGTATATATTGTCCTTGTGAGGGGGGTGTATATTGTCCTTGTGAGGGGGGTATATATTGTCATTGTGAGGAGGGTATATATTGTTCTTGTGAGGGGGTCTATATTGTCCTGGGGGGGGGGGGTGTGTATATTTTTCTTGTGAGGGGGTTTATATTGTCCTTGTGAGGGGGGTATATATTGTCCTTGTGAGGGTATATATTGTCCTTGTGAGGAGGGTATATATTGTCCTTGTGAGGGGGGTGTATATTGTCCTTGTGAGGGGGGTATATTGTCCTTGTGAGGGGGGTATATATTGTCCTTGTGAGGGGGGTATATATATATTGTTCTTGTGAGGGGGGTATTTATTGTTCTTGTGAGGGGGTATATATTGTCCTTGTGAGGGGGGTGTATATTATTCTTGTGAGGGGTATATATTGTCCTTGTGAGGGGGGTATATATTGTCCTTGTGAGGAGGGTATATATTGTCCTTGTGAGGAGGGTATATATTGTCCTTGTGAGGGGGGTATATATTGTCATTGTGAGGAGGGTATATATTGTCCTTGTTAGGGGGTATATATTGTCCTTGTGAGGAGGGTATATATTGTCCTTGTGAGGGGGGTATATATTGTCATTGTGAGGAGGGTATATATTTTCCTTGTTAGGGGGTATATATTGTCCTTGTGAGGAGGGCATATATTGTTCTTGTGAGGGGGTCTATATTGTCCTTGTGAGGGGGGTGGGGTATATATTGTCCTTGTGAGGGGGTATATATTATCCTTGTGAGGGGGGTATATATTGTCCTTGTGAGGGGGGTATATATTGTTCTTGTGAGGGGGTATATATTGTCCTTGTGAGGGGGGTGTATATTATTCTTGTGAGGGGGTATATATTGTCCTGGTGAGGGGGGTATATTTTGTTCTTGTGAGGGGGGTATATATTGTCCTTGTGAGGGGGGTATATATTGTCCTTGTGAGGGGGTTATATACTGTAAAACATGAAATTAATGCGTCTCCAAAAGAATGCGACCGCTGGCCCCTAGCCAAAAATGCGACTCAATATGAATGCGACACCCCCTCCTCTCAAGCATCAGTGGATTTATATCTAAACAAAACATCCTATGTCAGGTTTACAGGAGAATCCTCACCTTAATCCAACCTTACAATAGTCCAATCACACACCAAATAGCACCGCTTATTAGCGTTGAGTAGAGTACTTCAGCTAAAACAATATATGCACGCTGGCTCGTGACGGCCTTTGATGCAGTCGCAAAGAGCAAAGACACCGTGTTGGGTGGCGTCTGTCTGGACTTGCAGGTGTGATAAGTGATGACATGAGTGAGTAGAACGCTTGTCTTCACCCCAGCAGTGACAACTCACAGGATGTAATTAGTGTTTGAATGACATTGTTTATGTACTTGTTACAAGTGCTGCTCAATAAACATTGATGTGGAATACATAGTTGTTTGTTTTCAGCGTATGTCTAAGTTGGTATTTCTGCTATCAAAAATGTCTTATTGTTGATATAAATGCGATGTTTAATAATGCGAGCAAAGACCACTCGCATTTTTCGCATTTAATTCACGCTCGCGTTAATTTCACGTTTTACAATATTGACCTTGTGAGGGGATATATGTTGTCCTTGTGAGGGGTGTTGTGGATGGTGCGTATAGGATGAGCTTGGAGGTGGGTGAAAATAGTTGTGTGGATGTGGTACTACTCAAGGTAGCACAGACTCAATACTCACTGTGTTCAGGAAAACGAGACTGGCTTCCTTGGGAACATCCTCAGTTAGTGATCTTGCCTGGAATACAACACGCTTATTTTAACAGACATACCCAGCTGCATGAGACACAGTACCAGTCATACGGTCAAGAAGTTTTAGGACACACCCTGGCGCTGTAATTTGCTCTGTAGAGTTGCTTCCCTTATGTATGCCCTTATCCACTGACCTGGGTTCCAATCCCAGAGTACACTAAGACCTACACTACTTCAAGGTTGCCTTCCATATCTAACCAACATGCAGTGATATATTTGAACTAGTTTTCAAAGCAGCCTTCGGCCTTGCTCACACTATTGAGTGGTAGTTCCTCACCGTTGCTAGGTGCTTGTGTGCGGTACAGGCCACATCATACATCACATCTTTCACCGCCTGGTCGTCTCTGCCTCGGATGATCTTCTCCTGGGATATCTTGTGCTGGGAATAGAGGATTGGTGAGTCACACATTGCAACTGTATGCAGGTGGCCCGCCCTGGAGCAAGTAAACCATTCTCCAAAGTTTGTTGGAATCAAATTCTACCAGGTAAGAGTGTCACACTTAATCAGCCAGAGATTCATTTCATAAAGTACTAAGGCATGATATGGTGTCGAACATAACCTAACTTAACAATCAGATTTAAGGAAAGATACCCTGCCCCTGCTGGAATGGCCTACTTTAACAATCAGATCTAGAGGCAGATACACCCTGCCCCTGCTGGCATGGCCTACCTTAACTATCAGGTCTAGAGGCAGATACACTCCACTCCTGTTGGCATGGCCTACCTTAACAATCAGGTCTAGAGGCAGATACACTCGACTCCTGCTGGCATGGCCTACCTTAACAATCAGATCTAGAGGTAGATACACTCCACTCCTGCTGGCATGGCCTACCTTAACAATCAGGTCTAGAGGCAGATACACCCTGCCCCTGCTGGCATGGCCTACCTTAACAATCAGATCTAGAGGTAGATACACCCTGCCCCTGCTGGCATGGCCTACCTTAACAATCAGGTCTAGAGGCAGATACACCCTGCCCCTGCTGGCATGGCCTACCTTCACAATCAGATCTAGAGGCAGATACACCCTGCCCCTGCTGGCATGGCCTACCTTAACTATCAGGTCTAGAGGCAGATACACTCCACTCCTGTGTGCATGGCCTACCTTAACAATCAGGTCTAGAGGCAGATACACTCCACTCCTGCTGGCATGGCCTACCTTAACAATCAGATCTAGAGGTAGATACACTCCACTCCTGCTGGAATGGCCTACCTTAACAATCAGGTCTAGAGGCAGATACACTCAACTCCTGCTGGCATGGCCTACCTTAACAATCAGGTCTAGAGACAGATACACCCTGCCCCTGCTGGCATGGCCTACCTTCACAATCAGATCTAGAGGCAGATACACCCGACTCCTGCTGGCATGGCCTACCTTAACAATCAGATCTAGAGGCAGATACACTGACTTCTGCTGGCATGGCCTACCTTCACAATCAGATCTAGAGGCAGATACACCCGACTCCTGCTGGCATGGTATGGTGTTGAGCGTAGCAGTGTCACCAGGCCCTGAGTCTTGCCAATGTGGCTGGCAGCATGGTCAGCATGTACATTCTTTATTCCTTGAAGAAAAATCAAAATATAAATACAGGCAGTGTTTGATGGAACACCATTGTAATCCACTGGCCTTTATTTTAATCAGCTCATAGGACAAACAGGGAGTACTTGGGACCTACTTTGAGGTGAGGTGAACTGAGGTGAGGTTTATAGAGAGTGCGAGAGAGAGTGAGAGTGAGAGAGAGAGAGAAAGACAGAGATAGAGACAGAGAGAGAGAGGCAGAGAGACAGACAGACAGGCAGAGAGAGAGAGAGACAGTGAGAGAGAGAGAGAGAGACACAGAGAGACAGAGAGAGGCAGAGAGACAGAGACAGACAGGCAGAGAGAGACACAGAGAGAGACAGAGACAGACAGAGAGAGAGAGGCAGAGAGACAGAGACAGAGACAGACAGAGATACCAGAAAACATTTTAGTGGAAGCCCCACTCAGGTACAGTCTACTAACTCTCCTTGGATCTTCCTATGGTCATGACATCCAAACACATTTTAAGTCCTGCTCCCTGTGGCTCTTAATGTGAGTTTTAAATTTTTTGTAAGATTTGATTTTTTGACATATTTCAAAATACAAATCACATTGATTTGAACAAGATAAGATGTCTTCATAAGAAGGAGCTTCCACATCCAGCTTCTTCTTCTTGTTGTGCGTGCGTGCGTGTTTTAAATAACATTAAGTATAATCCCAGATATGTTTCTGTGTTCCCTTTATCATGATAATGTCTTTGAGTTTGTATTTTGTGGAAAATATGGTACCCTAATTACACAGGCAATATCTCACAAAATGGTTACCCTAGTTACCCATGTATCAGCTTCACATGAGGCATTGACTACAAGGTCTGGAACTAGACTGAGATCCACCCTGGATCAGAGCCCCCCTTTAATGTTTGTGTTTCTGAAAGTGAAGGTTAGCCTGCTGGTGTATGACCTGCCCTTCTCACCAAGACACTCCAGGAGCAGGTACGTGATGGATGACACAGAGTTCTCAGCATACGCCTCAACCTCCTCCATGTTCCTGTAGCCCTGGTCTGACAGGTTGTGAGCCTGCAACACACAAACACATGTCACACATGTTGCCTGCAACACACAAACACACGTCACACATGTTGCCTGCAACACACAAACACACGTCACACATGTTGCCTGCAACACACAAACACGTCACACATGTTGCCTGCAACACACAAACACATGTCACACATGTTGCCTGCAACACACAAACACACGTCACACATGTTGCCTGCAACACACAAACACACGTCACACATGTTGCCTGCAACACACAAACACACGTCACACATGTTGCCTGCAACACACAATTACACGTCACGCATGTTGCCTGCAACACACAAACACACGTCACACATGTTGCCTGCAACACACAAACACACGTCACACATGTTGCCTGCAACACACAAACACGTCACACATGTTGCCTGCAACACACAAACACACGTCACACATGTTGCCTGCAACACACAAACACACGTCACACATGTTGCCTGCAACACACAAACACACGTCACACATGTTGCCTGCAACACACAATTACACGTCACGCATGTTGCCTGCAACACACAAACACACGTCACACATGTTGCCTGCAACACACAAACACACGTCACACATGTTGCCTGCAACACACAAACACACATCACACATGTTGCCTGCAACACACAAACACGTCACACATGTTGCCTGCAACACACAAACACACGTCACACATGTTGCCTGCAACACACAAACACACGTCACACATGTTGCCTGCAACACACAAACACACGTCACACATGTTGCCTGCAACACACAATTACACGTCACGCATGTTGCCTGCAACACACAAACACACGTCACACATGTTGCCTGCAACACACAAACACACGTCACACATGTTGCCTGCAACACACAAACACGTCACACATGTTGCCTGCAACACACAAACACACGTCACACATGTTGCCTGCAACACACAAACACACGTCACACATGTTGCCTGCAACACACAAACACGTCACACATGTTGCCTGCAACACACAAACACACGTCACACATGTTGCCTGCAACACACAAACACACGTCACACATGTTGCCTGCAACACACAAACACACGTCACACATGTTGCCTGCAACACACAAACACACGTCACACATGTTGCCTGCAACACACAATTACACGTCACGCATGTTGCCTGCAACACACATCACACATGTTGCCTGCAACACACAAACACATGTCACACATGTTGCCTGCAACACACAAACACACATCACACATGTTGCCTGCAACACACAAACACATGTCACACATGTTGCCTGCAACACACAAACACACATCACACATGTTGCCTGCAACACACAAACACACGTCACGCATGTTGCCTGCAACACACAAACACACGTCACACATGTTGCCTGCAACACACAATCACACGTCACACATGTTTCCTGCAACACACAAACACATGTCATACACAAACACATGTCATACATGTTGCCTGCAACACACAAACACATGTATTACTTCTCATTTCTTAAGTCAAGATGTTTCAAATGGTTCTTCTCCGCCCTACCCTTGCTTCTATTATCCGTGTCAGCCATTTCCTCGTCAGTTTGAAGTGATGAATGGCCTGTAACACAGAACATACAAACTAGAATGCACTACCGGTTAAATGTGTTGTGTCATCTTCAGCTCACAGCACGTGCAGTGGGAAACCTGGATGACATGGGAACAAAGAAGCAGGAATGAATGAGTGCCCAAGTTTAGGTTCATGTCGCTTACAACTTTATACAGAGTCATGACAAGGGACAACGTTCAGCTTCACACACAGAACCATGAGGGGAATAGAACCCAGAAGCCAGGTCCAGCCCTCGTCTACCCACTGGAGTGCCCCGCCTCACCTTAGCAACATGAGTCTCACATACTCGAGCTGGTAATGGAACAGAATCTCCTCAAAAAGGTTAATAGCAAATGAGGTCAACCACCAACTCATAATTACATAAAAGTCTATGTTCAGTCCTAGCATAGATGAGTACTGCTATCTCTCGGAGGCTAATAAAGAAAGGGCTGGTTTGCCCTTACTTGCCCCGACTCTAAAATGACCCACTTCCAATACATATAGGACCTATTCTTTCCTGTCAAACTACTTTATCACTATATTCTGCACTTTTCCAAAAAGAATGTTATCCTCTGAGAAAAAAGAAAATGTGGCGTTTAAACATTTAAAAAAACAGTTTTCAAATGTACCTATCTATTACATGGCCGAGATAAATCTGAAACACAACTATGAGTGTGCGGTACTATCGGTATATCGGTAAATTGAGGTTAATTCTGTCCATGATGCGTATCACAATATAATTTTTTCATGCTTGATATATCGGATGAAGTCAAATAGCAATTTTGTAATGTTATTTTCTTGCCCCAAGATGGCTGTGTATTTATTGACTGAGTAAACATCATGTTGTACCAGCATCTTGTTTTGTTCCATTTATGAACTTCAGTTCACACCATAATGTATCAGATTGCTGCTGAATTCAAAATTTAAAAGTCTAAAAGATATTGTGATATGTATTGCAATATGGCCACACATTTTACATTGTCACACATTTTAAACCTCCAATATCCATCCCTAGAAACAACATGCTGAATACAATCTCATTAAGACTGCCTAATCTGAATAAGAAATGTGTGGGTTCTTGAACCAATCAGATGTCAGCTTTCTACACTGATTTGGCTTCATGTCTTCACCACCTTAATTTATAAATTTCAATTTGTACAAATGAAACCCTCACCGAACACGAATTTCCCTAAAATGGTTCTCCCTTTGGCGTGTATAGATGCCATGTGTTAGTGACAAGCACTTATGATCGAAGGGAGATAACTCTAAATACCGGAGGTGAGAACAAATGTAAACACTGTCAGTGTGGGGAAATTCTATTATTGCTAAGTAACTGATAAGTGAAGGTAAGTGATCGAATGTTTGGTACATGTTGCTAGGTTGGGAGGATGTAACGGAGATGGTACAAACGAGAGTTTGCGTCTGGAGTGAGTGAGTGAGTGAGTGAGTGAGTGAGTTTGGTTTTACGCCGCTTTTAGCAATATTCCAGCAATATCATGGCAGGGTACACCAGAAATGGGCTTCACACATTGTACCCATGTCGTGAATCGAACCCGGGTCTTCGGCATGACGAGTGCACGCTTTAACCACTAGGCTACCCGACCGCCCCTGTTTGCGTCTGGATCTTATATAAACAAGTTGTGTTGTAACGAGCTGGGTTAAAACCTTTCACATGGCACACTGAAACATCAGGGTGTATAAACAATCCACAACAATATAGTGCCACAACCATGTTTATATATATATGAGATAGCTACGCCATAAATCGCAAAGAACAATGAAGTCCAAAGTGTCGTTTATTTCACGATAAAACAGTGTTCTATGATGAACTTCTATCATTATTCATCGCAACTTGATGACGTCAGGTATTGGACGACGTTATTTTTGAGAGGGAAGGGTCTAGTAATTTGTTTCCCAAAGGTGTAGCTGGGCAACGCAGATAAACGCGATGGCCCAACGATCACATCTTAAAGCGGCAGAGATATGACAATCGGTATTGAGAGAAAAGGTACACGTAATCAACGTGAGGATTGTGAGAATATGTGGGAAATACCCGCCTGTACATAAAATTGACTTGTCCGACATTGCCAAGGTTGATTTCTATTGAGTCGGGCATCCTTATTTAAATACGGGTTACTAAAGTGTGCACATTATATCAGAATCCTTTAAGAGACTGTACGCGCCCCTCATGGTTTATTCTCCCTGTAGTGTTTTATTGTACGACAAAGAGCTCCCACTCATCTTTCATTTCTCAAATATTCAGGCCTTGTTTTATACACAGAAATCTGATATTCTGGACCCATTTGCACAAAGCGATCTTAGCGCTAAGATGATCGAAACTCTCATACTTTAGCATAGGCTTACAATAGTCTTAGCTCTGAGATAGTTTTGTGCAAGTGGGCCCAGGTCCGAACACTTTGCTCACTCACAATGAGAATTTAGAAGCCTCGACTCACTGGAAAATTCACCTCAGTCCTTCACGCAGAGAAGTACTTTATATTGGAGCCAAAGATCTGATCATATTCATGTTAATGAGATAGATACTGAATATCACAAACAATCATTATTTCGGTGATCCCCAAGACAGTTATCTTAAAGACTGACAGCTGTCAGCATCATAGAGACTTGAGAAGAGACACACGAGTGACTTACCCCCGCTAACTCAGTTGCCACAGGCGTCTTTGGGGTGGAACCCTGGAACAGACAGAACATCTTCTTGAACTGTGTGTCAGTGATAGACTCTGACAAACCAGGGGTCGACCATGTGAGTACCACTGTAACCAGTGATGGAGCTAGGTGAGTTAGTGAGTTGGGCTCAACGCTGCTTTTAACAGTATTCAAGTTATATCACGGCGTGTCAGCTTAATGTGGAAAGCCCAAAGTGATGCAGGTCTCAGACGTTTACCACTTCGGTGAAACCCATGAGCAACAACTGGACCACCCGTGCCCCTTGATGGAGCTAGGAGCCAGGTACTACCTAGGAGCTGGTGTTTCCTGGTAGTCACGATCCCCGTATTAGTTTACATGGCCATTAATGTTGACTACCCTGGTCTGTCACTTTAGCCACAAGTCCGAAACCCAAATTTAGTAAAATTCTGTTTGGTCAGTAAATTCAGCTGATAATAGTTCACATATTAACACTAATATCTACTTAAATTGAGGCTAAGAGTCAATTTGGGGTAGTAGACTGAAAAGCTTTTTGGCAGGGACTGCTACCCATCTCTAGCCAGCACGACATGGCTTCACGACAGTCTATGAGGGATGTAACAACTCTGATGTTCAGCAGAGCAAGATACTCTGTGTCACTGTACAAGTATCAAATCAAGTCATGTATATATAAAGGTGACATGTAACATTCATGAAACATAATAATAGTAAAACAATCCTAAGTAAAAAAATGAAAAACAGCTGCATTTTATTCAGGAAATCCAAATATTGAAATCAAATTTCGCACTGCAAGTCTCCTATTTGTATAGAAAGTGTTCACCAAGTTTGAAAAGACTATGCTTTTGTTCTCAAGTTATAGGTTGCACCAAAACAATGTCCTCGGAAGGAAGGACAGATAGACAGACAGACAGAATTCCTTGGTATAACTATATACCCCTGCCCTTTTAGGTAATAATCGACTCTGGACCAGATAATCCAGTGATTGACTTCATGACCACAGATCAACCTTTGGACTGTATTATATTTTGCCATTCCATGAACCACCCCCACCCCTATAATAAATGACCAGTAACAATGGGTTACAATGACACTGTCAACATGGTCAAGGAGCCTGACCACCTGATCCCATTAGTCACCTCTTACAACAAGCATGGGTTGCTGAAGACAAATTATTATCTTCACGGTGTTATAGACTGTAACATTACAGCTCTAGGATCCATGGGACAAACACTCTCACTCCTGCTATGATATGGACATCTACTGATATCACAAAGAGGAGGATTGACGGTTCCTTGGGTTGTATACTCCCCAGGGAGCTGAGAAAGAAAATTGATCCTTTGACCGGAGCAATAACGGTGTTGACACTTGGAGCATGCTTCAACGGATGGATTATAGCACATTACAAATATCCTTTACATTATTATCTAAGGATTTCAACCTGATTTTTCATAACTCTTTAACAAAATTAAATACATGAAAAATCTTTACCTTATAAATGTGATCTATGCTGTCTTTCCAGAACTGCATTCTCAATATTCCCCTCTGCTTGTCCGACACAGTCTCCCGGACCTACACACAAAATCTCGTGTAATATTCAGTGATTCCATCTCCCCAAAATGGCCATACACTCCTTAAAAGAAGCTAAGGACAACCTGATTCTTTCCTATTACTGTAGTTAATCTGTCAGGTGGTCCTCATCTTCTTTTGAGATGTATTTTGTTTAAATGATATAGATGTTGTATCACTGTATGGATGGATATCTTATCACCATACTCCATAGAGACATACGCAGGAATGGTGTTTACGTTGGTTGTTAATACACTGCATGTAATCCACTCTATCGTAACTTTTAAATAAAAAATTATAGATCTATAAATAAACAGTATGAAGAGATAGACAAAAAGGTGAGGTGAGGTGAAATTGGGTTTAACGCCGCGTCCAAGATTATTGCACTTATATAGCGACGTCCCGAGCGCCAGACAGGGTAACAACAAGTACCATCTTTTAAGGTCTTTTGGTATGACGCGGCCGGGGATCGAACCCCGGACCTTCCGCTCTCAGGGCGGGCGCTCTACCACTAGACCACAGAGGCGGTCTCTTTATCATGAAGTCAACAACCCAACAATATAACTATGATATCCAATGCTGACAATGAACATGTAAAGGACTAAGTTTACCTGTGCAAGTTCCACATTGAACGCCCTGATGGCGAGGGCCGCTCTCTGTGTGGCACCGGGCAGCAGTAGACAGCACAAGTAGTTCTCATAGTCATTCTTTCTGTGGACACAGAGAAACCATCTATCAATATGCAGATACAGCAAGGTAAGGTAATATGGAGTTTAACATCGCGTTCAAGATTATTGCACTTATATCGTGAGTGTGTGTGTGTGTGTGTGTGTGTGGTTGCTTGTAATAGTCCGGACTAATGTTACTTTTATAGTGCTAGCCCCCTGAGATACCATGCTGCTGTTTTAACGTGAATACCCCTCTCAGGCACAGTATACAGACTCTGAGCCAACCAGTCCTTGTTTTATCCTGTTAATGCCAAGCACTAGGCACCTTTTAATGTCTTTTAGTGTGATGTGGCTTTGATTGACCTTCGGTTCCCTGGCTGACACTCTGTCCACTAGGCCATGGAAGCAGTTACAGTTCTGTAAAAGGAGTGGTGAGGTTTGTGATTTGGCAAATTACATTGCATAATCGTGTAATTGTGTAACAAGTCAGCTATAGTGATCATCTATAAGCATCGATAACAGTTTAGATGCTATGAATGTTCAGTACATTTCAAACATAAGTATCTTGAAAACATAAATATATATTTCTTGAAAACTATTTGAATAAAACAAACCTAAACAACCATCACATAAAAGCGCTCATATGCAGATGGAGTCTTACCAGCACAGCACATACTTTGCGGTCACCTGCTCACGTGTACCGGACCAATGGGCAAGGAGATACAACAGGCTTCATTCAAAACACATCAATGTAGGACTCAGATCTATGGTAGGACTCTGATCCAAGGCAGATTCTCAGATCAATGACAGATTCCACAAACAGGGTATATATTGGTGTATACTCAAAGCTGTGGCAGATACCACATGTGGGGCAGGTATTGGCGCACACTCAGATATTTTGCAGGTTATCAAGAAATATTTATAATTGGCAAGTTCTATAGTGCTAAACGTTGAATAGATTCATATAAAGCAGCAGTCTTTCGATCATCAATGTTGTGATTTCTCTTTATTATGTTTATTATTTCCCCTTTGGAACAGCAACTTCCCCGAAGTTTCATAGTAGAAATATTTTTCTAGGACCTTCAGCACTCATTTGCTGAGTGGATAAAATTCTTAACATTTTAACAATCCCTCTTCGGATTCAGAGCCTTTACACAAGGAACTTCTTGGATTTAAAAATGGCATTAGCTCATTCATCATCAAAGATGCTCTTTTTACCTATACACACACTGTCACAAATGTAACAATATACAAGTCACACACAGCACAAAGTTACATTCATACCGCCTAACATGTTGAAGTCGTGGACTCTCTAAATACTGGTGGAGATTTTACGAGTGTTTCTATGATTTACTTTCGACTAAGTCGACATCACGAAACGCACCGAACCAGTTCTTTGCAGAACGTCCTGTGATCTAAGGTATTTGTGCTCATCGCCACACGGGATTTTCCAGTGTCTTGTTTCCTCGCATCCCTTCCAGACACAGCAATCGTGGAAAGACTGCGACATTGTCTGTATGTGACCATCAGTCGACTCCATGTGAGTTTGACGGGCATCGCGAACTGCTCAAGTGTTCGCAAGGGCAGGTAACTCTAATTTGCATACCATAGGCAAATCTTTAGAGAATATTTACTTGTCGAGTTCAAATCCCAGAAACATCTTACGTTCGGTTATTTTACACGATTGTTAATTATTTCCTTTTGATATCGGCGATTGAGTGATTGCAATATGTAGTATTGTTTACTACTCGAAAGAATTTTTAAAAAACCCTGATTCTTTCATATTACTATATTTAATCTGTTATGCCATGATAAATAAAGAGCTGAGAATGAAAATTTGAATGGTTTTCACTACTATTTTGCCATTTTTGCCCAGAAGGGTTTGTTTCTGCAAATGGTTGGGGCTGGATGTTCTCTGACGTTGGCATTGGCGTTTTGTTTGTGTGTTTTTTAAGATCATTATCAATTTGTGTGTTAAAGATTCTCTAACAAAGTTTCAATTTTACTTCTTCCTTTCTATCAAGTCAACTGCTGGTGGTCCACCAATTTAATCATCCAAATGCAGTGTATAAGGAAATTGCTCACTTTATATTGTCTAATACATGAATAAAACCATCTCCAATAAATAAATAAGAATGTACATGCCGATGTGCTGTTATGATAAATGATAAATGATACAATTTCATACATCCATGTGTTTCCCTCAGTTTTCATCAGGCCACTTCATTCATTTTACACTTGTGTTGAACATGTAATTTTCAGGCACAGGAAACATTCACTTTTTCCATACATGCTGTACTAATTGTCATGGAAACAGATATCCCTGCCAGAGCTCCAGATAAGCTTTTGGTGTTGTGGGTATTTTACCCATGCATTTTAAAATCATTGGGTATCACTAATTCTACCATGGTATTCAAATTTTTGTTACCCACTAGTTTTTACATATGTGGGCATTTAAGTTAAATATTTAAAAACACTAATCACCTAGTCCCTGCAAACTGGTGTCGTGTGGGTTCAAGAGCTTTATAGGACTCAAAAATACCATGATACTTCCACAAGAAAGTGTGATGGCAAATGATCATGATGTAACTGTCATCGTTGAGTTTGGCAAGGTTGACGGAATGCCCGTTTATAATTTGAAAAGAAGTTGCTGATTTGCTAAACGAATATGTAGGGTTACTTCACAATATTTTGATGATACGCACAAGTTTTATTTTTGTAGCGTATCTGTAATGTTCGTTGCGTATTTGATACGCTTGAATTTTATTTTACTGCGTACTTCTGCATTTCTGATGTGTATTTTACGCAGATATGCAGCTTATCTGGAGCTCTGCCTGCATAAAGTGACTTTACTTGTTTTTCACAGTAGTATGTCTACATGTAGAGACAAGAGTGAGCAAGGGCAATGTTAAGTCAGTTTTAGCAATATTCCAGCAATATCTTGGGACGGGCGCCAGAAATGGTCTTAAAAAATAGTACCCATGTGGGGAATTGAACCCGGGCCTTTACAATGACATGTCAGCACTTCAACCTCAAGGCCACACCACTGAGAAACAAGATTTACCACAAGTTACCGGTAACGTTTTACAATGCCCAGACCTCCTTTGTTTGGAACATTAGTATCAATTCTAACATTTTAATGTCTCGCATCAGCTGGTCGATGCTCAATAAGAAATGCAATATGAACCTGGTGGACATCTCTGGAATTATTTCTTCATTTCAGTTGTAAACATCTGCCAACATGTGTGAACTGTTTACAAACCATGTAGACAGATAGGGTTGGGGTAGTGTATGGATATGTTTTTACATAATATTCCAGCAACATCACTGCACTCATGAAGATCTGGGTTAGAGTTGGTCTTCAGCATCCCATGCTTGGCAGCGAATGGTGTCGGGTGGTCAGACTCGCTGACTTGGTTGATGCATGTCATCGTATCCCAACTGCATAGATTATTGTTCGTGGAGGTGCAGACTTGATTATTTACATACTGCCATCATATAGCTGGAATATTGCTGAGTGCAGCTTTAAACAAACAATCAATTGATCAATCACAGCAAAAGACACCATGCCAGGACCCCATTCCACAAAGCGATCGTAGCCCTACGACTATCGTAAGTCTAAGTATGGGAGATACGATTGTCTTAACGCTACAATCGATTTGTGGAGCAGGGCCCTGGTCTTCACACATTGTACCCATGTTGGAGACTACAATGTGAAGAACAAATACTTTAACCATTAGGTTACCCCACTGTGGCATCAACCCTTACAGTAATGACAAGCATAATACAACGCGTTTTAATATATTTATTAATAAATTATATAACATAGAATATATATGTCATAACATGAAAACACTCAAGTACACGTCTAATAATGCCTCTTCGCTAAAAAAGGCATTATCTGGTACTTCAATATTTGTAATCAACAATCTCATAACAATGTCATAGCTTTATGTACAGAAGAAAAACAGCCTCTTTGCTTGGGCCAGTCAGTAAGCGAGATAGCTTTATGGATTTGCTTAGTGTGTTGCCTCGTGATATGAACACTTCTTATAGCCAGACTGTGTAATTACATGATTAATTTGCGTACTTCAGTATGGATTTGTTGACATGGTATTTCTGGTGTTACGTGCTCACGGTAATGTCTTTCCGCTGGGGGAAAAAAACATCAAAACTCATTATTGTGCGAATAATGTGTACCCCCTTCTACATAGCTGTGCTTTTTTGGAAAAAAAGTGCGCACCATACTCAAGAAAATACAGTAAGCAAATCAGATCTATTCACCATTGAAACGTACAATAATAACTACATTTGAACACTATGAGACTTGAAACAGGAAGCTTTGTACAGCATAAAGTAAACTTGTAGATATGATGACAGACAGTGAGAGAAAGAGAGAGCAGGATCACCAAGGAAATATCTGACATTTCTTTCAAGCGATATGTCACACTTTTTCAGTTTATTATCAACACTTACATGACTTAAGGATTAGCTGTTTAAAGTAATGTCTTCAAAACTGAAGACCTGCTTGAGAAGCTAAGTGTCGACATGATACAGATTATGAAGTGACCACCTACAGTGACATTACTAGACATATCAACAATGTCTGTATTACGGTACATCAACAATGATATAGGGTTAATGAAATTAATGAGAGTGAGTGAGTATGGTTTTACGCCGCTTTTTAGCAATATTGCAGCAATATCACGGTGGGGGACACCAGAAATGGGCTTCACACATTGTACCCATGTGGGGAATCGAATCTGGGCCTTCAGCATGACAAGCGAACGCTTTAACCACTGGGCTACCCCACCGCCATGAAATTAATGACTTTGTATGAAGGTATATGAACACTATGGATAAACCTTTTCTTCAGCCAACCTGAATGCCATATTTCTTGAAGCACATGAATTATCAACAGAGTATAGTAAACTAATCCTATTCTGTCACTCGAGTTCAGACAAGAGGGTACTTGGGACAGTTCACAAACCATCTGTAGTGTCAGCAGTTATAGCTATTTTCACTTGTCAACACATCCCCCCCACCTTGAGAAAAGCTCAAACTAGTTTGCATTTGTTAACTGATTGCAACATGTACCAAAAACTGTCGCACTTCAGAGATAACACTTCCCATCATAAAGCATATCAGAGTGACTGTTCTGTCCACAACTAATAGAAGTTCAAATTATCATAAATGTATGGACATATTTATTGAAGCACTCACAACAACAAAAAATACCCAGCAAATATACTATTTCTAGTATTAGAAATGTGGGATGGAAGGCATTGTCACAGTGTTGAATGAAGGGGCCATTTGAGCTTAACACTATCAACATCATACAGAGATAGACACCATTTTTCATATCCAACTACCGGTAGTCCACGGCTCATTCCAGACCAGTGGTCAATGTAAACTATCTAGATTTCTGGAGAAAAGTAGTCCCTCTAGATTTTCACTTGTCTCGGCCAAAGGGACTAGTGGCCTTGTTAAACCCTGTACAGTACGTGGGAAGCACTGCCATACAATCGAAACCATATATTAGACATTCCAGAATATTCGTTTGTTCAGTTTTCAAAATTTTAATCGAGAACTGTGTCAACATATTTTCAAGCGTAGTAAAGCTATAGAAAGCTGCTTTCTAATTGGCTGATGTCGACTTCTTGTTAGTCGTTTCAGTGGTCGGTCAAAGTTCGCAAAAGGTCGCTCTGACGTGACCCATAGTCGGATGTTCTCAGATCTTTGTTTAGCGTCAGCAGAAGACCTAAAAGATCTTGTTTTTAGTTTGAATGACTTGACATCACTTACACCAAACGGTGAACATCACCATTTTGTACCCACCATCAGCATTTCCTTGCATTCAAGGGACACAACTCTGCACAGCCAGTTGTGCTGCCTCTGATCACAAGACATGACATGACCGAAATAAAGCTTTTATTGGCCACATTGTTCAATTGAAATAAGTAATAAGACCGATACATCTTGGAATTATAGGAGTCAGTGAGTGAGTGAGTGAGACAGTATTTAGGTCATATATCGGTGTTGCAACTTAAATATGGTAGGAGAGTCCAAAATGATGGAAGTCTTAGATGTTTACAACCTTGGTGAAGCCCAGGTACAGAGCTGACACACCAAGAATCATAATCAGGGCAAATCTGGGATCTCAATCCATAATCATCAGATTCTGCCATGACAAAGGAACGCAACTCTGCACAGCGATACAGCGGCACCTTAGATGTTTGGGCAACATCCCTATCAAAAAGTGAGAGGCACATAATGAGGGATGTGTGTACCACACCAAGAAGTCTGGCCCCAGGTCTCCCGTACTGCATCAGTCATCTTGATCCCATCATTGCTGACTCAAGAATTTCTTCAAATCATCCTGTTGGTTGTACTGAGTTTGTCATGTGTTGAGTCCAAATCTATTTTTCAACATGTTCAATGTTCTTAGGCTTTGGGGGTTTCAGGATGCCAATTTTCCTCAGATATCTGACGAGGAAGGGTGTTACGGAGACGGTGATGCCAATTCGAGCAGGAGCAAACACCTTGTGAACTGCATATGCCACCACAAAGGTTCCTGCCCCGGCTACTACAGCCTCCGACCCTACCAAGGTCTTCCCAATCCCGATCTTGTCCATAAATGCCACCATGTCAATTCCACTGAAAAGACAAAGGGAAAAATTAATCATCAATTTCACCACAATATTGTCATAACAATGAGGACTTTATCTATAACGAGAGATAAAATGCAAGATCTTCACATCATATCAGCTCAAGGATCATGTGATTTACCACATCAAACCATCAATATCTCTGGTGTTCACCATCTCATATGATGGTGTCAGAAAGGTCTTCACACATTGTACCCATGTGGGGAGTTTAAAACCTGGGTCTTTAAGCATGATGTTCTAACGCTTGAATCACATGGCTACCACACCACCCTTTACTTAATAAATACACAAACATAAGATTCATTAAATCTTGAATTGTTATACTTATATACTGTTAATCATAGAAGTACTGTGAGCATGAAATAACAGTGAATGTCCCTTGCTAGCATTAATGTAGTGATACATTTTTATCTTTGTATACTGGAGTACATTGTCATGACAGGTTCACTGTACATGACCGTAAGCAATGACATATACAACAAGAGTCATCAGGAAATCATATCCCCCAGGTTTGGTGCAATTCAGAAATAGACCTTAGCTACTTACACCCCACTTTTGGTTCATTGCCATTGGATACCTTCAGTTCAGTGAAGAAACAAATATTACTGTTCAGTGTTTTTCAATACCCCAAATTATCAAAATGCACCAGTTCACCCCTTGACTGATCTGTATAGCAAGTTTCTGCACGAAATATCCAACGGATTAGGGGTCCAGCTCCGGAAACGGTAAACTGACGCTGGATGACATCGTCATCCAACAATAAACAACACAATTGAGTGCTAGCTTTAGAGTGCTTCTCACCAGTTCCGTGTCAAGTGTGGTCAGTTAATTTACACAAGTTGATCAAGTAGTTATGCAGTCGGCATCCCTGCATGATGGCATCTTTGGTAAAATGTCAGATAAAAACATTGCTCACTTACACAGTGAAAATGTCGGGTAAAGCAAAAGCAGTCGGGGTGAATACACAACACTCTCATTTACATTCAAAGAATGGTGCTAAATCATGTCACAGCACTTGGTACCTGTACAATATTAGTGACTCGACCTACCAGTATCTCATTTTAACAGGAGTTAGTGGAATATCCTGCCTTTTGAGTTCATGTCAAGCAGCCAACGTTTTTGAAGTCAACAAATGACATTTTTCAATCACACTGCCATTAAACAACATTGTGGAATTGTAAATCTAGAGTCTTGGTGGTTGCTGATGTATATTCATAGTTCAAGGTAGGGCTATTTGCAATAATTTCATGCCACATTTTAGGCCTGGGGTCGACACTCACATTATTAGGCGACCCATTAATTTCATGATTTTCAGTATGCCAATAACTTAAGACAATTCCTTCAAACACTGTGTAATAATCCAAACCATAAAACAATTTTCTTTGTACCACCTTCCAATTGAAAACCATAATAAGGCATATTACATATCAACCACAAATGAATGAGTGAGTTGGGTTTAACGCCACTTTGAACAGTTTTCCAGTTATAACATGGCATGTCACCTTAATGTGGGAGGAAAGCCTGTAGCAAAATCTGAATGCCTAGCACTGATTACACATGGCCAGCATGAAAAAGATGTGTTCCGATAAGCACAGGGCTATTTACAGACTACACATTTAATGTGGGGCTGAGTACAGTAGTGACAGTTGTAGTAGTATAAGGAGAAAGCTGTCCTTAGGTCTCACCCTGGAGTAGAGCTGAACACTTGGGTACGAAGCAGGGACAAGGCAACACTGTAAGGAAACTAAACTAAACCCCCTGCCACCCCCCATCCCCTAATCAATCCCCCCCCCCCACGAACATATTATGAAATAAATCAATGATTCTACACACAAGCATATCAAGCAATGAATCAATGACGACCCCCCCCAAGCAAAAAAAAAAAATAACATATAATTCTGTAAAGAATCAATGATTTCTCCTCATGAACATTTTCTGAAATGAATCAAAGAGCTCCTACATGAACACATTATGAAATGAATCAATGATCCCTGGATAAACGTATTATGCAATGAATCAATGATCTCCCACATTAATATATTATGCAATGAATCAATGATCCCCGGATGAACGTGTTATGCAATGAATCAATGAGCTTCCACATGAATATATTATGAAATGGCTCAATGATCCCCGGATGAACGTATTATGCAATGAATCAATGATCTCCCACATGAATATATTATGAAATGGATCAATGATCCCCGGATAAACGTGTTATGTAATGAATCAATGAGCTCCCACATGAATATATTACGCAAGGAATCAATGAGCTCCCATATGAATATATTAAGCAAGGAATCAATGGCCATCACAAGAACTGCACTACCTGGACACTGCAAGGTAAAAGCCACCAAGAGACATCAGGGACAGGCCAGTATGAAATACTATCACTGTCGCTCCATATTCTTTAAAGGTTTTCTTAAGCCGCTCTGCCTGAGTAAGTTTAGGGGTTTCAGTTTGACCAACCTGGGGGTCAGACTTGGGGTCAGAGGCTGAAGTGGAGTACCCCCGCCGCTGTTGGTGCTGCGTGACAACACTTCGAATCAACTGATCCTGCTCAGCAAACACCTGACCCAGCGACTTTCTCCCTTTGCTGAGACTCTCAAGTTGGTCCATGCACTCATTAAACCCAAAGCGGTGGCAGTTCTCCAGCCAGAGTTTGAACCTGACACAATCCTCCCCTTGCACCCCCTGTGGGCAAGGTGTGTCAACCGTTGGGAAGGTGCTCAAGTCCCCTTGCAGTCCTTGAACACTGCAGCTCTCCGCAGCCTCTTCCTGGTGTCGGGCAATAGCCTGCTGACGATACTTCTGAGAGATGCTGTGAATAAGTTCGTCCTGTTCTGCCAGGACCTGGCCCAGTGTTTTCCGCCCACTCTGGATCCCCTGCAGCTGTTGGTCACAGTTATCCAGGCCGTATCGCTGACAACTCTCCCTCCATAGCCTGAAGTGTACGCAGTCATCGCCCTGAACACCCTGTGGACTGGCCTCATTGTCCACGTGTACTGCACCAGTCTCTGTCTTTTGGACCAATGGACGCTGCTCACCAGTGTGAAATCTCCGGTATAATGCCTGACGAGGGTCTTTGCCATGACCTACAGAAGTAAAAATTACGAAACATGACTGCATGAGTAGTCTCAAGTAGTCATTTAAGGTGACTCTTGGTTTACGGATGCACTGTTCTTTCAAAGTCCAAATGTTAAAAAAATATAAAAATGAAAAATACCCTGTTTTTATATTATAGTATTCATTTATTAAATCTATCCCATTTCACAATGTCTGAAATATGTATTCCATTTGATTTTATAATTTTTTATCAATAGATTAAAAAATGATTCACTATTTCCTGCAATGTTATTGAAAATAAAATTCTTGGACACACTTCGACAACAGGTCCTCATTGAACATGTCAAACAGCAAAATAAAGATGTTTCAAGTCTAAATAGATTATACAAAGTAATAAAAATCAACAAAAATATATATAAAAGTTGCCAAACTGATATCTAAGTTATTATTTCCATCTTTCCGTGCGATCGCAGTAATCTTCTGGTAGCTGGTTTTAAAAGAGTTAAACGTCGCCCATGCTGCCTAAATAGCAGCGTCTTTCATGCATTTCCACCCATGACATGAATATTGTAATATGGCCATATGTGCACAAGCTGAGTGCTAGGGATATGATAAAATGTTCTTGAAAAATTGAGTTGTTTTAATTTTGTTACTCCAGAATATTTTTTTTATATCTACCTAACTTTTTAGGACAAAATTCAAGTAAAGAAAATCTCTGAGGCCTTTTTTTTTTAAATTGGCCTACCTCACTTTTGAAATGAGTTTGAAATCCGTAAACCAAGAAATAAAATTGTCACCTAAGGTGTAAAAGACAAAGATGATCAGATGGATACAATGATGTCCAGTGACTAAAGCATGTAAAGTGGGTATCTTGATTGGCGACTATGCATGGTGGACTAAGAAGTTTTGAGCATAAACAGTTCTTACAGATTAACTCAGCTCCAGGATGTATTCCTGAAGAATTTGTTAATTAGCACTCTCTCACCATATGTTTTTAATATATCAGAAACAAATCTGTTTTAGGTTCACCGTCAACCACTGCTGTAATCTAATCTAATTTTCTCAACAATTTCAATCTCACTATAACATTTAATCAAGTTTATTAAAAGAGCTATCATGGTAATATTATTCCATGTAATATACCAACAAATGGACTGACTCAAATGCTCAAAAGGTGTTTCCATCACTTTCAGGTTTGTACAACTGAAGCAGCAACATCTGTCCCATTGATGATAACAATCCTCAATTCATCCACAGAACATTAATTGCTGATACAGCATCTGAACATGCTACATACTAACTATTACTGTTCATACATAGATAGGCTATATATTAATTCTATACTCCAAAGGCAATTTGGTCTTCAGAAATTAAATCCTGGTCAGTTAACAGGGTGATAATGTTACTGCATCTCATCATAGTTATGTCTCATCATAATGGGACATTGCTCATTATATCAATCACTGGTTTGTCTGGCTTAGACATCGGATTTTTTCAGGTTGCTGTGAGTGGGGTTTTATACCACTTTTAGAAATATTCCAGTAATGTCATGACAGGGTACCCCAGAAATGGGCTTCACACATGCCCATGTAGGGAATTAAACCCAGGTCTTCTGTGTGTCGAGTGAACACTTTAACCACTAGGTTACCCCACTGGCTCCAGGCTTTTATGATACAGCTGTGATATTGCTGACTGTCTCATTTAACAACACTTGCTCACATACTCAATGATACACAGTACAATTACAATAATCACTGACAGTGACACTGATTATTTTCCTCTTAACTGCATGGATGTCGTATATGAACCCCATTTCTGGTGTCGCCAGCCGTGATATTGCTGGAATATTGCTAAAAGCGGCGTAAAACCGTACTCACTCACTCACTATATGAACAATACTTAGTATTACTTACCATAATTAAGCAACAACAGTAGATATATCGTTGAATAGTTCGAGAGCTAGTACTCAGACAACTAGTAAAATGTTACGTCTATTATTATTTAGTGTTGTGCACAAGCCAAGGTCGTAAACGAGAACTCGCCTAAATGTACCAACCTGGCACAGGGTCAGTGCATGATCACATACGAGTACGCACGTGATACTGAAAAAAATGAAGTAAGCATTTGCGGTTTACAAACGTACCTGGAATACCTTGTATCCCCGGACCTTCTTGTGAATGTGTCAATGCAGTGGATAGCAGCAACTTTGCTCTGTTTAGAGAAACCGATTTTGCGCTTCCCTGAAATCCCTCGATTAAAAAGTGAGACTTTTGCATTCTGTCATCGCTCGAGGCTGGCGCCCCCTCTGCATGCGTGCGAGTCTTGGCAGCGACTGTTGTCGAAAGAAAACGAAGTGACAGCGAGTTGGATTGTTTCAACACAACGGTACTTCTATTAGTAATCATGGCGACGTTCCGTTCTTCCGAAAACCACTTCCAGTTTGTCAGTCTTATACTGCTGTGTCATTAAAGCGGACGATAACGTGGTGTACTGCTACTGATGTGACCTGCTAACCTCTATAGACATGCGCATTGTGTATGGTTCGACTGAGCATGCGTAAGCGAACAATAACAAACACACGTGGCTCTGTGTGAGAGAATGTTCAGAAATCGAGGTGGCATGTTTTACAATTTATAAGATGGGTGTTTTATGTTACAAAAATAGCAGCACAGTACTAGCTGGGAGTCTTCGTTGTGTGTGTTTATTTGTTGTTAACACCGCACTCGCCAATATTCCTGTGAACTGTAAACGTAATAACCCACTTATCACTGCAGTACACTTACAGATCTCAATAAGAGTCTGTTGGTTTGGTTTGGTTTGTAGTTTAACGCCGGAAGTAGCAATATTCCAGCTATATGACTGCGGTCTGTAAATGATCGAGTCTGGACCAGACAATCCAGTGATTGACCACATGCGCATCGATTCACGCAATTGGGATCGATGACATGCATCAACCAAGTCAGCGAGCCTGACCACTGTATACAACTTGATGAGGTTAGCAGCATTTGCTGGGCCAAAGGTTTGCTCTGTGAAGGAGAAGTTGTAAACGTCCATAGTCCACTGAATGTTTCACAAACGGACACCATTTCTTGAAGATGTGCTGGAACTGGAGAGATCAAAGTGTCGTCAGCTTGGGTTGGAGCTGTCATGCTGACGTCGAGGACAACATATTCCTTCTTCTTACTACGTTTCGCAAGAGCTCATCTATATACAGTAGGTATAGGTTCGCAGATAAAATGCTCCCTTGTCGAACACCTCTGTGAAGCTGTAACCAGTGTGACTTCTCGTTGTTTGCTAGGACGCAATTTCTCATATCCGTCTAAATATGGTCAAATATTGCCCAGAGAGTGATTTGATACTTCTATATAGTAGAGTTTCGAGAGGAGGCCTGGCTGGTAGACAGAGCCGAAATCCTTAGAGTGAGTGAGTATGGTTTACGCCGCTTTTAGCAATATTCCAACAACATCACGGCGGGGGACACCAGAAATGGCCTTCACACATTGTATCCATGTCGGGAATCGAACCCGGGTCTTCGGCGTGACGAGCGAACGCTTTAACCACTAGGCTACCCGACCGCCCCCAAAAGCCTTAGAGCTATCAAGGAAGGCTACATGAACTACTTGAGAACGCTGTGAGTTACCGTAAGCTGTTTCTTGTACCAGAAATGACGTGTGCATTGATGACACTCCTTTTGGAAACCGAACTGTTGGTTGCATGGGAAGGTGCCAGAATCTGTGATCTGTGGAAGTCTTTTGGAGAGCACAAGTTCAAACAGTTTAAATATAACTGGAAGAAGTGTCACCCCTCTTCAAGCGTCTGGAAACATTTTAGATTTATCTCCGCCTTTCAATATGGTTACTATAAGCCCATACTCCAATGTGGCTTTATGTGCTTTTGAATTTGGATTGTGGAATAAATTGATCTGATGATGTGATGATACAGCAAACTATTGACATAAAATGTTTCAATAGTTTCTGAACTGTGTACAGCCCTGATCTGGAAGGGACACTGGTCACAGAAGGTTGGAAGAGATACTGTTGTCCTCCTGTAACTTGCCATCTCTTATAATCTTTTGCCACGACGGTTTGGGGACGTGGGGTTGTCTATCAGGAAAATTAATATTTCTTCATGGGTTAAAGAATTCATAGGCTTAAGAAAATTAAAAGCATGTATGTGACCGGACCAAAAGCACAGATCAGCATGTTCATCCTCGATTAACCAGCGTATAACGAAATTTGATACACTGGATAATCGAGATAGGATGGGCTTGGGTTGTGTGTTAAATCTTCCCCATAACATGATAGCGACATTGGTGTTGTGCCGAGTCATTCCTTATCTTTCTACGACGCCGCGCCTGTGGTATCTATCTATAGTAAACTGAGCTGACCATATGAAAATAAACCCCTTCGTGATACTTACCATGAATCGTGATAGGCAATTAAGGAGCGCTAGGTTATTTAAAAAAAGTTAAGATTTCTCTTTGTGTTGTGTAAAATGTCACAGAACAAGGCCCTAGCACACTATTTAATGTATATGTTGAAGATATGGTTCTCTTGATTAAACATACATCCTGGAAAAGGGCAACCGCCGCTTACTAGCTATTTTCATCTTAGTAATTTAGACTCGTATCCTGTCTTGGTGTTAAAGAAACACATTTGTTTTTGTTTACTGCAATACAGAAACCAAGATTTATTATACCCCCGACCTAAAAGGTCGGGGATATATAGTTATACCAATGTTCCGTCCGTCCGTCCGAAAACTTTGTCCACGCGATTTCCCTTAAAGTATTCAGTGGATTCATCTCAAACTTAGTAGATATAATCTTTGTCATATGGAGGGGTGCAGTCAAAAGAAAAAAAATGTTTTTATTAATGTTCCATTTTTTTGTGAATTTTTCAAACCCTAACCTATCCTAGCTATTTAATTTGTAACTACTGACACACTAGGCGGGTCGGGGGTATTAGTGAGCCACGCTCACTTTTGCTCTTGTTACCTAATGACACTGTAACTATTCCATGACAATAGCTATTAATTTTGACGACCCTTTCATTTGCGCCCTGTGCTTCTTCGCATCATGTGATGACCCAGTCCTTGTGACCGTAGAGGAACATAGTGTTCTTGTACCAACTATTGATTATGGAAGTAAGGATAATATATATGGATGAACAAGTTTTTTATTATAATTAGAGTGACGTTTCGGTGTAGGTTCTAACACCGTTATCAAGCAAGTATTTGATACGAGGTCTGATTGTGAAGTTCACATCAATGTTTGAACAAACAAGAAACAGTTATTCGATATTCGTTGGTGATGTATTTGATACCATCTTCCCGAGGCAAGAGAGTTAACTGACTTTAAAAGTCCAGTTTCCACCCTTGCCGAACTAGGCTGGTATTATGGAGTTACATTTTGGCTGGACTAACGAGTCTATGCATAGTTCAATCAAAATCGCGCACCGAAATCGAAATCCGGTTCGTAAACTGTCATGCAGAGTTCGGTCGATTGCAGGATTTGCACAGCATGTGCACTGCAAACTCATTGTCAACAGATATTTTCCAAATCTTTTTCAAGTTTTTAATCAAGGTGTTCACGTGATTTGATGCACTTCGCGATTCTTTATTACAATATAGATCTTGATTGTCGATCAGATCGTCTTGACTGGGCGCCGCCATTCTGTTTGAAGCAAATGCAAGTTTTACGAGAGGTGGAATCTGATTGGTCCATAGGAGAGGCTTAGAAGAGACACTGGACTTTTAAAGTCAGTTAACTCCCTTGCCTTGGGAAGATGAAGTGTGCAGTGTTTTGGAGACTGTTTTCAGCCTGAAGTATTGTCGGAAATGCTAGAAAAATGTTTTTCTGTCTTCATTTAATAAATACGAGTCATAGGGCTATGAAAATAGCATATATCAAAGCAACGCAAATTTACCTAATCTAACCTATCCTAGATTATCCTTAAAATGTACTTTTACAGGTTAACTGATGATAAACTTAGAAAGTATTCGACTGTTGTCATGCATGTATGAAACGGCCTATAACCTGTGGTAATTACCTCACACTGGCCTGTCCCGAGGTGATGACCTCACACCGGCCCGTGCATTTTCACAGGTGCAAATGTCACCGAGTTGGGGGTGGTCTCAAAATATTTCTGTTGTACTTAATTGACATGTGCGTTGATGAGATAACAATTAAAGATATGTACTGCATTACATTTGCTTGCAAAAATGATGGAATAGTTAAAAGCTATGAAACGGGATGAGTATTGGAAGGTTGCGTTTTTGGAATCAAGAAGTATTTGTTGTTCTACAGATGATTTCTAGAGGTAGCATCTATCTCCGCTGATGAAGAATATGAATCGATACTAACACCCAACTGATAACTGTTTCAACAAGGCTGATATCTAGCAAAGACTGCGTTGACCCCCCCTTTGACATGAGTGAATTTGAATGTTGTGCTATGTCTTGCCACGAACCTTTTACAGTTAGCCAAGATAGGCACAACAGGGTTGAGCTCACAATGTTTGACTGCCGTACGTAAGACAACGTGACTGTGTTGTACCGCCAGCACATATGTCTTGTACTTTACTGGTTTCTTATTCAGCCGAATTTTCACCATGAGTTGAACTTTCGTTTCTGATGGTCTGAAGTCCACAATGTCATATATTCCTGCATGACTACTCATGGTTGGCGCGACAGTATCTTATTCCCGGACGTTGTATTAACTGGCGTTATCCATGACAATGACACTGAGGTTGTTTAAAATGGGCTATAGCTGATGTTCCAACCAGTCTATGAACACATCACCTCCTATAATTTCCTCATGAAAATCAATCAATAGGCCCCAGATCACGGGTTGAAGCGTGCACAACAATGACACGATCACCTTAACCTGATGGTACCATGGGTGATTTTGATCCATCTGCCGATAGCCACATGTAGTCAGTGGAATGATTCATCAAAGTAAATGATCTGTAAGCCCTGACTGCGATGAATGGTGCTGAGATTATGTGACATCATCGACATGATGGAATATTTCCATCTGAAAACTGCTAGGTCATCGCCACGCACAGTGTTTCGAAATCGGCAATATTTAGTGCAGTCCGGGAAACATTAATTTGTATCTTTAATTTCCTCCCGGATTTTACAACAAGTCGGGGGTACATTCTGCTCATAAAGCTTGTACACTATATCATTTTACGTCCCAGTTTCGTTTTGAGACCACCCTTAAACTCTTTTGTTCTATTTATCAATCTGTAGACTTGATGGCATGAATTGAAAACCCAATAGTTTAGGCAGTTCGGTAATTCGTGCTATCTAAACTTATAAATGGTTTCCCTCTATCTCTCTAAAAAGTGTCAAGACCTTTCCTAATACAGATTCCATGTCGTGTACCATGGCTATGGCTATGCAAGTGTACAGTAACATGGATCATGGGAGCAGTGTTGACAAAACAAACGCAGCGTCATTTTGTTGTTTTAGAAGATGCACATCAAGAATTTTCTCCATATGATTTATTTTGTGTGGATTAGATGTTTTCATATTATGACGACTACATTATTATCATTAAAACGGAGTCAAGTGCGCATATTTCTATAGTCCCTTTTAGACTGCCATCATTGGATAAACGTGAACTTATTGTTTCGTTCGAATTCTTCTCCTGTAGACTTGTCGATAGGACTTCTTGCGACTGAAATACTTCCAACCATGCACAGGTAAGCCGATTGGTAGTTAAAAGCCGATCAGTCTGTGAAAAATGTTATCCTTTTTTAACGGGCAAAAATATTTTTTCTTGCATTTCCGACAGTACTTTAGGAACGTTTTGATAAGTTTGTAAATGTTTTGTTCAACTCCAATTTTCAAGTGTACACTTTCTTTTGCCCGGCAGATTATATGTGTTTGACTTGTTCTTGTTTGCTAAGTACCTTTGCAAACAAATTCTCATACTCCGTAGAATTGGTCTTACTTGTCGTAAGAGGTGACTAACGAGATCGGGTGGTCAGGCTCGCTGATTTGGTTGATGCAAGGCAAAATCCCATTTTCTTAGATCGATGGTCATGATGTACTGGATTGTCTGGTCCTGACTGATTATTTACAGACTGCAGTCATGTAGCTTGAATATTGCTCAGAGCGGCGTTAAACAAACAAGCATACAAAGTCTCACTTTATTTTAAAAAGATACTTAGCCTGGTGACGAAGACATGTATGTACCCGTGAAGAGCCGGGGTAGAATTAGTATTCAGCAACAAAAGATTGTCGTAAGAGGCGACTAACGGGTTCGGCTGGTCAGGCTTGCTGACTTGGTTGATGCATGTCATCGTATCCCAATTGTGTAGATCGATGCTCATGATCATTGATGTGTATCTGGCATACAGCGGAGTGTGCTGCTGGTCAAGAATTGAGAAACATGATCTGCGGATCCTGGTTACGACTAAGTGACGCGGCCCTTTGCACAAAGAATTACGCACCATTACATAACTTGGCCACAAGTAATATGTCAGCGATAGAAAATGGCACTAGTCCAAAAGTCCTTGTCAAACTGCCCGATAGTTAAGGTAGCATGATGACTAATACAGATTTGCCTTTTATAAGGGCCTTGCTCTGTTATTATTGTAATAGACTATAAGGTCTAGTGGATTATAAAACGTTAGGTTCATGTCAGGAAAACTTGAAAGTAATGCTAGTTGTGCATTTCCAGCACGAAGGCACGAACCAATCATAATCGGCTAGAACTCCGGAAATGAACTCACAACTAGAAGATCCTTTTAGCCAAGGGACCGTCAACTTGTATACTGTCGGCATGTTGCCATAATGTGGATACCACGACGTGGATTTCTGTCCCTTCCACTAAAATGCGTTATTATTGGAGCCTTTTGACACTATTCAAAATAAAACCTCTACTTTTTGTTGTATTAAAGAGATAGTTTTATTTTATGCTGATGATCCTTGGTTTGTCACCACTGGGTTAAACCAACATTTATAGGAGCTGCTGCATCACCCTCCCACAGATAGACGGGGTATACTTTTCAAAATGGGGTAAAATCTAACTCACAACCAGGTCACACGTTGTGAGTATTTGACACTCATTATTTTTGTCTGCTCTTTGGCCAAGAATTGCTGCTGGGAACGTGTTCTGCCCAAAACACAAGGTACATTAGTAGAGACAAGGACATGCTCGACTACTTCCGTGAAATTGCTGGAATATTGCCAAAAGCGGCGTAAAACCGTACTCACTCACTCGACTTCTTGTCAGAAGATTTACAGTTCTTACAGAAAGAATGAGAAGGATGTCTAGGAAAAGATTCCATCATTTGTCTTGATATGCCTGTTGACAGTTCTCCAAAATGTAAATACAATCCCAGCCACTTGAAACTGATCAATGATAACAAAACAGGATCTCTTTCGACATTTTTATTTAACATTTTTACATTTTTTTCTTCACATTTTATACATCATTTTTTCTCTTTTCTGCACATATTTCTCTTTTCATATTTTTTTCTCTGTACATTTTTTTTCAATCTTTTTGTTTTCAATATTTTCTTATTTTGAGTCAAATATTTTCACGTCAATCTGAAAGAAAATATGATTAGCATAATATCAACAAGATCTATGTTAAAATTGCAGACAAGAGAAAACACTGATAAATAGGATAATTCAGCTGAAAAAGAAAGCATCAATAAGCGAGAAGTGCACAATTTACTACCCACATTCAAAACTAGAGACCATTTTGAGAGCATTTAAAGGGGAATGTCTTGAGGCCTTTTAAAGTATGAAGAAAATAACCTTAAGGTGCTATTCTCCTGAGATAATGTGATGCAGTTATTTAGAAGCTAAAATATGAAATATTCTTCCTTCTCTACCAATATTAGGGTTATAACTCAGAGGGATTTCAAGTGTCATTCATAGAATCTGCAGTAGTCCAGATTACTATGACATAAAAGCGCACATTGACAACAGTGTACACATTAAAAGACAACACCAACAGTATTTTAACGTCCATAGTTAAGACCACCAAAATACACAATTATTCCACTATAATACAGGGAAGTCATATTCTGGCCTTGATAAAACAAAATACAAAAATATAGAACTGTAAATTTCTATTTCTTTTCTGCACCAGTTCATTGACAATCTGCCCTTCTCATAACATACACTCATTCACACTTTCAAACGACCAATCCTCTCACAAGCCATTGTAAGTATGTTAAAATGATGGAAATATCATGCAGCAGGGCACATTTTATCCATATGGGACATACAAATTACTGTAGATCATGGATTTTGATTCTGCTACGAGAATAAAAGGGTGGTCGACATGAGCAATTCAAAACTTCTGACATCGATGTTGATTAAAAATCAGGCTGTAACTCGATAGAATATTGGGAAGTATGAGTTATTTTACCACCATGGTTGCCACCATAGTATCCTTCATTCTTTCTTGTTATTTTAGTTTCAGTAAGGGGAATAGTAGGCTGCTCTTCGGTATCTCCTGAAACAAATAATTGTTTTCTATTTAACAAAGACAAACAAAATAACATAACCTCATGTATGTTATGTCTCCCCGAAGTTTCATTGTATCTGCCACTGAACTAACATTACATTCCTATTGATTTTGCACCAGGTACATGTGTTGATGTAAACACATTTCATGGACAAAAGTGAAAAGGGATGGGTACAGGTTATTACTTAGAATATCTGCCCCTAAACATACTTACAATTATTTGTTTGAAATAACACATCACAAGAAAAGTTTGACTGATAAAAGGAACACGTAAAAAGGAGCATGTTTTGCTCAAACAAATATAGTACGTTTATTAATGATTGAGACATATTGAAGTACACATACATCAGTTTTAAACATGTCAACAACAATATCTGATGAGGATATGGCATAACCTGTCTCTGTTCATGAATAGAACACATGAAGAATAAAGAGAACAGTTCTCGCAGGGTGAACCTCATTGACAGGATAGAGTTACTTTCACTTCAACCCTAAACAAATCACAATTCAATTGAATACATGAGTGGTGTAGTTTGGTATAAATAATATTTAATCTTCGCTTTCTCCCAACAAAATGCTCTGGGGTTGAAGGATGTTATTTATTTTTTCTTTGATTAAAAATTAGAGATAGTTTCATTAATGCATGTTTTAGTGCTATATCCTTCCAAAGCCTTAGTGATAATTGCAAAAATGACCAATGTGAATACTTGGCTCGGGTTTGAGGTACTGAAACAAAGTCTGAATTTCAATGATTGTATGGTAATACTGCACCAACAGTAGTTGGTAGAGTGTCTGTTAAGATATGAAGGTTTTCAATTATGGTAGATCTGACAGAACAAAAAATGTCCTTCTTTCAATAGGGAGAATAAGAAAAGTACATATGTTACAAGAATTGAGAGAAATAATTCCATGTCTCAGCTATTTATCATTGGAAAGGGACCTTATTTAGGTTAACAAAATACTCCAGCATGCCTTGACCTGATTTAAAACAACTCGGCAATACATAAAGAAGAAAGGCAACAAACCCATAAGGTCTTCTTCCCCTGGGGGTAAACCCGCGTCCCCTGCTTCTACCTCTACTGCGTGGGAAGCGATTTGTGGAACTGATGCCTGGCCTATTTGTCCGTTTTGGAGAGACCTGAAATAGATTTGAAATAAACATAATACAAATACTGTACATGCTCATTTCAGATAGAGTATCTAGCTAAAATAAATGGGGAAAACATAATGCATCAGGTATCACAACCTAAGGGAAAAACTAACATTATCCACTAACTATGTCTTATGCATTATTCCAAATTAGTCTGTATGAAGATAATGCTGTCATTGCATTGTTCCATAACATGGGATCAATTGTACAGTGGCTACTTCAACTTAGAGCACAACTTAATGGATGACCCTGATGTATATCCTGATATGTACTTCAGCAAAAAAACTCAATTTAACAGAGGTATATTGAGGATACAGACAAATGCTCTGTGAGTGGAGAGTGAAAAGTGCTCTTTGAATAACCTGTTCACTACATATGCTGTTCATGGAACTGGAGTACTTAGCTGTGCTCTATAAAGCATTCTAAGACAAATAGAGGACCTGTGACATTAGTCTACTGTCGTGGTTCCATGCTAAAAACCCGTTGAGAAAACAACAGGGCTCAGCTTCATCCTTTGTTCTTGCAACTGTACCATTATATCCTGATAAATACTGTTACGTGTCTTCTGTATATCATTGTATATAATATTACTTTGTCTACAGCAACTTCACTGACAATGACTAGATGTAAACTCTGTTAAAATATACCTTGTGTTCTTCTATTTATCATGTTCCTACAAAAAAGGTTTCCTTGAACCATACTTTACCATACACATTTCTGATTTCAAATGCAGTATCATAAACAAGAGCAATCACTACAGGGCCAGTGCATGTCATAACCAGTACGTTCTAAACAGACATTGTCGGTGCAATATTTGTAAACATTTCTTTCCTTAAAACATTACAATAGTATTAAAGTGATATCCTGATAATTGACAGCTCAGAATCAGCATGGAACCACAACAATAGACTAGCTACCGATGTCTGGGAGGAAGATTGCAGCCAGTTTACCTTAATTTGCCTTCCCCTGAAAAGTGAGTCATCCAAAGCCATTGCAGTTGCCACTGAATCTTTGTCAGCAAATTCAATATATGCAAATCTGAAAAATAAAATTAGTTTTGCGAACTTGGAATACAAGAAAACATCAAGTATGAACATACTGGTCAGTTGATAACATATACAAAGGTATTTGTCCAAGATCAGTAGCGGTTATGTTACAATCACAGAGGATCAGAAGTCCAACATGCGCAAGCATCATTTCTTGGAAACATATATATACAATATCTATAAATAACGAAGATAAACATGGTAAAGATAGGATTATGTTCTCTTCAGCTCGGTAAAATTGATGGCCTTTCAACATATTTAAAACACTTGTGCAGTAGGTTAAACCTACAAACGTATTCAGGGTACTGCTTATGATTAATACATGTATGGTCGTTTGAGAATGGTGAAATCTTTGGAAGTCCCTTTTTGTTTGTAATTCTTTGGATAAAATCAGGTACCTGGCATTAATATTATCGGTTCATAAATATTGAAAAATGTATATTTCTCCAAGATCAGTAGCGGATATGTTACAATCACAGAGGATCAGAAGTCCAACATGTGCAAACATCATTTCTTGGAAACATATATATACAATATCTATAAATAACGAGGATAAACATGGTAAAGATAGGATTATGTTCTCTTCAGCTCGGTAAAATTGATGGCCTTTCAACATATTTAAAACACTTGTGCAGTAGGTTAAACCTACAAACGTATTCAGGGTAGTGCTTAGGGAGCGACCATTTGATTTCTATGGGGGGGCCGGAAGTATTTACAAATGAATAGTTTGTTGGAGATAATCAGTAAAATAAATAGAATGTTTACTACTGTGGGAAAAATGAATAGTTTGTTTCCAGATATAATTTTGCATGTCATTGCAACATTTATCTATTGAATTAAAGAATTATTCCAGCATTATAAACGTAAAGATTTTCCGCCGCCTTCGGCGCAACATCACTATTACTTTAATCTTATTTTATGCTATTTCTGTATATGAAGTTAATGGCTTCAGTTCAGCACATTTAAATTGCTATTTGCTATTTAAATGCATGTACAAATATTCAGGCGTCCAATTTAACAATTTCCAAAAAGAAATAACCAAGCTACAATGTTGTAAAAGAACACATTTATTCACTGATAAATGTTGAACATATTTATATTGTGGTTTGTTTGAGGAATGGTTTGAAATACAAATAAACCATATGTATTAAATGAAAAGGTATCGGTATGAACAATTTTCACCAAAATCCTTCAAATAAAACTATATTATATGATCTTTGGATATGACCTGGTCATAAGTGTTTCTGTTGTGATGAAACATCTATTTGAACACGTCAATGCACACCATCATCCTTTGCTGGAGAGACACGTCTTGCTCTGTTTTTGCTGTATACATTGTCTGATTACAATGTTATTCAGATGAATGAACGAGTGTATACACTATTTGCTTTAGTGTATGGCAATGGGGGTCATTTCGTGGGATGTGTGTGTGTGCCAGGCAAAGGTTGGTACAGTTACGATGGCTTGGAAGTATACCACCGATACGGGCCGGGACTAAAGAAACAGCTATTACCGCGTCCTCCACCAGGCTACAAACAGGACTACTGTATTTATGTCAGGGAATGAAAAAGACTATTATAACGGGTGTTCTATAGCTGTTCATGTTATAATACACCACAGGCTGCATTTGCTGAAATATGATTGCATATTTTACTCTATAATAAAATTGCAAAATTACCATCTGAAATGAATAGTTTGTTCAGCTGTATGTTACAAAAAAATAGTTTGTTAGAAATGGCTTCAGAAAAAAATAGTTTGCTGAGAAAACAACTTCCGCCCCCCCCCCCCCCCCCCCCCCCATAGAAATCAAATGGTCGCTCCCTTATGATTAATACATGTATGGTCGTTTGAGAATGGTGAAATCTTTGGAAGTCCCTTTTTGTTTGTAATTCTTTGGATAAAAATCAGGTACCTGGCATTAATATTATCGGTTCATAAATATTGAAAAATGTATATTTCTCCAAGATCAGTAGCGGATATGTTACAATCACAGAGGATCAGAAGTCCAACATGTGCAAACATCATTTCTTGGAAACATATATATACAATATCTATAAATAACGAGGATAAACATGGTAAAGATAGGATTATGTTCTCTTCAGCTCGGTAAAATTGATGGCCTTTCAACATATTTAAAACACTTGTGCAGTAGGTTAAACCTACAAACGTATTCAGGGTACTGCTTATGATTAATACATGTATGGTCGTTTGAGAATGGTGAAATCTTTGGAAGTCCCTTTTTGTTTGTAATTCTTTGGATAAAATCAGGTACATGGCTTTAATATTATCGGTTCATAAATATTGAAAAATGTATATTTCTCCAAGATCAGTAGCGGATATGTTACAATCACAGAGGATCAGAAGTCCAACATGTGCAAACATCATTTCTTGGAATATCAGAACAATGCAGTAGCCTGCTACTGTTACTACTTTATATTAACTTGCACCACTTGAAGATTAGTAGTAAATGCAAGCTGCAATCCTACTTAGGGTGTGCCCTTTTTCTAACAGTTGACAGGCAATATTAAAGCTTTTGCAACATTCAATGTTTGACTGACAAAGTGCAGTAAGACAAGTAGAGTCATATTCTGGCAAACCGGGTATGTTTAAACTGGTTTACTTAATACGTTCATATAGATGTGACCACATAAGCCCAATTCGGAAATTGAATCTCTCTACACCATTTGCTACAACTTAAAAGCAACTCAAAATTTATTTTGTTTTTATCAAATACTTCTCTATATGACTGTTTGAGATTGGTGAAATTATTGAAAGGCCAAATTTCTCTGTAAATCTTTAACAAAAGTAGGTACCGGGTATGGATATAATAAGTCAATAAATATTGATTATTTTTTACAATATTTGTCCAAGATCAGTGGCAGGTATGTTACAATCACAGAGGATCAGAAGTCCAACATGTGCAAACATCATTTCTTGGAATATCATAATAATGTATTTGCTACCATTACTACTTCATAATAACCTGCACCAACTGAGAAGAACATGCAAGTTGCAAGCTAGAATCTTATTTAGGGTGCCATTTTATAAGTCAACAAGTTATATTAAAGCTTTTGTAACATTCAATGTTTCACCGACACAAAATGCAGTACCACCAGCTAAGTCATACAATGGCAACCTGGTATGTTGTAGAACATGCTTTACCTATTCCCTTCATATGTAATCATGAATGTTACCACAATATTAGTCAAACTTGGAAATAAATCTTTCTATTTGCATCAGCAATAACATTTGCTACAACTGAACAGGTATTTGAAATATTTTTGGATTTTTGCCATGTGATTGTTTGAGAATGGTGAAATCTTTAAATGTCATTGGGGTTTGTAGGCATGGTAGGGTGTCTGGTGAAGAAAGGGTACCAGGTATAAATATCATAAATTTATAAAATATTGAAAAATTAAGTGTTTCTCCCAAGATCAGTAGCAGTTATGTTACAATCACAGAGGATCAGAAGTCCAACATGTGCAAACATCATTTCTTGGAATTATCTTTCTATAATGTCTTAGCTATACACTTGGGTCATGGGTAAGTTTAAAAACTTGCTTCATTATGATATAAGTAAATACTCTTTTTCTCATGATGCGAACACTGCAAACTTAAGTATCTTTCATACCTAAATACATTATCATGAGTGACAAAGTATCTTTCAAGCCCCAAAACAGTAATGAAATTGAAAGAGAACTCACCCTTTTGGATGGCCTGTGAATTTGTCACACAGAATGGTCACTCGGTTTACTGAGCCACAACCATGAAAATGTTGCTCCAATTCTTCTGCTGTGGCACCGTAATCAACCTAAAATATTCACACAAATCTTAAAGAATTGATCTTTCACATAATGTGATAAACAAAACTAGAATTAAGAAAATACCAAGGAATCTTGTCTAAATGGGTGCCAATTAGTTCTAATGTCAACTGCATCAATTGTTTCCATTTTGATGCCAGGTTTCTTTCACAAGGCACTGAAAAATTACTGCAGCACAAATTACAAAGACTTTACATGCAGCAATAGAATAACATTGTTAATATCTGGTGCAACAGGTCAATTTGCTTATTCTCTATCAATCCATATCATGCATTTGGCCAAGGTGGAGCTACCAATTGTTGTATGTTCACATCCAAAAACAGAGGACCAAACCTATTGCAAATATACAATGCGGCACAAACATTAAAACTATTGTATATTAAAAACATTGCAACACAGATAGTATTTCCAATAGCAAACTTATTCATTATGAAATAGTACCAACAGATATCAGTATCAATAGGTATCCAAATATTTCAATGGCCTGTTTACAATGGTTTGTTTAAAGTGTTTCAATATTTGTGTAGAAATTCCCCTTTTGTGAATCAATACAATAATTGGGAGACAACATGTCAATGCTGAAGTGGTGAGGGAATATTGTCATTCACGTAGTGCAGTCTTGGTGCAACAATATACACAGTATACAAATAAAGGTTTGACTTGCCATACCACATGACAGTAATTGAACAATGACACATCTATACCAAATTTAGTTAATTTACGTAATCAATATCAATACCAACTTAAGCATTCAACATTGCAAAGATGTACTGCTTTTTAACAATAACATGTACTCACATTACCACAATATATTGAACGAGCATCAGCTTCTATTTTTTCATCAACGCTTGGAAAAGAAGCTGAAATGAACATGTACATGTAAAAGTTGCAATAAGTTACAACTAATATTACTGAGGTCATAAAACAAGTCTAATTGCCTAATTATTGGACATAGATCTTAGAAATATGTACCGATTACTTAACATGTTCTATGTTCATACAACACATGCACTAACCCTCAAAACATACTTAACTTTACCAAATAAAAATACACAGCAGTATTTTGTGAGGTTCAATGTTATAATTGTTGGAAGATCAGCAACCCTATACCTATGCAATGGTCAATTTTAAGTTTCCTTTTTTTAATGTGGAAAAATATGTTGGTGTTAAACTTAGCCTATAATAAAAATACAAAAATATACATGTAATCCACGTATAATTAATTTTCAACAATTTAGGCAGTTTCAATCAAGGCATACCATAGCAAAGTTATAACAGTTACTTTCTTATCATAGCAAAAGAGCTTTGATGATGTTTGCAACTTGACATGTAAATGGATGAAAATAAACACAAAACTAGGATGCCAACATTAGCAACCGCATAGAGTATTGATGATGCCATTGATGGATTGTGGTTGAGAAATGTGTCTAAAGCTTGTGATGAAAACCAAACTGATTCCCCAACACGACACAGTAGTATCAAAACAATAACTTTCATCATTCAGAATCTGACTGCAACCCACTTATAGATGAAGAACTCATATTCATTTGACTATCAACTTCTTTCTGCATTTCTTTTAATTTTTCAGCTTCCTCTTCCATTTCTTTGACTCTGGCTTTGATAGCCTCGAGTTCCTGCAACAGTCATCAAATATCACATCGTTTTCACTACATAATGTAACAGATGACTTCACTAATATTTTGAGTGTGATAATTGACATTTTTTGGTGAAACTGGTAACTTCACAATTCCATGTTTGATGGCTTATTGTCTGTGTATATTATAATATATTGTGGAACTGAGTTTTACTTAGAATTATCAGGAACCTATTGTTATTAAGAAGAAAATGGTTAATACAGTTCAATCATCTGTAGTAGCTAGCACATAATTTAAACTCCGGGTGTATAGAATCAAACATGAACAAACTTTAGGCCTAACTGGGCCTATACGAAATTTATCTAAAGCATATTGTTATGTTATTATTCAACAGCTGTAGTCATATGTTTCAAGTGTGTTGATACGGACCGGATCTTCCACGCCAACATCTTCCGTCGTTATTGCACTTGTGTCGGCGTCAGTGGCTTCGGGATCGAACTGACTTGTGTCGAAATCTCCATTGGTTTCTGTAAAACTTTCTTCCTGTTCACCATTTTCAATATCGGCCATATTTACGAAATAAATATACACTTAGAGACACAAATAAAGGACCGTATGATTAAGAGAGGGATAAAATGTGATAAAACAAATGAAGGTAAACAATAAGAAAGGATTTCGTCTCTCGATGGTAAGGATTAAGAGACAGCCGTTATGCAGGAAACAAAGAGACTTTCATCTAACAATCTATCAACTTCCGGTCACCGTTCGGAAAACCTCGTCTTACTGTCGCTTCTTTGATTTTACGACTATCGTCTGGAGGCCATTGCAAAAGATCAAGCAGAAGCAAATAAATAGTCAATTTCGCGAACTTAACTATACTCTAAGCCTGATACACGACAAGCGATAGATCAGATTGTGGTCAAATCAAATAATACGCTCCACTTTGCCGACTTTTTATCGTTGGTGTGTTCCGATTGCTCAAACAACGGATAAGAGTAACCGCCCTTTGAAAATTTGCCAAATCGGCAACACCTAAAACGGCAAAACAAAAAACACCAAAATGGCAACCATAGTCAAAACAAAATTAATGAAAATATGTTTAAGTGAAGAAGACAAGTAGAAGTCCTTTTATTTGTTGTCAAATTTCTATAAAGATAGGATTAAATAAATAATCCGTACAAGATTCATTTCATTTTCAGAACTAGGCGTTCACTCAATGTTTGCTGACATTACTGTATGTTATAACGTAAACCCACCCAAACAAAATTAATCATTTGAATATTTTTTTATTTAGGGCTATTCACTCCACAAGATAGTAAAGAACAGCTGTTATGTTCCTGTATTAACGATAACATAATCATTATGTTCAGATCAATGGAAGTTTTATGTTGAAAAGGTTGAACTAAGGACGCAACTCTGCACAATTAGACGACTGGGCCACCCGTTCTCCCACCAGCTGACTCCTATGATTAATGATAGAATTGGTAAGGCGCCTGCCATGCAAAGAGCTCGAAACATCATACACTCTCATCAAACCAGATCTTAGGTCTCGTTCTCGCAAAACAAAGTAGCGAGAAGTAAGATCTGATTTTAATGAGATTGAACAAAATAATGATCAACTCCACCTAATCTCAACAATATACATTTCATGATGTATGGATAATCGCGAAAGTAATTCATGTTAAGAGAAATATAATACAATTTGTTCCTTGGGTATATATGGCGTGAGAATATTATCTAGTGATATTAGTAAATTAAGACTCTGACAAATTCTTGCGCAAGGAATTTTGTTTGCAGTGCATGGCAATCGGCAGATGAAATAAATAGGTCGCTGGTTATTAAACCAACGTAATCAAAGGGTAGATTGGTTTAAAAAGAAGAAGAAGACGACTCTGAAACAGTGTATACGGTAGCGGGAGTACAATGACCGTTTTGGCTCCTATTGTTAAGTGTTTGTTATTTTGATTTATTTCTAAACTGACCAGTATTCCATCTATTTGACGGCGGCCTGTTAATGAACGAGTCTCGTTCAGACAAACCAGTGGTTGATATTATGAGCACGCAACCAACCAAGTCACTGATTCTGACCTCCCGTTTTTAGAGGGAATCTGTCACCCAAAAATGAGACAGTCTCTTGGGCCGTCAAAAAACCCGTACAAGGACATGGGGAAGGTCATTCAAAACTAAAACAAGCGTTAGCGTAGGGTAATTATTTTCAGTACATTTGTGCATCAAAATCCTTTGACCCACCCACGTAATAAATGACCGGTTCCTAAGTCCTGACTGCTTGTTTGTTGTTTGTAACAATACAGTAGCTGCATGACAGGGAGAGGTGAGGTGAAACGGTCTTTAAAGTCGCGTTCAAGATTATTGCTCTTGTATAGCGAGGTGCATGCGCGCGCGTGCGTGCGTGTGCGTGCGTGTGTGTGAGAGACGACCAGTACTTGTTTTAGTATGCCATCGTATCCCAATTGCGTGGATCGATGCTCATAATATCAATTACTGGATTGTCTGGTCCAGATTTGATTATTTACAGACCGCTGTCATATTTCTGGAATATTGCCGAAAGCATCGTTAAACAACAAATAAAGAAACAAACAACCCTGTTTTAGCCCCTTAATGCTGAGCGCCAGACAGGTTAACAGCAAGTACCATTGTTTAACGTCTTCTAGTATGACGCGGCCGGTATCGAACCCCAATTCTTCCTCTCTGCCACGGGAACAGGAGGTGGTCTGACAGGGATAGGCTAGGGTGCTTGGTCATTTGCCCCTTCATCCTATCAAAGTGATGTGGATGGTTGCTCATGTCAATCACTGAATTTTCTGGTCCAGAATCGATAACTTACAGGTCGTTGTAATACAGCTGGAATATTGCTGAGGGCGGAATATAAACAACAAACAAACAATAAACACTGCTGGGATGGGTGTTTTTCAAAAGAGGGGTCGAGTGTGTGGTGTGTATCTACGTTTGAACATTACTGTGTTTGAAATCAAAACAACCTGACAGTGTTACACTACGTCAGCCAGGATATGGACACTTGGGTAAAGTGTTACACTATGTCAGCCAGGCAATTGACAATGGGGTCCAGTGTTACACTATGTCAGCCAGGATATAGACACTGGGGTAAAGTGTTACAGTATGTCAGCCAGGACATAGACACTGGGGTAAAGTGTTACAGTATGTCAGCCAGGATATAGAGACTGGGGTAAAGTGTTACACTATGTCAGCCAGGCAATTGACAATGGGGTCCAATGTTACACTATGTCAGCCAGGATATAGACACATGGGTACAGTGTTACACTATGTCAGCCAGGATATAGACACTGGGGTACAGTGTTACACTATGTCAGCCAGGATATAGACACACGAGTACAGTGTTACACTATGTCAGCCAGACATATCAGGCATAGACACTGGGGTACAGTGTTACACTATGTCAGCCAGGATATAGACACATGAGTACAGTGTTACACTATGTCAGCCAGACATATCAGGCATAGACACTGGGGTACAGTGTTACACTATGTCAGCCAGGATATAGACACATGAGTACAGTGTTACACTATGTCAGCCAGACATATCAGGCATAGACACTGGGGTACAGTGTTACACTATGTCAGCCAGACATATCAGGCATAGACACTGGGGTAAAGTGTTACACTATGTCAGCCAGGCAATGGACAATGGGGTCCAGTGTTACACTATGTCAGCCAGGATATAGACACATGGGTACAGTGTTACACTATGTCAGCCAGGATATAGACACTGGGGTACAGTGTTACACTATGTCAGCCAGACATATCAGGCATAGACACTGGGGTACAGTTTTACACTATGTCAGCCAGGATATAGACACTGGGGTACAGTGTTACACTATGTCAGCCAGGCAATGGACAATGGGGTCCAGTGTTACACTATGTCAGCCAGGATATAGACACATGGGTACAGTGTTACACTATGTCAGCCAGGATATAGACACTGGGGTACAGTGTTACACTATGTCAGCCAGGATATAGACACTGGGGTAAAGTGTTACAGTATGTCAGCCAGGATATAGACACTTGGGTACAGTGTTACAGTATGTCAGCCAGGATATAGACACTTGGGTACAGTGTTACAGTATGTCAGCCAGGATATAGACACTGGGGTAAAGTGTTACACTATGTCAGCCAGGATATAGACACATGGGTACAGTGTTACACTATGCCAGCCAGGATATAGACACTGGGGTAAAGTGTTACAGTATGTCAGCCAGGATATAGACACTGGGGTACAGTGTTACACTATGTCAGCCAGGATATAGACACTTGGGTACAGTGTTACAGTATGTCAGCCAGGATATAGACACTGGGGTAAAGTGTTACACTATGTCAGCCAGGATATAGACACTGGGGTAAAGTGTTACAGTATGCCAGCCAGGATATAGACACTGGGGTAAAGTGTTACACTATGTCAGCCAGGATATAGACACTGGGGTAAAGTGTTACAGTATGTCAGCCAGGATATAGACACTGGGGTAAAGTGTTACAGTATGTCAGCCAGGATATAGACACTGGGGTAAAGTGTTACAGTATGTCAGCCAGGATATAGACACTGGGGTACAGTGTTACACTATGTCAGCCAGGATATAGACACTTGGGTACAGTGTTACAGTATGTCATCCAGGATATAGACACTGGGGTAAAGTGTTACACTATGTCAGCCAGGATATAGACACTGGGGTAAAGTGTTACACTATGTCAGCCAGGATATAGACACTGGGGTAAAGTGTTACAGTATGTCAGCCAGGATATAGACACTGGGGTAAAGTGTTTCAGTATGTCAGCCAGGATATAGACACTGGGGTAAAGTGTTACAGTATGTCAGCCAGGATATAGACACTGGGGTAAAGTGTTACACTATGTCAGCCAGGCAATTGACAATGGGGTCCAGTGTTACACTATGTCAGCCAGGATATAGACACTGGGGTAAAGTGTTACACTATGTCAGCCAGGCAATTGACAATGGGGTCCAATGTTACACTATGTCAGCCAGGATATAGACACTGGGATACAGTGTTACACTGTCAGCCAGGATATAGACACATGGGTACAGTGTTACAGTATGTCAGCCAGGATATAGACACTGGGGTAAAGTGTTACACTATGTCAGCCAGGATATAGACACTGGGGTACAGTGTTACACTATGTCAGCCAGGATATAGACACTGGGGTGCAGTGTTACACTATGCCAGCCAGGATATAGACACTGGGGTACAGTGTTACACTATGTCAGCCAGGATATAGACACTGGGGTGCAGTGTTACACTATGTCAGCCAGGATATAGACACAGGGGTACAGTGTTACACTACGTCACACGATATAACTAGGTGCTGTCTCACCCTGTGGCCAATCAAGCGAATAGTACGAACCATACAAGGCTGGAAAATCAGAACAGGCTTTAGAGGTAATGCTGTTGTACTCCAACTTGTAGGTAAAACATGTACCAACAAGACATCACATGTAGATTGGAATGATAAAAAACAACAAATAACATTTTTACAATACAATTTATTTCATAATTCATAATGTGAGACATTTTGAAATGTTTGGTCTAAAGAAAATGTTATGTAACACTGGTGAAGCTAATGGAATATAGGATTCTGCTGTTAATTTACAGGATTGTTTTAGTTTGAAGTTCCTATTCTGACGTGTTGTGTGTTTGTTCATTCATGGAACCAAAGACTGTCATGTTCTGATTAGTTCAATTCACTGTATTGCACCTGGTATGGATTTTTACGAAGGTCAACTATCTGCAAATATATTTACACAAAATGACAACAGACCAGCACCTTCAGGTCAGTAATCAGTCAGAACATGTTATGCTTAGGCTACTCTTCCTGGTAGCTACACACCAAACAGAAAACTTCCCGAATAGATTTCAACATGGTTGCCATGGAAACCCAAAAAACTCTTAATCGGAAAAAATATTAAAGCGGTTCTAGATTCACATATGAAAATGTGACTGGTTTATGGAAGATGATGAATGACCGAAATACATATTGGTTTAATGGCGCTTGGAGCAGAAATATTACGGCATTGGTTGAAATTAGCTGACGATGGACACAACTGCAGAGTTACATCTGTGATCTAGATACAGAACTTTAGAAGCCAGTAAATCATCAGTGGAATGGAATGTCTCTTGTTCCAAGAAAATGAAATTGTCATTGGTGTGTTCTGAAAATCCTGGGGATCAATATCACAACTGTTTTGATATTTTTGTTCAGCTTATATTGTTTTGACAGTTGTTTGATTATTTCATTGCAATCAGATCTACTACTCTGATACATTAGTTCTCTGTGTGAAGATCAGATGAGGAGGCACAGAGACATTGTATCAGACGAAAAGATTTAATTGAAATGAGATCGGTTTAATTGTTAAGTGTAACAAGAGACACTGGTATTACGGGTATAAATAACTGAGACTGACCCAACGTAGGCATCATCTTACATCTTACAATTATTCCAACATTTTTCTCACTCACCATACATGGAGCACATATAAAGATATACCAACAAACACCTCATACACCACATCACCGGTTAATTGACTTTCAGTGATACCTCAGAAGTCTTCAGTGAATACAATACTATCAACAACAATATCAAGTTTCTTTTGCTTCTGTAAATATCAAGAAGCTCCAACTTCCATTAGGTTATCTCAAGATGTCAAAGTTCATTGCCGAAGGTGCAGCACCATGGTTACGAGGAGGCTCGCATGGTAGATCCTGGCGTCATGGGCACTGGCTTTCCCATGATACAGTTGGGCAGATGGAGTCCCAGGACCTGATGTTATCCCACTGTTCATCTCGGAATTTACACCACAGTCTCCAGCACAGGCTGTCATTCGTTGACCTTCTGGGTTTTGAGTTGAGATTCATCTTCAAGCACCTCCTGTCCTTCCTCCAGCTTTCTCTTGGGGGCCTGGCGGGGCTCGGGTGTGGCTGCCTGGTCACCCCCATCCTCCTTATCCAGCTTCTTGAAGATGAAGGCGCAGTATATTGCTGAAACCAACACATATTGATGTCTATACCACATGTTGTTTTGTCAAACTCTTGTTATATTGTAGTACAATTCCCAGTGAATTTGTCCAAATTAACAAATTAACAAATTTCAGGCTAAAAAATCATGATGTCCCTATGTATACATAATAGATCTTCCGATCAGTAAAGTTCTATTGTCTTAAAGCAAACTTTGATGATCCAATCAAAATATTTGATGCATATGTTTTTCAGCTAATCAGATGCCAGGATTCTGAAGCGATTGAGCTTATTTTCTTTACCGCCTGTCTGAGTCACACAGAACAACAGAAAAACAAAACAAAAAATGACAACATGTCCCTCCCTTTTTGGTGTAGATGCCATGATGCTCAGAAATGACAGGGAGGTGAATATCCATAACAGAGCAGCTCCTTTTCAAGACACAGAAACCAGATATTCTTCTCTGAATGCTTATTTTGATCATATCAAGAAATTAGAAATCTCCATGCTCATTGGATACTTTTTCGCCAAGACCTGACAAACGTTCCATCGGAAGTCACTTGGAGGTCACTTCAGATGAACTTTCTAATCAGCAGGGAGATTTCTAATCTGAAGTTTTTCGTGAATCACATTGTGTAACGAATGTGGCAGTTTGGTGTAAATAAGGTCACCACATTGCATCTGTTTCTTTTCAGCTCCACGGCAACCAATAAAAGTGGACATTCATACAAGTCATGTCCACGGCATCATTGGCAATCCATAATTGCATAAACATTCAACTTACTTGCTGCGTCCCACTCATCTTGAGACAGAGTACCCTGCAACAGAACACTTCATCTTTACTGTGTTGTCATGGTGAAGCATAGTGTGCCATAGTCACCATTGTCCATACTTCACGGGTTTCTATACACTATTCAGCTCCATCACCCATGAAAATATATGGCTGACATGCAGTGTATATACCGTATTTGACCTAATAAGCGCCCAGGGCGCTCTCAAAATTAGAAATAGGGGGCTCTTATTAGAATATTATTTTGGTGAAAAAAAAACAGAGTTAAAGGATAAATTTTGTGGTTTGTGCTGACAGCCTGAAATGTTTAGATACGACAGATATATTTTTCCAGAATTTAATTGCCCATAATTAAGAGTGAATATAACACACGAGTGCGTATTATACGCGAATAAATAAGTCTTGTGTACATTGATCAATGGGAAGGGGTGCTAATTGGGATTGTTCACTAGCCAATATATTAGCAAATATCGCTGTGGGCTCTTATTAGAGCGGAGCACTTATTACGTCGAATATGGTAACTGGTATGAATGCAGTAATCTGTTTCCTACTCACCCTAAATTCGCACCATTTTATCATCAAATTGATGCATATTTTGTCCATTCTCATGGCACATTTATACACAAATCAACGGTCATGAGTCATGAGTGACATCATCCGGCTTACTCATCCTTAGTGTGACCCTCCACAAAAACGTTTCAGTCCTATCTGTGGATTATCAAAGCGATGATGATAGGGCTGGGATGGGTAACCTCGGGTACCCGGGTACTGAGTAGGAACCGGGTACCCACAGGACTCCCCAGACCCCTGGTTAGTCACGTGATATATTGTTTAATGGCATAAATGATCTAGATCTCTATGGTTACACTACAAGTAAAAAATGTTCTCATTTCTTTCTGACTATGCACCCATTCCTTCTGACTTTTCATATGGTTGAATAATGCTATAACTTAAGTCAACTTCAGTGTATGCATGACCAGGTCGTTTAAAATATGTATCTGAATACGTTTTGCAAGTGCTGTGGTAAAATAATTCCCAATCAGACATTTTGTATCTCTTAAATTTAAAACCTACAGTGGGTACCTGGGTAGGGTCGGGTAATAGGAGGGTGGGTAACCAGGTAGTAAATTTGGACCCGTCCCAGCCCTAGATGATGATAATGAAAACTACATGAGATCAGAGAAGTTATTGAACGTTCCAACACCATAAAGTTTCGACTCAGATGAAGGTGCAATTCGACTGTAAAACAAGAAACTTATGAATGAATTACAATTAGTAGGGCTGAAACGATATCCCGGGACACCGATGCATCGCGATACACTCCATACGATACGGTGTGCGATTTGTGAGGTGCTGTATCTCGATTTTTCACGATACGTTTATTCAAAGACGTATAGATCTATACGTACGTCTTTTTTTGTAAATAAACTTTTATCACAGATACGTTTTAAATGTGTTTAAAGAAGCATCGAGTCCCCAGGCACCGTAGGCCGGTTAACCAGCCAAGCCTTAGTCACGTCAAAATAGTATGCAGGAAAAGTCTTTGTCATAGCTTGCAACCTAGCATGATACATCCACGAAGCTCCATATTTTACATATAGATCGCGATTTCCTGCTTAAAACGTTCAGAATAACACGATTTAACCAAAATATTTTGTAAAAATCTGAAATTCATCGTACACGAGGATTTGTAATTTGATTGCCTGCCTCAGGTCACGTGCTCAAATTTGACCAATCATGAACCTTATAGCAGATTTCGGCAAGAAAGCGTCATTAGAAACCATTTTTTATCCAATGAAATCTTATGTTAAGCTACGAAAAGACTCAAGGCAATGCTACGAGCGTGTAGATGAAAAAACAACCTTTCTAGCGATGTGTCATATGTCAGACACCGACAAACGTGTTATTCATACGAAGCATTCGTAAACGGAGGTATTTCTTCATGTTACTGAGCGGACAGCCGCTGTTATCTTGAAATGAGTGAAAAGAGATGCTATTCATAATTCTTTTTAAAATAATTTTCCAATTAGATCTACGTAATCAATCAAAATAAAAAATAAATAAGTAGATCTTTTGAAATCTTACATATGCCCCCAATCGTCAAATTTTTGCTTCCTTGGTCCTTAATCTGGACGTTTTTTATTTACAACGAACTTAATTCAGTTGTCAATGCATTATTTAAATAATGTGATAAACATAACTTATAAACACTAGGATTAGACCTTTCAAACGGTGTATAACAAGGCTGTTGCTATAATTATTTTTAATTGTTTTTTTGCCTTTATACATGAAAATGGCAAATCATTAGTTACTGGACACTGGGACATTTAGTATTTAGTATTTACTCCTAGAATCTACCATCTAGTCACAACTCACAAATATGTAGAACTGTTAGTTTTGTGTTTGCTAGTCATTACATGGAAATAGCAGATGATTCATTAAGTTAAAATACTCATTACAGTATATATTTTATGACTCATGAACATTCTTTAACTTTCATTTAATTCATTTATCTCTTGTCTTCTCTTGTCACTATGTGTATCGTATCGTATCGAGATACGTATCGAATCATGATGTAAGTATCGAGATACGTATCGTATCGTGACCTAGGTGTATCGTTGCAGCCCTAACAATTAGGAAAACAGTCCGTATGTGACTGATGCGTATGTTGTACATCTATATTACTGATATGACGGCTGTGACCAACACATTCAGAAATATAATACAAGAGCAGGTATATTAAAAGTAAATGTTCATTTCAGGAATATATCTAACACGAGCTGAGGTGAGGTGAAATGGGGTTTAACGTAGAGTCTAAGATTATTGCACTTATATAAAGTGCTTTTACTAGTCAGGACTGATGCCGATTTATAGTGAGTGCTAGCCCACTGAGATACCATGCCTCAGTTAAACATGAGTACCCCACTCAGACACAGTCTACTGACTCCGAGCTGACCAGTCCTTGTTTTAGCCGCTTAATGCCGAGTGCCAGACAGGGTATCAATCTTTTAAAGTCTTTTGGTATGATGCGGCCGGGGATCAAACCCCAGACCTTCCACTCTCTGGGCGGACGCTCTACCACTAGACCACGGAGGCGGTCTTATCTAACATGATAACTAAACACAAATGGCCAAATCACAAAATGCATCCCCTTTACCCAAAAGTGAGTGTTATTGATTAACCTTCGAGCATGGGAATAGTTCTGACAATCCAAAGATTCAGGCAAATGTGCAACTTAAACACAGGACACAGCCTGGACTACAGTAGCTGTTTTGATTCACAGATTCACACGTGTCTGGTCAACATACTGATAAAACCAAATAAAGCAGGACACATACCACTTTTGGTTTGCGACCTCGGTCTCCGGAGTCATCGCTTGCCTCCAGGAAACTCACAGCATGCTTGTAGTTGTCTGCAACTGAGCTAACAAGATCTGTGCCCTGGTCTGCTGGGTAGGCCTACCGTAAGGAGAAAGTTCAATGGTACAATAAACAACCTCTGATCCCCACAAATAGTTCAGGATAAGCTCGACATGGTGACCCAGGTGGGGATAGGTTCACACAGTTTGAATTGGGTTGTGGTCATCCTCGATTATCCAGTATATTTAGTGACCATTCTATTATGATAAATACACTACCCACTGAAAATAGTTCAGGAGAAGATCCACATAGAGATGTACAGCAATGATCAATGGTGGTAAATCTTTGTCAAATGATAGGGCAAATCACTACAAAAATATAGTTCATTTTGCATGGGTAAGAAAACATACGAACTAATGGATAACAAGTTCTGGTTTAGAATGTTTAGTGAATTTAGTGACGTTTTAATGTACATTATTACACCATTGTCAAACTGGAGCAATATTAATTTTCTTATTTACTAACCAACTTCTAGAATGCCAATCAAAGAGTTATTTTGCATGGGTGTTTCATGGTAGGAACAGCTTAAACAATGATGGGATGAGGTGCAATCATCCTCCATTATCCAGTGTATTTTGTGTCCATTCTATTATTATGAATTAATACCCTAGACCCATTCACTACCATTGCTTCATTTTGAGCCATTAAATAGCATAATGCTGAAAATCGCTGTCTCATCAAATTACTCAAATATTATAAAACAAGAGACTGACTGACTGACTGAGTATGGTTTTACGCCGCTTTTAGCAATATTCCAGCAATATCATGGCGGGGGACACCAGAAATGGTCTTCGCACATTGCACCCATGTCGGGAATCATGACGAGGGAACGCTTTAACCACTAGGCTACCCGACTGCCCCATAAAACAAGAGAACTTAGGAGCAATGGATGAAGTAATGTCACCGCCAAAACAAGTGGCAAGCAAGCGAGCGAGCGAGTGAGAGAGAGAGTTGGGTTTAATGCCGCTTTTAACAGTATTCCAGTTATATCACGGTGTGTCAGCTTAATGTGGGAGGAAAGCCCGAAATGATGCAGGTCTTAGATGTTTACCACTACGGTGAAACCCACGAGCACGGGTATGGAGCTGACAAACCTAGAAACATAATCGGGGGAACCGGGGTTCAAATAGTGGCAGGTGGGTAGAGGGAATGTATACCAATAGAATGGAGATATAATACCCTGGATGATCAAGGCTGACACGATATGCACAAGTATTCTGATTTGGGTTTATTTCTCACTACCCCCTCCAGTGCAATGTGTTTATGTTTGTGATGGAACAGAGACATGTCCTTACCTCAAGTGCCTGCATCTTCCCCAGGAGGGACCGGCCCTCCCCATCTTTATTTTCTTCAAAGTAATCGGCAAAAGGTTTTCTTGCAATGAGTTGCATACCATACTTCTCAGCCATTCTGAAACATGATGTACGAAGCAGATGAGAGAGCTGCAGAGAGTGATAACACAAAACATTAGAGAAGGGCTACTATGATCCAGGACCTGGGCCCACTTGCACAAAGCGATCTTAGCGCTAAGATGATCATAACTCCCATACTTTAACATGGGCTTACGATAGTCTTAGGGCTAAGATCGCTTTGTGCAAGTGGGCCCTGGTGTCGGTTCTTACAATCTAGGTCTACACCTTGTAAACAATGCCTTGGGCGACACTGATACACACTTTCTGTGTCAATTATATTTAATTAACTGCTCGCTTGTTCGACAGCCTACAATCATAATGAATGTAACGTTTTGCTTATACCTCATCCCAATACCTTTGAGTTTGGTGCTAAGGCACTGACCATTAGATATAATGGGAGGGGCTGGGATTTTAAAAAATATATAAAAAAAATGTGCTGGGTCATTGTTTTAATAAAAATCATATCCCACCCATCAAATGATCAATCCTGAACTTATTAAAAGGAATGAAAAACATGAGTCAACATGTTTGTTGTCAAAATAACATTGGGATAACTAAATATTTTAAAAATTTGATGAAAATAGTTGATAATAGCAGGGACATTAATTTTCAGTAGTCCGAATACAGAGTTGCCATCTCCCTAATGGTAAAACTGGTAGTCCACAAACAAACAAAACTCGTCCTTCCTGAATTTTACTCAGACTAGCGGAATAATGTTAATTTTGAACTCGGTGATGTGGCAGGTAGGGGAGTTAACACAAAGTAAACAAGCATGCATGGATAAAAGAGTGAAATCCTTGGTGTGTCTGGAATTCCTTCAGCTTAAAATGCATTGGTACAACGTCCTAATAAGCAGAGTTGAATTGTAGATATGTCATTCTCCACTCACTTCTCTAAGACTGGGAAGTACACCAGGAACTCCGGACAGTCCACGACCCCCTCCAGATGGAAGTCATACTTGGCCCCAAACAGTGGGAAGGACTCCTTGCTGTCCGACTCAAACGTCACTCGGTAGACCTCGTTACCAAATGACTTGTCAGGGGAGTCCTTCAATCTCCGACTGGAACACAGATATAGGTCTCTCTTAAATTAAGTGTTGTTTAGCTTTTCCCCAAGTGACAGAGAAGATATGAGGGAAGTTTGTTATGTGGGATTCTCATTCCAGGGACTGATCTAGGATCCCAAACTAAGTTTGGTTTGGTTTGTTTGTTGTTTTACGCCGCACTCAGCAATATTCCAGCTATATGGCAGCGGTCTGTAAATAATCGAGTCTGGACCAGACAATCCAGTGATTGATATCATGAGCATCGATCCACACAATTGGGATCGTGACCTGCATCAACCAAGTCAGCGAGCGTGACCACCCAATCCCGTTAGTCGCCTTTTACGACAAGCATAGTTGCCTCTTAGAGCAAGCATGGGTTGCTGAAGACCTGTTCTACCCCGGATCTTCACTGGTCAAGTACCCATGGTCCAATATAATTGTCCTAAATTCAGAGGTAGTCTAACACTGGATTTTAACACTGCATTCAATGCAATAATGTTAAAGCTATATTGGTCCTGTTATCAGTGAAATAATAACACCTCTACAAAGCCATAACCAGTTTGAATTGGGAAATGTTTTATTCCAATTTGGGAATTTTCCACTTCTACAAACTTGGGCCTGAAAGCAGGCCTCTAAACAGGTCTAGATAAATTCATGTAAAGACATGTGAATGTGGAATGGTTAATAAACATGACCGCTTAAACTGGGGGCTTATCATGTTATATGTCAGCACTTTTAGAAGAATTTAACACGGAGACCTAGTAAGGGCTTGCTACTTATAAATAACAGTCCTCTCTAAAATAAAACATTTACAATTCTCCCAGGTAAATTACAGTTTGTGTTAGTCTACACAACAGGTGTCCATTCCAGAAAGCGATCATAGCAATGAAGTGATTGAACTCTCATACTTTAACATAGACTTTCAACTGTCGTAGCGCTACGATCCCTTTGAGGAATGGGGCCCTGAATCTATAACCTCTCATACAATGCCGCACTCACATCAATTCAAATGAGTTGGGCGTGGTTCCAATGAAGTATCCTCCTGGACGGAGACACTCGCAGGCATTCTGGAGCATCATCTCCACCTGCGGCAGACTCTCGAAGCAATAGTGGAATGAGAACTGACAGCTCACCACATCAAACAAGATAGACGGGTCCTTGTAGCGGTCCCGTAGCCGTACCTAAACGTCAGTTGTCATGGAAACAAGAGTGAATATGTGGTTCCTACATTTCAGAGATTTATCTAGAATTCCAAACTAAGCAGACTTGGCAGGCAAATTGGGAACAAATATTTTGTACCAAATTGGGATTTTTAAAAGTAGTTACTTCAGAGGTATTTTTATATTTCATTGTAACATTGGACTCTTTTTCTCTTTTTTTTGCCTATTATCAGTGGAATTTAAGTCACCTCGACCAGCCATCACATTAGTTATAGCTGTATTACTTGGAACAGGAACTTTGGGAATTTTTACTGACAACAGCTGCAGACTGGGGACAGTAAAAAGGCCTCTTAGTAGTTCCAGTTAAATCCCTGCATTTGTTACAATAATACCTTGCTTATTTGTCTTTGGAAATTAATATTGATGACATTAGTATTTCTCCCGAAAGAGCAAAACAGTGATCGATAGTGTGAGCGTCAGTGACTCGGATATGACAAACCTGTGCCCACTTGCACAAAGCTATACAACATTAACAATCCACAACAGTTTGAAGCTAAAATCAGTTTGTGTCTATTCACCATCTGAATGTTATATGCAGGGCAGTCAATGTGGACATCAATGGGGCCATCATATCCCCTTCACATGGTTGGTTTGGTTTGTTTGTTGTTTAAAGCCACACTCAGCAATATTCCAGCTATATGACGGCGGTCTGTAAAATAATCACGTCTGGACCAGACAATCCAGTGATTGATAAGAACATCGATCCATGCAATTGGAATCGATGACACGCTTCAATCCAGTCAGCGAGCCTGACCACCCGATCCTGTTAGGCACCTCTTACGACAAGCATAGCTGCCTTTGACGGCAAGCATGGGTTGTTGAAGACCTATTCTACCCTGGATCTTCTCCTGTAACATCTTTTTTTACGCTTACAAAACATTAAAACACTCAGGGTTTTACTGGATCCCATGGGATGCAAAAATATATTTACAGCCATGTTAATTAAGGCCATGCAAACTTGCATGCATGTTTACTGTCCATTTAACAGTAAATTAAGTTTCGCTTTAAAGCAAGAAAAGTCCCCTTAAAGCGAAAGCCTTCACAAAATATAAGTATTTTTTATCTGCTGTTGGTATAGTTGTGACCTTGAAGCTCTATTTTCATGTCCCCTACCCCCACCACCCCAACTTCTATCTTCCACCCCTCATTATAATTGGGCATCCCCAGGGCTCAAAAGTAGTAAGAACCAGATGACTCCCAATACAAAAACCAACTATTTTACAACCTTTTTCCATTCATCTATCATGTTGTACGTTAAGTCTACCACTCCCTCTTTCCCAGTACATTAACTGTATCCGTGGTTGCCCTTTCAGACACACCCAAGACCAGGATGGAGTATTAGGGAGCTATTCTGCAGTACAAGCCCCAGGTGTAAGAATTTGGAGTAGACGTCACATGTACCTTGGTACAATCTGCAGCAATAAACTCAGCCTGGAATATCTTCTGTGGGTATCGGTCTCGATTGTTCCTGTCAATCATCTCCTGGTAGCGAGATTCACACTGTTCCACAGACGTCGCCGCAATATCTGGCAACAAATTTGAAGACTACTGTACAAAGCCAGGCTTCAAAATTGCGACTGATGAGGTCGCCAATTCGACCTAAATTTTAATTTGTTTACTGTCTAAAACTCAGGGGTAGCCAAATGACTACCTTGAAAATATCTTGTGGCGACTAAATTCTATTGCTTTACATTTGAAGACACAAAAACATAACAGCTGATTGTGGAAAACATGTCTGCCAATAATTGTACTTGCGTATAAGTCCATCTAAAGTCAACAAGGAACAGAAATACATAAATATTAATGCAATTACTATTTTATTTCAGTTGACAATGCTCATTGGATAAGCAAGGATATACCTAAATAATCTAGTAGCCTAAATTGCATCATTGTTTGAGTCACAAATAACAAATATCAAGTACAGTTTCCACTAATATACAATTTCAAGACAAGTTGGTTGGTTTGTTCTTTAATGCTGCACTCAGCAATATTCCATCTATAGTCAAGTCCCGTTAATCCGACATCGATGGTTGCATATAATTATGTCGGATTAACGAGTATTCGTTGCAAATTAGCTCTGTCGGAGTCGGAGTGCGAGACTGTCAGATTAACAGGTCTAAATAGCACTGATTTAATCAGTTCCCATCATTAGTGTCGAATTAACGAGTGTCGGATTAACTAGACTGTATATGACGGCTTCAAGACTAGTGCTATGACTTGTACTAATTATGATAGTTATTTGATAAAAGATGATTTCAAATGCTTTTGGGTACCTACAATATTGGCTTGACTTCTTGATTTTACCACTGGCTACCTGGAAAAAAATGCTTGTAGCCATAAAGCTACTGAGTAAAAATTTAAACTTTGAAGCCTGAAAGCAGTCGTAATTAATCCAAGTCATCCCTTGCTCATATTACAGACTGAATACGGCTACCTTCGACACCTTGCTTAACTAGTAGTTTGTACCTTAACTTTTTCACTTGGCCACATTTGAATACAAGATATATTAGTCATACATCATACATGTGTTACAAAATGAACAGAACCCCATTTAAAGATGCCTACCCTAAAGCAGTCTTTGGCGTAGTCCGAGGGGTACAAAAAAGAGCAATTTCATGTAAAAGAGGGTTATGTCAACAGGACAAGTTGTTCCCTGTCTTCGCCACGAAGATCAATCGATAAAATGACCTGAGTGTGTCTTAACATATCAACCACTCAGACACCTTGTATCACTGAGTTATTTATATGCTTATATGTAATGTTGGGAGATCTAATGTCTGAGTTATATTTTAGTGTTATGATATTGCAATTCATATTTTATTATTAGCGGTATGCAAGGAAAAGTTATGTCCCTTTAATGGAAGTAAAAATGAGAGCACATGTGATGAAAAATAAACGGTGCAATGAGGTTCCATGTGTCAGGACTCTGCGACTGCGATACCCATTCAACTTGTCAAGTGGAACTGTATGATATGTGGTACTCATGAATCCTTACAATTTTTTTATGCAATCTCATTAAAATTAGATCTTAGTTCTCGCTCCCAGATCATGAAAGTGACAGTCGGAATGTGATTTCTGATCATGCAACCTCGAAAACTTAAAGAGGGGGTCTTCCGAAACGATAGTTACGTGCTTAATGACTTAATCTTTACAATCTAGTCCATCTATTAGCCATTCCAGAATGTTCGGTTTATCAGCCGTCATATAGCTGGAATATTGCTGAGTGCGGCGTTAAACAACAAACCAAACCAAAACCAATCTTTTGATCAGGTTTCAAATTTTAAATCGAGAATTTGTCAAAATATGTTTTGAAGTGTAGTTGCCAATTTGAAATTAGTGCCGTAAAGCACGAGAAAACTGCTCTCTGATTGGCTAATGTCGACTTCTTGTCACTAGTTGTCAGTCATTCCTTTAGGCCGGTCAAAGTTCGCGCAAGGTCGGTCTGACGTGACCCATAAAGGGGTGTCCTCAGGTCTTTGTTTAGCGGTAGCGAGAACTAAGATCTGTTTTTAATGAGATTGTGTTTTTATGCGGCCAACAAAAATGGGTATCAGTAACAAAACCATAAAACTGTATGAAGTGTGTTTCGTCCATGGTTACATCATGAAGAGTATGGAACATCATGTAGACGAGTGAAATAAACTTTATTCATCAAATCAAGAACCGTTACACACTATCTGAATTGAAAGCATGGTACTCATTTGTCAGCAGTCTGACTGTAAACATGATAGAATGCTTCACGTCACCGTTGCATTAACAATTTGTTTTCCGTGATATTTTACGCATGTAAATAAATTGTGAAAAATATGACCAAAATTGTAATTTGGGGAAGGACAAGCATAACAGCATAAGGCTCAAAATCATCATTATTATACCAAAAGACAAAGAGGTTGGTATTACTGCTGCAGCATTGGGTACCTTTTAAATTGTACTGAAATAGTACACTGTTCAAGACAAAGTAAACTGAAGAGTATGTTAATGTAAACCATTACCTGCACATGCCAGTCGGTCAATTCTTCCCTTTTTCCATTTGAGTAGATCACCTCCCTTGCCTGAGCAAAGGTCAAGGACATTTATAGTCTTATTTGGAGGGCTTTCATTCTTCAGTCTCTTCAAAGTGTCACCTTTTGATGAAAAGCAGTTCTTTTATAGAGTGTCTAGATAGGATAGGACAGGATAGGATAGGATAGGATAGGATAGTGAGTGAGTGAGTATGGTTTTATGCCGCTTTTAGCAATATTCCAGCATCATCACGGTGGGGGACACCAGAAATGAGCTTCACACATTGTACCCATGTCGGGAATCTAACCCGGGTCTTCGGCGTGACAAGCGAATGCTTTAACCACTAGGCTACCCAACCGCCCCAGGATAGGATAGGATAGGATAGGATAGGATAGGATAGGATAGGATAGGATAGGATAGGATAGGATAGGATAGGATAGGATAGGATAGGATAGGATAGGATAGGATAGGATAGGATAGGATAGGATAGGATAGGATAGGATAGGATAGGAAGAGGAGGGGAGGGGAGAGGAGAGGATATTTTGAGGTTATTTCATGGCAGTTTTCATATCATGCCCCATATCAGCCCCAGTAAAACAGTTTCAATGATGATTAGCATGATGAGGACAGAACATGTTAAATTTTCAGATAAGACTGAAAAATTAAAAGTTTCAAAATAGAAACACAACACCTCTGCATGAAAGTACTTAGGGGGAAAAGACGGCTGTATGACAGCAAAAAGATGCCCAGAGGTCATTACCACTTAATATATATTAAGCCAATCCATCACCCCAGCAGCTATATAATTCACAAAACATCTAATGGAAAGACATAACAGATGATGAGCCACAACATCATCTACCTTGAACTTCCAGTTGAGGTGAGCTAACAATCTGTGACACGTAAAATTCTATCAATAAAAACTACAAACTTACCAATTAGTATGCTTTTTGTCCAGTTGTTGAAATTTCTCAAGTAAAAGATTCGACTCTGTGTTCTCGATTGCAGACCAGCCTCCTGTAGCTCATTGTAGTGCTTGGCCACTGTGTGGGTCAAGTCCTTCTCATCCTTGTCCTACAGGGAAGAACAACGGTCAGTTCACTTAAGTCTACACTGAAAACATGTTCATCTCCTAAATTCTTAAGAATTAATGAGAACATGGGTGTCCCAGTTGTCTAAGACATTGCAGTTGGCTGTGCAGAGTTGCGTCCCTTGGGCATCCCAAAAACCTATGATCATGGGTTTGAATCGTAGTTCATATTTCACTCTTCATGAAAACATGTATACATTATAGGTACTTCTTAAAATGTTTAAAAAACACTTGCACCAAATGAATCCAACATTTCTTGATAAACACTGAGTGATCGTAATGATTATATATTGTAAGGAACAGAGCTACAGATAGGCTGCGTATCTGCGTAAATTACGCATCAGAAATGCAGAAATATGCAGTAAAATAAAATCAAAGCGTATCAAATACGCAACGAACATTACAGATACGCTACAAAAATAACACTTGTGCATATCATCAAAATATGGTGAAGTAACCCTGCGTATTCGATTAGCAAATCAGCAACTTATTTTGAAATTATAAACGGGCATTCCGTCAACCTTGCCAAACTCAACGATTACAGTTACATCATGATCATTTGCCATCACACTTTCTTGTGGAAGTATCGTGGTATTATTGAGTCCTATAAAGCTCTCTAACCCACACGACACCAGTATGCAGAGACTAGATGAATAGTGTTGTTAAATATTTAACTTAAATACCCACATGTGTAAAAACTAGTGGGTAACAGAAATTTGAATACCCAGATAGAATTACTGATACCCAATGATTTTAAAATGCATGCGTAAAATACCCACAACACCAAAAGCTTATCTGGAGCTCTGAAGGAATGATAACTGAGAAATGAGACATATAATTCATTTTCATTCAATCACCTTTTGAGATGAACCTTCACCAACTTGAGCAGTTTCTTGGGATATATCTGAAAATGAAATAAATAAACATTCACTAAATATTTATCACATCCGATTTGTTTATTGTCCTGAATACTCACCATTGAAAACATGAACATCAATAACATGATATCTACCAGGTAACTGCTTGACCTTTAATACAACTATGCACATTCTAACAAATATGAATACAATTAAAGATCTCTAATTTTCTTTCTTAGATATCTTTGACTATTTCCATGGTCTGATGCAAGAGAGCCTTCCCGGAAAGAGGAAGGTCATGGGTTCGATCCCTGGCCGGGTCATACCAAAAGATGTTAGAAGACGGTACTTGTTGTTGACGATCGGCATTGACTGGCTAAAACAAAGACGGGTTGGCTCGGAGTCAGTATACTGTGTCTGAGTGGGGTATTCATGTTTAACTGCAGCATGGTATCTTATTTGGCTAGCACTTTAAAAATCGGCATTAGTCCAGACTAGTACAAGTACACGCACGCATGCACATCGGTATATACAGTGATATAAGTGCAATTATCTTGAACACAATGTTAAACCACATTTCACCTCACCTCTTAGAAATCTTAAATTTTAACTCATTTTCTTCTCATATCTACACCATCATAATTTACCACCAGTATATCAGATTATTCACAGCAGTAGAGTTCATGTATGTGATGCCTGCATTAGTAAATATAGATGTTCTGTGTACATGGTGTAGATGAGGTAACATGATATTATCATGCATATTCATAACCGAAAGTGGTCTATTTTATAATGCTGAAAAGGTATGTTTTCTTGTCCATAGTTCTATCATAGAATATATAAATTTTTAAAAATGATTAAAAATAATATGTCATTGATCATCATAAATAGGACAGTTTATGATAAAATGTTCCCAATCTTCAATAGAGAGGGGGAAAAAACTGAATACGCTATGTACAAGCACAATTTTGGGACAACAGCCCCATTCGCAAAGGTAATAAACCTGAGCGGACCAAGAAATTTTCTGTGTGAGTGTGAAATAGATCCTTCTTATACATCTTATATGACCGGAGTTGGTTTCCATATTCTGTCTTGGTGTTGTCTCAGAGCTTGCAAAACCAGTTTACTTCATCATGTCTTCTAATCAGTTTCTGCACTTCCTTCCCAGTTGTCTTATGGTATTTAGAAGGTGTTGTGATAATCAAAGCTTCTTTGTAAGTTTGTCCACTCCAGTGATTGACATCGTGAGCATCGATCCGCGCAATTGCAATATAATGACATGCATCAACAATGTCAGCGAGCCTGACCACCCAATCCTGTTACTCGCCTGTTAATGACAAGCAAAGTCGCCTTTTACGGCAAAAATGGGTTGTTGAAGACTTATTCTACCCCGGATCTTAGTAGATCTAGTAGTAGCAGTATTAGTAGTAACCACTTTCACTGTAAAAAAAACCTAAGAGAAAAAACCCACATACTGGATAACTGATGATTAGTGATGACAATTTTTTTCTGCACCTGTTTTGATAATACGTATTGCACATCGGTTTTGCGTATCGCGGTAGGTATCGCATCGGAAAAGGCGTTCTAATACCTAGGCCTAGAGCATACTGGTAGAAAAAAGCAGCGTTAGAAATTGGCACTAGTCCTGTAGTCCTTACCAAATGCCCAATAGTAAAGGTATCCTAAGGACTAGTAGAAATAGGCCCATTTTAAGGGTATTGTTATATGTTATCATTATAAGGACTAGTGGACAAAAACTGATAGTTTCTAACCCTGAAAAAGGTTGTGAAATAACGTACGTTGGCGGGGGGCTTACACCGTTCGTTAGTTAAACTAAATTAGCGTTCAGTACAGATGAGGTTCTGATAGTGATACCGATAGGCCGGTTTTGCTTGTGGAATCCTTTCCAGTCATTGTCTAAAACAGTTTTGTGGTCATAGATCAAATTTAGAAACATCGCAAAACTATGCATGTAAAATATGTTTCTCACATTTTTACTGACATGTGGACCATTCGCCTATTAATGCCTATAACAATTTTATGGCAGGACCTCTAAACATTAATACTGTAACAATTTTCACATCTATGTTTTCCTTACCGCTCGACATGCTTATGGAAACTAAATGAATTACGGTTGTCGTATATCACACCTTTTAAAAAACCGACTGATACTGAAGGATTTAATCGGTATTTTCCTTTATTTAACATTAGTAGACAAACCAATGACGTGATTATACAGTTATATAACAAATGATAGTCTAATAAACGAATGACAATATGTTGTTAATTATCCGTAGAACCGAGTTATGGTATTACTGGTTTATTTAGCTGACGCCTAAGAAACTTTGCGCTGTTATAAACACTACAGACAGGACCCAGTGGCCTTTAGATTGCATGACATGAGGCATGTGGAGCTAGAGGTCGAAGTTAGCCTGGAAAACAATCCTGATTAGAATCTGTCTAGTGTCGATAAGGTAGCACATGCCAGCGCAGTAACGATGGCATCATTTCGATGCATAGCTCTCACGCCAAACTTGAGGTTTATTGTCAAAAGTTACTCATCAGGTTTTACGAACAATCTTCCAAAGCTTTTGGACGTTGGAGGTAAGTCTTCATACTGGCTCAGTGGTAGATAAATGATCGATTTATGCCATGTAACTACAAGTATATTTGACGAGGTAATTTCACCGTTAGTTTATGATGTTGTCAGCTGGTTATATCTATCTGTTTGTGTTTTATAATGTCAGTGATGATCAAGTGTTCAGGAAACGCATGTTTTCAGATGATAACATCACCATCATTATTTCATCATGATGATTTTGTCTGAACTTTCAAATTTCAAATGTAATACTACTTGCATTAATTACAGGTTCACATTTGAGCTTAGGGGTTGGCACTAGTGCTAATTTGGTGACACATGAATTTCCTGATTTACAATGACTGTTTTAAGAAGGCATGATTGATAAGCTCATGCAGTGACTGTTGCATAATAATTGCCTGTTGCTAAAATAGAGCAGATATATACCATTATCTTTAGATTTACTTTACGATGAACATGGAACTTACCGACAATCATTTAATATGTTGATCCGATACTGGACCTGTCTAATGTTGACACAGCACCAACTCATTTCTTTCAAACCTAACTTTCTTCCAGCACCAAAAGGTTTACAAAAATGTCACAATACAGAATATGTAAACACTTTTTGCAAGATGTATTGGCGAAACAATGCCTTGTGATGTCAGGATAGCAACGGTGATCCTTGGAGTCATAGAGTGTGTCCCCTCAGTGATCCATCAGCTCGACACGCAACATTAATCATTAATTATTTGTTTGTTGTAATTGCAGTGTTGTTAGCAAATATTCCAGCTATATAATGGCGGTCTGTAAATATTCGAGTCTGGATCAGACAATCCAGTGATTGATATCATGATCCACACACCTGGAATACGATAACATGCATCAACCAAGTCAGCAAGCCTGACCACCCAAGCCTGTTGCTCGCCTCTTACAACAAGCAAAGTCGCCTTTTTCAGCAAGCATGGGTTGTTGAAGACCTATTCCAACTCAGATCTTCATGGTAGTCATTGAATAAACCCAGCGATATTGAGAGTTTACAGCATACTGTTGGCCATCTTTTGCATCAATCAATTAGGTTTGTAATGACAACAAGGGATAAGACTAAAGAGCTGTGCAGAGGGCCTAAGGGGGTTAAAACGTGTCAGGATGAAATGGTATGATGTCAAATATTTTGTCAACAGGAAACTGTCATGCAACTTCCTACCAAGCCACTTTTACTTGGTAATTTTGTTCAGAAATTATTCAAAAGCTGACTCACCCTTCTGATATCAGTAGCCATGCCTATCTTCATGACCCGTGAAGATCTGGGGTAGAATAGTTCAGCAACCCATGCTTGCCGTAAAAGGCGACTATGCTTGTTGTAAGAGGCGACTAACGGGATCGAGTGGTCAGACTCGCTGACTTGGTTTGATGCTCATGATATCAATCACTGGATTGTCTGATCCAGACTCGATTATTTACAGACTGCCGTCATATAGCAGGAATATTGCTTAGTGCGGCGTTAAACTACAAACAAACCAAACCCAAATTATGGTTCACGTTATCCTTACAGTGTTTCCTTCCAAAGAATTATTAAATACATGTACCATGTCAGTCATGCGTACTTGTGAATTCAATGTCTGACGCCTGTAGCTGTTGTCAGCTTGCGCCATATCAGGTCATTCCTCACCACTTGTAGACTAACATTTAGTCTCTGAAATCTTATATTACACAATATCCTTCTTGACTCTAAAAATATAAAAAAAATTCCCTATGCTGATTTCAGAGTGGAACAGAGCTAGCTTGAGCTGGCTAGACTTGCTTTTGTATGCATTTCTAGATTATTTTTTTTCATAAAATAAATATATTCCACGGTCATGGTGCAGGACTACACCACTTGGTAACATGTAAATTATGGAATGGTTCAAGTGTGCCAAATGGCTTCAGGGCTACTCGTAAGTGTCCATTGACTAAAGCTACAAGGCAGCATGGATATTCGTAACCTTGCAAGTGTTTTGTCACCATTTCTCCCATTTCTGTTCATTTCCGCCATAGCCATTTAGGCATGTTTAGATCAATTTGCACTCAGATTAACAGTGTAGACGTAGCTTGTTGGTCAAGAAGTCTGAAAGTTGCAAGTTCGAGTCTTATGTATTCTCATTAAAACTGGTTGCTTGTCTAATTGACAATTGACCTATGACAGAGATTGCACTCACAACATGTTGCGATGCTGAAATCTAAAGATGCTTATTCTTTCTTTTTCAGTTTGTGCAGCATTTCCAAGCACTGTGAACAGTCAGTTCATTTCGTCAAGAAACTTGTCAACATCGCCATTGTTGCAATCAAGTCTTCTTCATGACAGTCAAGGCTTGTTTTCCCCTTTCTCTAAACAGTCAGTCCTAGATACTCTGCCTGTTGGTGTGAGTCACTTTAGCACCAGTCACAAGTTGGTTGCGAATGAGAAAGGAACAGATGAGACTAAAACCCAGAAAGTAGGTGAGGAAAAAGATGACAGTACACTGACAGTGTTCCAGCGATTCAAGAAAACCTATAGAGAGCATGGGAAGATCCTAATAGGTGTGCACTGTGTGACTTCTGTGGTCTGGTTCGGTTCCTTCTACATGGCTGCAGTCAGGTGTGTACTGTCGACTCTCACTTATGTTTTGCTTACTCTTCAGATTTTTACAGGAATATACCTGTTGGTAGGCTAAAGAAAAACCCAAACAAAAATTCTGATTTTTATTTTAATTCACAGTCACTACAAGTATGGAATAAAAAAAACAACATTCTCTTGTTACTACATGAAAATCATGTTTGTTTGTTTATTAAACATTAATTATTTATCATTAATTATTGATAATAGTGGGTAATTTTCAGAAAGTATCTTTTTGATGCAATATGCAATCTGCTTGATAAATATAGGGACAAATGCAGAATTTATTTTTCCATTTCAATAAAATCCAACAGTCGGCAGATCCGTAAAGCATGTAAGAAAGAAATGTGACTTAGTATGAGGGTCAGAGCCTTCTGAGTCATCAACAATTTTGGAATGGGTGGTGCCCTGCACACAAATAACAGAGGGGGCATGGGTGGCCCAGTCGTCTAAGGCGCCGTGATTCGCTGTGCAGAGTTGCGTCCCTAGGGCACGCCAGTAATCTATGAATGTGGGTTTCGAATCCTGGTTCGCCCTGATTTTGTTTCTAGGTTTGTCAGCACCATACAAAAGTGGTAAACGTCTGAGACATGCATCACTTGGGATTTCCTCCCACATTAAGCTGGGATATAACTGGAATACTGTTAAAAGCGGCGTTAAACCCAACTCACTCACAAATAACAGAAATAAAGGGTGTGTTATTACCATAATGCCAAGGAGTCTAATTTATGAGACTTAGATACAATTTCTACTCTACCCTTTAGGTCAACTTAAAGTATCAAGTGACCCTGGCCTATTGCTCATCCATGTTGATGATGGTGATTGACAGATGATGATAAAATGTTTGCTCAATGTTTGTATCCCTTTAGTCAATTACAATTTATGTCAACATAACCCCAAAATCACTGAGAGAATCAAGAACTAAGCAAATCTTAAATGTCACCAGATGAGAGAGGCCTGCTGTAAGGTAGCAATTGTTCTGAGAGTTTGTGGGATTGGCAAGTTTTATCAATATCTAGGTTTGAAGTATGACATCCCACATGTGGGGTTAAACAAACAATCAAAACAATGGAAGCTGTACAGTGATGATATGTTTGCAGTATGCTGCTGACAAGTATGGCATAAGCCCCTAAGGCCACACATTTTTTGTTTTGTTTCTCCTTGCTTTTAGCTTGCTTGCTTGTTTGTTGTTTAACACTGCACTCAGCAATATTCCAGCTATATGACTTCGGTCTGTAAAATAATTGAGTCTGGACCAGATAACCCAGTGATTGACATCATGAACTGCAACTGGGTTACGATGACATGCATCAACCAAGTCAGCGAGACTGACCACCCAACCCCGTTGGTCGCCTCTTCCAACAAGCATAGTCACCTTTTACAGCAATCATGGGTTGCTGAAGCCCTATTCTAACCCGGATCTCCTCGGGTCACTGAATGTCACCAGGCCAGAAAAAAATTCAACATAAAAATATTTATTTTTGTTATGTCTCCCACTAGTAACACTATCAGTGATCCAAGATGCCAGCTGCAGTTTTAACTCCAGTGCAGAATGACTTTCATATCAATAAATAAATAATTGACTTAGGTATTTATTTTTATATCGACCGACCTTGTGTGGAAAAGCTGGAATAAATTCGGAAAATTTAAAATAAAAAAATGTGGCCTTAGTTAGTCACTCGTTCTCAATGTGGGTTTCTGTTGTGATGTGTTATTCCTTTCATTGCAGTGGAGTAGACATTGTGCCACTGATGGAACAACTGGGACTGAGCGAGACTCTGATTAAACCCTTCCGCGCCGGGGGCCTAGGGTTCGTGGCCTTGGCCTACCTGATGTATAAGCTGGCCACACCCGCCCGCTACACATTGACTCTTGGGGGGACCAACATGGCCATACGCTATATGCGTCGGTCAGGAAAAATGGAACCCATCGCAGAAGGCGAAAAGATCAGGAACCTGTACAAAGCTGGCAAAGTGGAATTCAAAGATCGTCAGTTGACTTTCAGAGAAAGACGGAGTGTTATAATTAGGAACCGGAAATTATCTCGAGATAAAGAATCGTGATATTCATGGAAAAATGTATCATCTTGGTGAAAACAAACATTGTTTATTCTCTGAAACACATTATCAGCACAATGCCAAAATATATCTGTATTACAATTCTGCTTTTTCAGCTTTTTGTCTCAATCATGGAGGCCTGTTTTTTATTTGGAAGACTACCTATCTTGTATGCAAGGAGTTGCTACTTATGCTGCCAATTAGTAATGGAATGAAAATGGTGATATAATTGAATCTGTCTAAAACAGGCTTGTGTGGGACTGGGGAACAAGGTGTGTCAATTACCGTATTTGACGTAATAAGTGCCCAGGGAGCTCTCAAAATTAGAAATAGGGGGCTCTTATTAGAATGTTATTTTGGGGGAAAAAAACAGGGTTGAAAGATAAATTTCGTGGTTTATGCTGACAGTCTGAAATGTTTATATACGAGAGATATATTTTTCCAGAATTTAATTGCCCATAATTAAGGGTGCATATAACACACAAGTGCGTATTATACGCGAATACATAAGTATTGTGTACATTGATCATCGGAAGGGTGCTAATTGGGATTGTTAACAAATATATTAGCAAATATCGCAGTGGGCGCTTATTAGAGCGGGGCACATATTACGTCGAATACGGTACATGGTAAATTGGTCCTTTTATCAACAATTTCAGTCCAGAATCTGAAGTGATGGAAGTTCAGATAAGTCAGATTTATCTTGATGATAAATTAACATAGTAAATTCAGGATTATTAATTGGTCCAGTATAGACAGAAATCCGGATTAATCAGAGTCTGACTTTGACAGATTCTACTGTATACAGAATTGTTAATATAGTTTGTAGGTATTTCCTGACTCTAGACATTTTCTGTGCAGATATGCATCTGGTAGCCATGCAAACATCTATTGGTTGTGTGTTCAAATTTATCAGAGTGATTAAATCATTAATAACTACCCTTCCCAAGCTCATGGGTTTCATGAAAGTTGTGAATCTGAGTGTTCTTCTAGACTTTCCTTCCACATTAATCTGACATGTTGTCGTATAAATTGATATACTTTTAAAAGTCGCATAAATTTGCTAATTCTTGTTGTGATATATTCAGATAAATAATCTTAGTAGTTAACAAGGTATCCCGATTTCCCTTTTATTGATCACCAATATCTTTACAGAATTAACACAAATATATTTTGGATTTGCTTTTCATATGAAATCGATCTCTAAAAGCTTCTGTAGCAAGTGGGAATAATTTATACAAGGATTGGTACTTTCTGTAAATTAATAACATTGATAAATAATACCCATGGCCACAGGTAATAATCCCTGAACAAACTGTTTTATGTCAATTGTAGCCATGATATATATTTAATACCTACCAGATTTACCTGTTTGTTAACATGATGACATTGAATATAAAACTAATGATATTTGTTAAAAAGAATCTCACCTTCGTGTCAACAAATGACAGTAAAGTAAGAAAATCAGTGATTTGTCATTTTGATTGTTACCCATGGGGCTAGAAGTAACAGACTTCATAAAAGTTGTGTGTGCACCAGTGCACCACTGTATTGTTTTCGTCATGCGGACGGCATTGTTGACGCATTCGATTGTAATTTTGAATTAAAGTCGGAATGATGCCACGCTAGAAGAGACATAATGACTGAAGATTGTTGCCGTCATTTGACAATTGTGGTTTCCTAAGACGGCAGTTGTGATCAGTGCATTTTAAGGGGAAAGGAATGAGAAATAATGGGAAATAATGGGAAATAAGGAAATTATTATACTCGCATGTGTGTCATACTAAACTCGTGTAAGAATTGATGTATTACCCTACCTTGCTCTCACTCGGGAAATACAAGAATTCTGGCTCTCATTTTGTAAAATCACACATGTGGGTGTAATAATGTCTACTTCCGTGCTATATGTTTGATGTCAAGTGTCAGGAGGGTGTCATGATCCATGTATAGTAATGTATATCTTGCTTGCATCTTATTGCTCATTAGTACAGTGTATTCATATATCAGCTTGTGAACATTTCGTGCTGGGAGGAATCGGAACCACCAGGCAATGTATACTACTCAAAAGAAGTTAAAGACCACCTGATTCTTTTATATCACTAAAGGTTAACTGAAGTAAAATGAAAATAGGTGTTCTCTAACTTCTTGTGAGTAGTATAGTTGTTCAGCTGCAGTTCAGCTCCATGTGTGTGAAGTGTATTTGAGTGAATGTTGCTGAGGTTGTTGTTGAGGTTGTTGTTGAAGTAGCAACTATTCTGTGGATGACAACCCGAGAGGGCTATGGCTCCTGCAATGTAATTTCGCTTTCATGATTATTTTGATAAATTCTCTAAGAAAAGTATTGTTTGCTGCAATGAATTGTACTGAATGTGTTCTTTCTACATCAGTGATTGTTACCATGGTTACAGGTGTGTGAATTTTATGGAAAACTGAGTAAAAAGTTTAAAAGACCTTGCTGTTTTATGTATTTCAAGTGTATTTTTTACGTGAACTTACCTAAAAATTACTTTGGTTGTATGCCATGGACTCAAATGTACACCATACCATGTGTAGTCACACCATACCAGGGGGCACGGGTGGCCCAGTCGTCTAATGCGCAGCTATTCGCTGTGCAGAGTTGCGTCCCTTGGCTACGCTAGAAACCTATGATTGTGGGTTCGAATCCTGGTTCGCCCCGATTATGTTTCTAGGTTTGTCAGCACCGTGCTCATGGGTTTCACCTAACTGGTAAACGTCTGAGACCTGCATCACTTCAGGCTTTCCTCCCACATTAAGCTGACACGCCGGGATATAACTGGAATACTGTTAAAAGTGGCCTTAAACCCAACTCACTCACTTACTCACACCATACCCCTGTGTAGTCACACCATACCACGTGTAGTCACACCATACCCCTGTGTAGTAACACCATACCATGTGTAGTCACACCATACCCCTGTGTAGTCACACCATACCATGTGTAGTCACATCATACCATGTGCAGTCACACCATACTAGTGTGTAGTCACACCATACTAATTTGTAGTCACACCATACCCCTGTGTAGTAACACCATACCATGTGTAGTCACACCATACCCCTATGTAGTCACACCATACCATGTGTAGTCACATCATACCATGTGCAGTCACACCATACTAGTGTGTAGTCACACCATACCCCTGTGTAGTCACACCATACTAGTGTGTAGTCACACCATACCCGTGTGTAGTCAGCAGACTCAGCACCATACCTGTGGTGGCAGGTTTCACCAAGTGCTGAACGTCTAAGCCTGCATCACTTCAGGCATTCTCCTTCAAGCTGACACTCACTCACACAGGTGGTGCAGTAGCCCAGTGGTTAAAGTGTTAGCTCGTCATGCCAAAGGCCAGGTCAATGTGTGAATCCCATTTCTGGTGTCACTTGATGTTACTGGAATATGCTAAAAGCAGCATAAAATCATATTCACTCACTCGCACGCGCACAACACACACGCCCACGAACCCTAACCCTAATGGCTGCTGTGCAGGTCACTTCCAACTTCAACCTGGGTTCTGATGTTAGGTGTGAAAAGAAAGTAACACTTTGGGTTGAAACAGCTAGTCTACCCTTCTACTTTGATAGTAGCCAACTCCCCACTGTAGGGTCTGGCTAGCTCTCAGTTACCAGTATGTCATTGTAGAATCCCAATGAAGAGTTTTGGGGCCTCGGAGGCAAGTGATGGACAATCCTCTATGAAGGAACAAGCAAAGTCTATCTCTACACTCCTGCCGAACGGGACATATGGCCCCAACAATCCTGCTGCTGTCGTCAGGAGTGCAGACAGGTCTACAAAAGTCTGACCCACAAGAAGAGAATATTCTTTTAATACAACATCAGCAGGAACAAGTTGCAGAATCATTAACCAAATACAAAGTGTGATTAGAATTGGGAGAAACATTAATAAATGCTATGGTTCTTGGAAAGGACAAAGAGAGATAAACATAAACATGAATGTATGATGCAATGAGACATTGGCTGTGTGGATCTATGTTAGTCTATATGATTTGTGTGATATGATTATAATGTAAACACACCAGTTTGTTAGACTATATGATTTGTATAAAACATAAAAATGGTATAATCTTGACACTTGTGTAACAAGAGATTCGGATTTGTAAGTAGCCGGTCTGAGAACATAGATAACGTAGATGTAATATTAAGATCAACACCTTCCTAGCATAAAGCATTGTCATAATTTGATGGACTTGTACACACTACTTTCTTTCATATCTTAATTATCTACACACTTGTAAAGTTAGGGGTCATGAATATTTTGTGGAAAATTCTTGTAGTTAAGATTTTCTGTAAACGTGTATAGTATATAAATATATTCGCTATATGGCTGAACTAACTTACTCATGATGCTTAACTCCAGTATAGACATCTTCCCGAGTCAAAGGAGTTAACTGACTATAAAAGTCCAGTTTCCACCCTTGCCGAACTAGGCTGGTATTATGGAGTTACATTTTGGCTGGACTAACGAGTCTATGCATAGTCCAATCAAAATCGCTCACCGAAATCGAAATCCGGTTCGAAGACTGTCGAGCAGATTTTGATCGACTGTAGTATTTGCAAAGCATGTGCACCGCCAACTCGTTGTCAACAGATATTATTCCAAATATTTTCATGTTTTTAATCAAGGTGCTAACGTGATTTAATGCTTTTCGCGATGTAAGACCGTTTTATCACAATATACATCTTGATTATCGATCAGATCGTCCTGACTGGGCGACACCATTTTGTGTGAAGTAAACACAAGTGATACGAGAGGTGGAATCTGATTGGTCCATAGGAGAGGCTTAGAAGGGACATAACTGGTAATAGCCACTGGTGAAGCTACGATCGAGCCCAGTAATTTCAGCCCAGTTCGGCAAGGGTGGAAACTGGACTTTTAAAGTCAGTTAACTCTATTGCCTCGGGAAGATGCAGTATAGTAGGGTGTGCATCAAGTTCATTTCTCCTATAATCATGGTAAGGCGTCCTTCACGGACTGATGAAAATAATACTACAATGAGCCCATTAAGGCTTAATCTGACTAAGATATTTTCCAATTAAAATACAATGTTTCATATTGATCAATACTTATCCTACAATAGCATGTGATTGTCATGGTTCGCTTGTTATCAGGTTATAGCGGGTATAGTGCAGAGACATTGGTTTGGTTCCCGACAGGAATGTGTGAAGTCAAATCTTGATGTACCCACTGCTGCGACACCTGGGGTATCATATCTACTGTATCAAGCGTTCTGTCCCAATAAGTACCAACCTGTATTTAAACATTATAGTGTCCTCAACTAAGACAGACCATATTTTCTTGTGGAAAGTACAACTATCAACTCGAAACAGCAGCGTAGAAGAGGAATATAACTGTCATGTAACTATTTCTTTGTACATTTTCTAAGCGCCTAAAGTGCTTATCACAGCGAATATGGTATTGCCCCAAAATGCATAAAACAACACAAAAAGCGGAATGTGGATACAGATGTCTGCTTGTCAGTGTTAGCAGGTACGTGTCTTCTCTAGCCTTCGATGGTAACAACCACCTCAGCACACATGAACCACGGCCCAGTTGCTGAGGTGATGTTGGCCTTCAGCATGTAGGAGCCCTGTAGGAGGAAATAACACATTCAACGAACACAAGGCAAAATAAACAAATTTGTATTTTTCATTCATCTTATTTAAAAATCGATACATTTTGTTTCATGTATTTGAGAATAATCTTGAGAGAAGTATCGTTTTTCTTAAGTCGTTAGTTCTTTCAAAAACGTTTATTCTTGTTAATGCAAGAAACTTATATTGAACATAATCACAGCATCGTGCTATGATTATAGTGTCAGTTAGTAGTTTAGGGTGGGATTGTGATGGTAAACAAGATTGTTCAAAATAAGAAAAAAAGTTTAATCAGCTCTCACCCAAAATGATATCAATTACTAAAAGTATGTAACATGTTCTGAAATAGTAATGTGTTCGCTCTGTCTTTTTATGCCCCGGTCAGCAATATTCCAGCGATGTCACGGCAGCCTGTATTATTCTAGTCTGGACCAAACAATCCAGTGATTAATATTATGAGCAACAATGCAAACTGTCGGGGTACAGGCACATGCAATCAACCAAGTCACACAAACAACATTTGACATTATATATTAGGATAAAGCATTTGACTGTTGACAGACTGCCTGCCATGTTCTTAGCAGTGTATGCTTGTGTTATTGGTCAGACAATTATTGCAGAAAGCTGTGTATTTTCCGAGTCCCGAGTCCCAATAAACCAATTCTTATAGGACTTTTAGGACTGTAACATATTTTGCTGACCTCCCAATTTTATGTAACAATGTCCTTTGTCCATGCTAGGTTTGTCAGTACCATACCCGTGCTCGTGGGTTTCACCAAAGTGGTAAACGTCTGAGACCTGCATAACTTTGGGCTATACTCCCACATTAAGCTCACACGCCGTGATATAACTGGAATACTGTTAAGAGCGGCGTTAGACCCAACTCACTCACTCACTCATTTGTTCATGACTCACCAATTTTATGCAACATTTTGTCATGCCCCCCCCCCCCTACTTTATCTTAAATTGCATGTGTAAGTTCAAATTTGGAAATTGTGATTTGTGATAAATATTGGTGACACCCACCATCCCTCCTAAACTTCCGCTACGTCAATTTTTCATGACCCCCCCCCCCCCCCCCCCCCCCCCCCTTAATCTCTTGACACCACCCCCATATAGCTTGACTATTGTTGACTGCGCTAACATGATGCTCAGTCATTCACTGACACGCCACAACAGAAATGTACTCACGGGGGGCAAGGCTGTAAGGTCAGGTAGGTTGTAGTCTAGCTTAAGATGCTCTGTAGAAAGAACAAGATGGAGATTATGAGAAGCTGACCATTAAAAAACTGAATCTTGTCTGTATTACAAACGAGATCCTAATTAACCAAGGCTGGTAGTTGATTGTCTACCATCATTGGAATTCTCTGTCCCAAGGACAAGCTATGCTCACAAAAGAAGATGATAAACTAAGTTATGATTTGGTTGGTTGGTTTGTTGTTTAACGCCGCACTCAGCAATATTCCAGCTATATGACGGCGGTCTGTAAATAATCGAGTCTGGACCAGACAATCCAGTGATTGATATCATGAGCATCGATCAACCCAATTGGGATCGATGACATGCATCAACCAAGTCAGCGAGCCTGACCACCCGATCCCGTTAGTCGCCTTTTACGACAAGCATAGTCACCTTTTACAGCAAACATGGATTGCTGAAGACCTATTCTACCCCGGAATCTAAGTTATGAAAATACTGATTCAGCAAGGACGGATAGTTTCCGTGTCTCTCTGACCAATGCAATGTCACACGAAGGCATTAACACACTGTGGTCTTGGAGTTGCGTCCCTTATATGCCAGAACCATATGTTCGTTGGTTCGAATGTACAATTCGGCTAGAAAATGGTTCCTGATTTGTAAGCACCATGTCCTTGCTCTGGGTTTTATGATGATTGAAATACTGTTTAAAGGTTTAACCCAGCTAATCGCATTCAAACATATAGAGGCTTCAAAACAAGACATGTATGGACAGGTCTCTCTCACGAACCAATGCAATGTAATGACAAACCTTTAAACCAGGCATTTATAAAGGCCATTCCCACTCACACCAGCGGATAACACACCAATGTATGATAATATTGACGATCTAAACAAACTTATTTACCTCCTTTTTTGATTGGGCAGATGTTCGGGAATGTCTTGTGGATGAGGCCGCAGTTGAGAGGGAAGGAGTCGGTGATGAAGGGCTCTGGCGCCCCGCCTGTGTACACGGCAACGTCCGCTTGGCCACTGCTGAAGGCCGACGCTGAAACAAAATGACTTCGTGTGCAGAAACAAATTCTATCAGGTAAATAAATCATTACTCCTACTCAGTAAAACTGTTGAACACCTACTAGTATACACAGTCAAGCCAGAAAACAACCTACTCAGCTCTTGGACCTATCGTTTTGTGTGTGCGAAATAACCATTCACTGGAAGCACTTGTAACATCATCAATAGACACAGCTCGTGGGTGCGGGTAGGGGATTACGATCAAAATAGTGATTACGGGTAAAGATGTGATTTAATTAACGGCGTGCGTTATTGACATTTTAGCCAGGTCAACATGTTTCTATTAAAGCAAATTCTAGGTTAGGGATCGTGGTGGAAATAAATTTGTAAATGTAACGCCATTTTCAAAGCATAGCAAGCCATGGTTAAATAAGTGGGTGTGACGTTATGTGTAGGCCATGGGTGAGAATCTAGAACCCACCACAGGTAAGAGGTCGAACTGAACAAATCAAGGGCCATTCAGAGTGACTATATGCGTTTGTATGGACATACTGTTGTACATGAACACAAAGAAGGCAAAGATCAATATCTAGATGTTTTAATGCACTTTTCTTGATCTTGATCTTGACAAAGACGGCCAAGCACATGCCCTAGAGACACGTGACTTACCTGCGATCATATCGAGCTTGAACACAACTCCACGAGACGGGTTCACGACCTTGGGACTCCAGGTCAGGGAAAAGTTCTGAGTACCTGAAGGGGATGAAGCAACCTTATTAGGTATTGCTGAACTCGATATATATATTAATATAATTGGTATCACCTGAAATAGTTTAACCTCGCTGCTACAATTCACTTGCTTTCATGTTTGATTATTCCCAAGCAATGTTACATATAAACTTGAAACAATAAACTTAGGGACTGCTTATTATTATAGAAGGGGTGGGTCCGAGCAAAGACGTACATAGATCAACCAAACATATGGCACCAACCACGTGTAATAAATCCCTTAGCTACACTAAAATATTAAAGCACTAAAACTTCCAAAGCCCCAAAAACCTAACCAATGAAAATTAAGTATCAGTCTTACTATCCATCACTGCCCAGTTGTCCTCAAATAGGCCAATCACTGTTTAGGGCTAACAAGCATACATTTCCAATTCTAGACAGGAAAATACCGTTTTTATTTCGGTTTGGGAAAGATCAAACGCACGGAAGCGTATCAGTGTCCCACACTAAAAAGAATTATCTACGTAGATGATACTTTCATTGAAGTAGATTCAGCAACCCATGCTTGCCGTAAAAGGCATCTTCCCGAGGCAAGAGAGTTAACTGACTATAAAAGTCCAGTTTCCACTGGGCTTTTAAAGTTATTTAACTCTCTTGCCTTGGGAAGATGCGTAAAAGGCGACTATGCTTGTCGTAAGAGGCGAATAACGGGATCAGGTGGTCAGGCCCGCTGACTTGTTTGATGCATGTCATCGATCCCAATTGCATGGATCGATTCTCATGTTGTCAATCACTGGATTGTCTGGTCCAGACTCGATTATTTACAGACCGCCGTCATATAGCTGGAATATTGCTGAGTGCGGCGTTAGACAACAAACAAACAAAACATCGAAGCAGAATTTTGTAAATATATACATATTTACCGCCGCAGTTTGTGGCATGCCCAGTGTCAGTGAGTCTCTCCGGGTGTAGAGGCTTGAAGAAATTTGTTAGAGCTTCTCTAATGGACGTGATCTTCGCCTTTGATGATTGAGGGGCTCTCTGATGCTTGCTTTCAAACAATAAGGGGGAGTCTTCATGGAACTCAACTGCCGCAGCCATCGACATAAACAGGAGAACAAACACTGCCAAATGCTCCATGGTCTCGCCTATCTGTTCGATGCCTTTAAAAGATGAAATAATATTCAATACACGCATCTAAGAAGTTTTGGCTCTTACACGACGTATAATTATTATGTACATACAAACAACTTCTTTCTGCCCAGAAAGAACAATCCGGTTGTACACTAACGCTTAGTCTCTGAAAGTATATAATATATAGCATTAAACTGAAAAGGGGCCCCAGTGAGATTATAGATTCGGAACCTGAGGAAAATCTAGACTTGCTTTGTTCTTTTGCATTACAGTAAGGGCTGGGCGGAAGGGAAAATAATATAGTTAAGGGATTGTGAGACAGGCTGATCTGGTTGGTAAATGCCGTACAATTAACATGTCTCTGAGACATAACAACAAAATTATTCTACTAGGGGTGAAACAGGTATCCTCTTCAAGTCGACATGAGCAACTGAAGGCCTTCTCAAGAAGCACTCTCGTTTTACTAGCACATAGGTCCATTATACACTTCACGGGGTGTTTTCTTCTACAATGTTATGTAGCAGGTTTCCAACGGGTAAATTCGAAATTCAACGTTAAAAACATTATTCACATTTTATGTGTCTTTCGTTTGCGAATGTTGACATGAATGTAAGATAATGTTCACAAAATATCTCGTTCTCGCATAACGTGTTACTGAATAGTATGACAGACAGACAGTTTATTCAGTAAGAAGGCCATAGGCCCATAATACAGACAATGGTTGATTGCATGAACTACGCATGCCAAGGAAGTAGTCGATTTAGGTTTCTCTTAGCCGTTGGACTTTATATAGATATAAACATGTGTTATATACAACATCAAAGTTTTCGGATGAAATAATTTCAGTAAAAGATGTTACAGTTTGAAACTTGATATACTGTTTAAGATACATATTTCTTAGGGCTGAATAACGCTCACATACAAGTAAAACATGAAATTCATCTTCAATAAAGGATATACCATTTTCTATACAATATTTACATAATCGTTCAGTGTATGGGACATTTGTGTATCTCCCCAAGTCAATTGCAAGTTTAAACTTGCTACATCTGAAACGGGTCATACATATTCTCAGATGTACTGGTATGGGGAGTGTAAGATATTTTTCTACATTCAACAGGGATTTAAAATGTTTATAATAAAAGGTATCAGATATACTATTGATAGAACTACACCATGATTGTTGAAAGTTATCAAATAATCTTTGCTTAAAAAGATGAATAAATACCTTCACATTGCCAACATCTTGTGTTAACCATACATATCCAAAACCTAATTTAAACAAAATATTCTTAATGTGAGTAGCCCTTGTGGTGCGAGCAGAATGGTCCAGTGATTTGAGTTATTTAATGAATAGTATGTTTTACTACGGTTGTTACTCTATACGCGAGTATCCGGTTATTGCAGTTTGTACATTGCAGTTCTTTTGCACACGCAGAGTATTTAGAAAGTAATAAAAATACTTTCAAAATATTTCCATTCAAAAGGTGACCCTCACTTAGGGTCAGGCAGTTGGTCGAAGTCACCAGGGCTGAGTGCTGAAACATGTACGTTACATGTGTTCTGCACGGAATCGATTTTAATACGTTTGCGCGGAATCTCCAGTAGTCTTGTACCAGTGGCTGGCTATTTCATTGAATGTTTGTCCTTGATTCGGAACAGTCTGGATCCTGATGAGTCGATCTTGGGCGGGAATTGTGGATGTAGAGGTTTCTGGCCGAGGTCGATCGTCTTTCTTTGGCGGAATCTAATCAATAATGTGCCAAGCATAGACTGTGACACATAACTGTATCAATGCAACACGTGCTTGTGTGATCGTCATGCTGTAGACATGGCGTTATTATTTGGTAGGGCTGGGCCGAGTAACTCGGGTACCCGGGTCGGGTGGGTACTGAGTAGGACCCGGGTACCCACAGGACTACCCGGTAGGGCTGCAACGATACACCTAGGTCACGATACGATACGTATCTCGATACTTACATCATGATTCGATACGTATCTCGATACGATACGATACACATAGTGACAAGAGAAGACAAGAGATAAATAAATTAAATGAAAGTTAAAGAATGTTCATGAGTCATAAAATATATACTGTAATGAGTATTTTAACTTAATGAATCATCTGCCATTTCCATGTAATGGCTAGCAAACACAAAACTAACAGTTCTACATATTTGTGAGTTGTGACTAGATGGTAGATTCTAGGAGTAAATACTAAATACTAAATGTCCCAGTGTCCAGTAACTTATGATTTGCCATTTTCATGTATAAAGGCAAAAAAACAATTAAAAATAATTATAGCAACAGCCTTGTTATACACCGTTTGAAAGGTCTAATCCTAGTGTTTATAAGTTATGTTTATCAAATTATTTAAATAATGCATTGACAACTGAATTAAGTTCGTTGTAAATAAAAAATGTAAGCTGGCACATTCATAACGTCCAGATTAAGGACCAAGGAAGCAAAGATTTGACGATTGGGGGCATATGTAAGATTTCAAAAGATCTACTTATTTATTTTTTATTTTCATTGATTACGTAGATCTAATTGGAAAATTATTTTAAAAAGAATTATGAATAGCATCTCTTTTCACTCATTTCAAGATAACAGCGGCTGTCCGCTCAGTAACATGAAGAAATACCTCCGTTTTCGAATGCTTCGTATGAATAACACGTTTGTCGGTGTCTGACATATGACACATCGCTAGAAAGGTTGTTTTTTCATCTACACGCTCGTAACATTGCCTTGAGTCTTTTCGTAGCTTAACATAAGATTTCATTGGATAAAAAATGGTTTCTAATGACGCTTTCTTGCCGAAATCTGCTATAAGGTTCATGATTGGTCAACTTTGAGCACGTGACCTGAGGCAGGCAATCAAATTACAAATCCTCGTGTACGATGAATTTCAGATTTTTACGAAATATTTTGCTTAAATCGTGTTATTCTGAACGTTTTAAGCAGGAAATCGCGATCTATATGTAAAATATGGAGCTTCGTGGATGTATCATGCTAGGTTGCAAGCTATGACAAAGACTTTTCCTGCATATATTTTGGCATTGAACATCGTGTCCGAGCCGAGAATTCGAGGCGCCGAAAGCCGAGATGTCATTTGACTAACATTACACGCGAAAGCACGAAAAGCTGGAAATAATAACTTAGCTGTAAGTTTGACCACTTTTAGATATATTTATGTTGATTTTATTTATCACTTTGTATGATATATTTAAAGATTTGCTTGAAACGTCTTTGTTTTTCTCTTTGACACTTTCGATGTGCACGTTGTCGAAGTGTATGTCCGAGAATTATGTTTTCAATAACATTGCGGGATAAAGTGAATAACTTTTTAATCTATCAAAAAAAATGATAAATTAAAATAGAATACGTATTTCAGACATTGTGAGATGTGATAGATTTAATAAATGAATGGTATGACAGGTAGGTCCATAAAAATATATACTATTTTGACGTGACTAAGGCTTGGCTGGTTAACCGGCCTACGGTGCCTGGGGACTCGATGCTTCTTTAAACACATTTAAAACGTATCTGTGATAAAAGTTTATTTACAAAAAAAGACGTACGTATAGATCTATACGTCTTTGAATAAACGTATCGTGAAAAATCGAGATACAGCACCTCACAAATCGCACACCGTATCGTATGGAGTGTATCGCGATGCATCGGTGTCCCGGGATATCGTTTCAGCCCTACTACCCGGACCCGTGGTTAGTCACGTGATATTTTGTTTCATGAAAAAAAATCACAATATAACTACGTGGTTACAGGAAAATTTTAAATCTCTAATGTTCGCATTTCTTCATGGCCATGAACACGTTCCTTCTGAAGTAATATGTTTGAACAAAGGTAAAACTTCAGTCAACTTCAATGTATGCATGACCACATCGTTTTATACGTGCATCTAAAAACATTCTGCAAGGGCTACTGTAAAACTATTACCAATCGGACATTTTGTACCTTTCTATTGACACCAACAGCGGGTACCCGGGAAGGGTCGGGTAATAGGGGTGTAGGCAGTGTTCGAAATACCTGCCTGCCCGACCGTCCGAGACGAGTTGATTTCAAATCGGGCTGCCAGATTTTCAAATCCACCAGCCCGACGGTCAGGTTATATTTCATATGTGAAAATATTCTAAATATTTCCCAATGATAAGCATTAATTCACATGTAAAGATGAATGATAAAATGTAACCAAAAAGAAACCCCGTTAGCTTATCCTGAGAAACATATGATTATAGTGGGCAGGCAGGTTTTGGTCAGGGCTGGCAAGTATTTCAGCTAGCCAGTCCTGTGGTCTGGCTGAAATTCTGGGGAGTTTCATACCCTGCCGTTAGCTTATCCTGAGAAACATATGATTATGGTGGGCAGGCAGGTTTTGGTCAGGGCTGGCAAGTATTTCAGCTAGCCAGTCCTGTGGTCTGGCTGAAATTTTGGGGAGTTTCATACCCTGGTGTAGGTACCCGGGTAGTAAATTTGGACTCGTCCCAGCCCTACTACTTGGGCACCCAAAGATGATCAGATGGCTCAGTGTGAGTTTCAAACAGATGTAGTGAGTCTCTGCTAAATTCACAATGAATTATTCAATGTGAAAAAAAGTTTCAAATCAGGAATATACAACTACACGTGAAAGGCCAATCAGCTGTTTACGTGCAGAGGAGGAGTGTATGTGGGCGTTTAGTTATCACCACGTGACAATACATTCAGGGACATTATTAGTAGATTGCAATCGCCGTCTTTTCTTAAGAAAATTGACATATGACTTTCGATATCTACTTTCTTAACAATATCTATAGTATCATATGAGTAGAGTGTTCCTCAGTTATGGCATATGGAAAACTGTCAGGTTCATACAAGTTAGTGAATATTGGCCCAGCCATATCATGACGGCGAGTGAAATGCCTTCTCTGTGGGAACCTCATGTGATGTATTGTGTCTTTCTGTGGTGAAACGAAGGAGAAAGTTTGAGCATTTACGATAGTGAGTGAGTGAATATGGTTTTACGCCGCTTTTAGCAATATTCCAGCAATATCACGGCGGGGGACACCAGAAATGGGCTTCATTTACGATAGACTTGGTTTAAGTGAAAGACTGATTTGTGACGTCACATAGTCGTCACAATAGCATGATGTCAATTGGTCACGTGACGCTTGTCCATCGCATTCATCAACTGGACACTAAACAACATGTATCAACATGGTATTTGTGTTGAACCATATATTTTGAACTCGATTCCCAGGAGTGATAGAAGTGTCTTAGCCAAATTCAGAAGCGGAGAAGCCCCAATAAACATAGAGACTGGGCGATACACAAATACACCGGTGGAGGAGAGAACGTGTTTTTACTGTAAGGATGAAGTTGAGGATGAAATCCATGTTTTATTACACTGTCCCCTTTATAATGATATACGTTCTACCCTCTTAAGTATATGTGTGGATAAATGTTGTACTTTTAATGATTTTACAGATGTACAGAAAGTTAGTTTCATCTTAGCTCATCCGGATGTTGTTTTTTATTCCGCCAATACCTGCAAACTTTTAATACAGAAGTGCACAATTAAGATCTATTTATTGTCTTTGGTGGTAATTTATACAGAAATAAAGATTTTTTTCGAAATAAAAAGGGGTGGTGGGTGGGTGCGCCCCCCCCCCCCTGTATCCGCCCATGACTTCTATCAACAAACCCACGGCCTCCCAATGGGATCCCCACTGTTACCCTTGATCACCGAGATATTTATGAATTCTTATGCTTACTAAGTACTCCAACTTCTAAATGCCTATCAAAGAAAACATTAATGAAGTATAGCGACAGGCTTGGACACATAGGCCCTGGTGTCGTTGCTTAAATTTTTATCGATCAAGTAATATAATACAAGTTAGTGCATTTCTCGCACTCTTCATATAATAGACCCGGAACTATTTAAGCAACAAAGCAAATGTATGACAGCAAATACATCAGTTTTGAAGCGTCTGTAAAAATATGCAAATGGTTTTAAAGATACGTGTATAGTAGGAATATTCCTGAGTGCCGTGTCAAAACAACAAACAAGCAAGTAATCGGTATATTCTCTCAATTCAATTTCGACTAATCAGTCTGTATCCCAGTACAATCCAGGGCGTAAGCCTGACATGATCTCGCAGATCAAGGAAATGTATCAAACCTGTTGCTTACCCTGGAACTCAATACTTCATACAATAAGCAAATAAAACGTTAAATATAACGTTACAGATGAAGTAATTTCTCAGTGTTTAAATGTGTGAAGCTTTTTATCTGTGTGCAAAGACTTACCAAACGCTACACTTAATCCAAACCAGGATACTAAATGTGATAAATCAAAGAAACATTTATTTATGGGAATTCCCACTTCCTTGTTGCTTGAGTCTACAACTCAAGGCATCACGTGCCCTAACAGCCTATGTTAGGAGTTCCCCTCCAAGCTCCTTCCCAGCGCGTGACACCTTCGTTATTACACAATCGGTAACATAGTATAGGGAGCGCCGCGAAAGGGACATCGCCGTGGGGAGCTTGCTTCCGATCATGTTGCAAGCTCCTCCTTATCGCGTTACCCTCCCGGTACTAATAGTACATGGACTGCTCCACGAACGAGTCATCTTTGTGAGGAGCTTTGGCCGTGGGTTGCAAAGCATTTACTTCCCCTTGTTAATAAGGAAATAGTGTGACGTCCACTGGAGATTATTTAGGCCTATGGAAATCTTCTCGCCGACTCGCGGCAAAAAGATTGGGACGGATGTTCGGTAGAAAAAGTAACGGTCGGCGCTTCCCAAAAAGGAAGGTACGTACGTTACACTGTTTTGTAATAAAAAGTTGTCAAAACGTCATCCTTTCAAACTGATGTTTTGATCTGACGGATTATATCAACGCCATGTTTTAAGAATGAAGTGCTAACCGCAGCAGACGAAACTGTTGATCAGCTGTTTGCCAGTGGCATGGCCAGTGACAGTACTACTGCCAGTGTGCTGTGTTTCTGGTTCCTCTGATCATTACTTGGGAAAGATTCCGCCAAAAAATATTATTTAATTCTTCTAACCAGGGGCTATGAAATAAATTATAACGGGGACTTGGCAAATTGACGTCCCAGCGTGTTCAATTCCAGCAGTTCCAACACTTGTCTGGTGACACCCCTTATGAAAAAGATTCAACATTGACAACTGTTAGAAGGTTGTTTTGGAAAGAGTTCCCTTTGGTCCCCCACCTGTGTCTTTTCATTATGAACCTGTTGAGTGCATGGGTAAAATAATGGTTAAAATCAGGTGGGGGGGGGAACAAAACGAACTCTTACCCAACTGTTTGACAGTTGTCCAAGAAGTGTTTTAGAACAAATACCTGACAAGGTCAGCATCATTCAACAATATTTGTAAAGGTAACAGTGTGAAACAGTTGTTTGAAAGTGATCATCTGACAACTGTTTGACAACTCTCGGATGATCACTTTCAAACAACTAGATATCGGATAAGTAATATAACAGTGTATTATAACAATAAAGATAATTGGATAGAGACAGTGTTTCAGTTTCACACAATTTGGCACTATGATTATACATCAACACCTCTACTGAAAATGAGCAATAGACCATTGTAGCTTTTTTAGCTCTTTAGGAAAAAAACCACTTGTGGCAAATACAGGTGATATGATAATAAAGAAGGAAACGGTCAGTGTCTTCCTGCGTGGCATTTGTTATATATTTGATTAAGATCCCTTGACATCATCCATAGTTTCATGACTAATCTAAAATCTTATTCACGTTTCCAAAGCTGGAAGACGATCTAGAAGCTACAGCATCAGCATCATTGCAACATGGAGAGTGGAAACGTTGTATGGAAGGATTCTCAACAGGCCTTGACAAGACAGACACTGGGCAGCGTAACACAAAGAAACCCTGCACACAACGAACATCCAAATGCCAAGGCTTTCTGGAGTCGAGTTTTGACCATCTCACTGAGCTAGCATCTGATGCATCGGGGCAGGATATAAAAGGTGATGAGACAGGTGAAATCGTTTGCCAGTAACCATGGTAACCCCTGTCCCATTCAGTATTTCATCAACAAATTGCAGAGGTGGTTCTGAAAAGCAGATGTCACTGGTGGAATTCATTTCAGGAGTAGTTCAGATGCAGGGATACTGGTCATAACAGACAGTGCAAGAACAGACATTATTATTTAGTTACAGAGGTTATTTTCCTTTTGAGGCTACTTAGAGGCTTTTGAGATTTTGACAAAGTGTAGTTTTCTTGGTATTTTAGAGGAAAGTGTTAGTTTTTAATTTAATTAATAAGTATACTGACATATAAGTCTTATTAAAATCATATCTTGTATTCCAATATGATACACCTCTGCATTGATATCTGAGGACACCTCCATCGAAGGTCGTGCCAGGTGAACCGCAAATGAACTTTGACTGCTTATCTAAATGAAAGCTGCGTGGGCTCTTGAGTTTAATTTAATTACCATCACTATTCCAAAATTTCGATTTGTACAAATGAAAACCTAGAGAACACAAATATTCCTTTGATGGTACTACTTTTGGGGTTTCATGCCACGGCACTCGGAAACAACATGATGTAAGAAGTAGCCACCATCATATGATGGCACATCTTCCCGAGGCAAGAGAGTTAACTGACTTTAAAAGTTTCCACCCTTGACGAACTAGACTGGAATTACTGGGCTCGATCGTAGCACCACCAGTGGCTATGACCAGTTATGTCCCTTCTAAGCCTCTCCTATGGACCAATCAGATTCCACTTCTCATATCACTTGTGTTTGCTTCACACAAAATGGTGGTTTACGAACCAGATTTCGATTTCGGTGCGCGATTTTGATTGGACTATGCATAGACTCGTTAGTCCAGCCAAAATGTAACTCCATAGTACCAGCCTAGTTCGGCAAGGGTGGAAACTGGACTTTTAAACTCTCTTGCCTTGGGAAGATGATGATGGCACTGCTATGCTTTCTACTTTGGAAATTGTTGATTTTAGTTCGTTTTCAAGTTGCAGAAATCAGATACGCTGGTTTGAATACTTAGCTCACTTGTTCAGAGAATTTACGATCCTCAATGCTGATTGGGGGATTAGAAAGTTCACCGCACATGACCTCCTATGGATGTGTCCTCCCACAAGGAGGCATTGTATCATCAGAGTAACAGAGCAGGCATAATTTATAGTGAGTGAATTAGTGGAAGTTTGTGTTGCAGATGCTGAACTCATATCTTGGTCCTCAAGTGAAAGTGACGATTTTGAAACCAGTATCAAATCTGATGTGCAGGTTAGAAAATCAAAAACCAGCAACAGTAGCACTCCCAGCAGGTCAAGAGAAGGCAAACCTTCAACAAAAAAGAAAACATTTCCTAAAGCAGGCAAACTAGAGCTGAGGAGGATATCTCCAGATTTTGATGTTCATGAATTGTATGAGTCTGATGGAGACATCGACACAATCTCCAGCAGCTCGGAGGAGGAGGAGGAGGGGATGAAGGATGGGACTGAGGAGGACAAAAAGCCATGTGTTAAACTGGCGGATATACCCAGACAGGTGAGATAGATAAGTGTACATTCACAGTTGACCTTTGGGGGTGCAGGTGGTCCCCTCATCGAAGCCACAGCAAGATGCTGTTCAGAGTCCCATTGGCATGCCGCAACGAATGACCGTGGGTTTAGTTTGCCTTGAATGTGGTTCTAGGTTTGTCAGCACCATACCTGTTTGAAAATGCACCATACAAAGTGGAAAATGTCAAAGACTTGCATCGCTACGGGCTTTCGTCCCACATCGAGATGACATGCTGATTTATATGGTCACTAAGATACTGTTCAAAGCAGCATTTAACCAAACTCACTGACTTCAACCTGTGAAGATCCGGGCTAGAATTACTGAATAGGTCTTCAGCAACCCATACTTGCTTTAAAAGGCGACTATGCTTGTCGTAGGAGGCGACTAATGGGATCGGGTGGTCAGGCTGTCTGACTCGGTTGATGCATGTCATCGTATCCCAGTTGTGTGGATTGATGCTCATGATATTAATCACTGGATTGTCTGGTCCAGTCTCGATTATTTACAGGCCGCTGTCATAAGGCTGGAATATTGCTGAGTGTGGCGTTAAACAACAAACAACAAACAAACTAGTATATATTCAGTTTTACAAGAGGACTTACTGTGCACTTGCAGCATGTCATAGAGCATTGAGATTTGCTTATTATAGATGGACTATTATTAATGTGAAAATCATTGGCCCTGGGATATTACACAATACTGCTCAGAAAAAGGTAATTTGTTTTTTAAAGACCTTGGACCTCTGGCACTCTAAACCACAGTTGGGAGATGAGTCTGTCTAGTGGCTGCAGCAGTGACTCAACACATGACAACCTGGGTGTGATTCCCTGTATGGGGCTGTGTTATACCCATAGTTGTGCCCCTGTTGTGCCCCTTACATCATGTTGTAAGGTTGTCTTGTCTCTACACCCACTGATGGTTGGGTCTGTGTTATACCCATAGTTGTGCCTCTGTTGTGCCCCTTACATCATGTTGTATGGTTGTCTTGTCTCTACACCCACAGATGGATGGGTCCGGCATATCGTTGTAAAGGATCCTGTCTTCTGTCCTCAGTAATATCAGCAAATGCCGTCTGACATTGTTCATGTGAAAGTTGTTAGTAATTTTCTGTATCATCTTCCTGACTGTTCAAATGCATTAATATATGTTTGCACAGTGATGCATTTCCTTGACGAAACTTGGAGAACTAGTGTGTTTGTGTGTGTGTGTGTGAGAGAGAGAGAGAGAGAGAGAGAGGGAGAGCTTGGAATCAATATAATGTGTCTCAGTGTGGTATCTATATTAAAGAGTGGCATGGTATCTCAGTAGGCTAGCACTAGAAAACTGCCATTAGTCCGAACTAGTACTAGCAGCAACACACTCACGCATGTGATTCACATCCCTATATATAAGTGCAATAATCTTGAATGCAATGTCAAACACCATGTCACCTCCACCATGTCACCACTTTGTCATTAAACATGTTAAACATGCATGTCACGGTGTCATATATGTATGTGTGTTTTTTAGGTGAATATGATGAATAGCAGTGGGTATGTTGTTTTTTTTCTATTTTAGATTACCATTCATTTCATTGATACAAATTTAAAATAAAAATAACTGCATCTTAGACAATAAACGTTTCTTGTTGTTATAGACTTCCCCATTGAAGAAATCACACATCTATCCTGCCAGTGTGGTGAGTATAGTTATCAGTGTCATACTTTTCCTCTGTGAAACCATCCTGTGACACCCCAGAAGATTATAGAGGACAAGGGTGGCTCATTCGATCTGCATTTAGTGAGTTAGTGAGTGGGAGAGTGAGAGAGTGATTGTATAACAAATGTTATATTTGGGATAAACACTTTCTTAGTAAAGTACAGATTCTCGTACTTTTTGAGTTAGTCTCATCCGGGATTTGTACCCGCACTGCCAGAGTTTGACCACCTTCTAAATGGCATTGCGTGTTCAGAGTGATTTTAGTTTTACACCACTTTTGGCAATATTTCAGCAATGTCAGGGCGAGGGCACCAGAAAAGGACTTCACACATTGTACCCATGTCGGAATCAAACCCAGACAAGTGAATACTCTTTAACCACAAGGCTAACCCACCATCCCTGGATAAGTTAAGAAATTATCAAAACTTTCAGCAAAAGTTATCAGGTGTATTCATATAATGACAATTATACTTTCTTCTCTTCAGCATGTGTTTTTGACTTACAACAACTCACCAAAATCCACAGACAGGGCTACAATGTGTCGAAAAGGCTGATTATGGAACTTTTAGCAAAGGTTCACACTATATCTTGGATCAATCATGCTGTGAAGTAGCTAGATCCCATGGTTAACTGTTCACCAGTTGATTTGTAAATACAGTTTGGATAATTGATTGTAAATTATGAGACTAGTAATACAATATATGAATAGATGTGGAAGAGCTGTTTGTCAATTTAAAACTTACCTGGGTTGGTTGAGACAGTTGACTGAAGCTAGCAGACAACAGACACGTGTTACGTGAGCCAGACACACAGCAGTGCAGAACAGTGTAACACCAATGCAGCAATCATTCACTTCCTTGTTTCTGCTGTGTCACGTGAGAAGTTTCTGTGTGTCAGGTCAATGAGGAAGTTTTTGCTTGTCTTGCTGGAAGTGAGTCAGTATTGGTGAACTGTACAACTCAATATGTTATTTGAGTTATTTTCCCTATAAAGATTAGATAGATACCACTTTATTACTTTGTATTTAATTGTGTTCTGAATATAAATATCTAATTTTTTTATTTGAAGCTTACACGATATAAAGCTATTTCATTGGATGAGAGGTCGGTCACATGACTGCGAAATTGACGTTCATTTGTGTATGAATGACACAATTTGACGTTCATGCGTTTTGACGAGACTGTTCTTGAAATGACGTAAACAATGACGGACTACTTCCACTTTCCTGGGGGAACTCCTGGAAATTCCCTAGTACGAATACATACCGGTACAGAAGCATACTTTCCGATCATTTAGTCATTTTAATCTTGCACACAGCGTGCTAGTATGCATAGAGAAACGTCAGAGGGTTTGATTGCATGATCGTTCATGAATATCCTCGCTAAGACTTCGCTGAAGAGCAAGATGTGCATACATAAGCTCATGTCACCTCTCCTAATGAGGAACTATTTTACTCCGCAATACAGCTGGTTGTATGGCTGTCAGTGTAAACGTGGGGTCACACGTACTAAATGAAATTGTGTATAGATCTAGGCCTACATCCTTTGATGTAAGAAATCGTGATAAAAAATCATAAGAATTGACTTTCACTTTGTGTGAGTTAATTGGAGTATGATTAAATTTTCGTTGTGTTCATGGAAATTCCTGCATTCTGATTAGCTGAATTGGTCACGTGTTATTGCATTAATTTCCCAAAGAATGTAAAGAATTAATCCACGCCCATCGTGGCGCACTACTTTTATTACTGAGGAATGTGGGGGAATCCCAATATTACAGTCTAGGGAATTCCCTTTCTGCCCACGTGTATCATCATGCACAAGACATTTAGCGACTTTCATGCATATTCATTGTCCAAACTACCATTTGAAACCGAAGGCCGAGAATGAATGAAACAGCAAACGTGCAGGCTTGCTCGCCTGTTCTTTTCCCACTCGCCTCGGTTCAACTTTCATGTCTTCGGGTTTCATTTCTAACTAGCATTTCTCCAACTGTGTTTTACCGTAATCAGGGAAGTAATGTTTGAATCACGCAGTAAATGACCATGTTATTTGAAACAGCCGCCTTCTCTCGGACATATTTCTTCCGGTTTGTTACAGTCTGACTGTTGCAGTTCTTTTCGCCTTAATTGACAGGTCCAATGAATATTGTTTTAATCCCACTCTCCGTTGATTGGCTACTGACTGTGTAGGCGTGTCAAGTTATGTGCATAAATTAAACGATCACCTGATTCATGTCACGCCACTGTATGTATTCCTACACCTGGAATGTTTATCAATGTCGTCATTTTTGTCTGTTTTGATATATGCAACTGTTTTGGGTTAAACTATTTTAGATAAAACATGTTTTACGTTGTCGAATTTAATTATAAGCATTGACTGTATATTTTTTCGGTTCATTGAGGTATGAATCGAAAAAACAATGCAAACTGTATGAATCTGCTATATTTTTTTGGGTTCATTGAGGTATGAATCGAAAAACCGATGTGCAAACTTTTGTAAGAATTCACTACACGGATTCATACAGTTTGCACATCGGTATTTCGATTCATACCTCAATGAACCGAAAAAAATACACAGTCAATCCTTAAATGAACCTTCATAGAGTGAGGGCCAAACTGTATGAACGTCGGAACTTGCTCACTCTATGAAGGTTCATACTCCGATGAACTCACAGAAAGTGAAAGTCAATTCTTAAATGAATTAAGACATACATCATGTACACGGACATAGACAGGGTTTTGCCTTGACTTACAAAAATAATTATTTTAAGGATCCTTGCAGGCAATATGAGGGTCCTGTAAAGTAATGAAAGGTGCAATGTACCGTACCTTTTGATGGATTGAATCAATGATCATGTTGACAGTGGTCATGATTGATGAATGAAATGACAGACGCCCATAACTGCCCTTCATGCGCTGGTCCCCCGCCATGATATTGCTGGGATATTGCTAAAAGCAGCTTAAAACCATACTCACTCACTCACTCGCTCTTTATGCGCTGTGACCCGTGAAGATCCGGGGTAGAATAGGTCTTCAGCAACCCATGCTTGCCGTAAAAGGCGACTATGCTTGTTGTAAAAGGCGACTAACGGGATCGGGTGGTCAGGCTTGCTGACTTGGATGATGCACGGTCATCGATCCCAATTGCGTGGATTGATGCTCATGATATCAATCACTGGATTGTCTGGTCCAGACTCGATTATTTACAGACCGCCGTCATATAGCTGGAATACTGCTGAGTGTGGCATTAAACAACAAACCAACCAACCAAACCAACCAACTTTATGCGCTGTAGGTACAATGAATATTGTTGTGCATCCCTCTGGAAGCAGTATCCAATCTCAGCATTTGTGCGTACTGGATGCACCTTTGTGCGTTGCATAACACCCTGCATAGAAATGTAGCACATACATTCCATCTGAATACATTAGTGATGGGTTAGAACTTTAAATACTTTAAAATGACAGAACAAAAATTGCAATGCTAAATGCACCAAGGGAATGTGTTATCTTATACATGTTCAGTAAACTCAGAATTTTATGATTATCAGTTCCCTGTTCCCATATACCCCAATATGATTTAATAAGATATGTGATTGGAAATAGTTGGGGATATCCCCACCATGGTTCGAATATACCAGTACTATGAAGGCTGGAGACGAGATCAAAGGTGCTTCCCATCATGTATTTGACAACAGCTATAGTTGTGTGAACCGCCTTCTTGATGGAGCTCATCTTACGGCAGAATTATCACAATGCTGTACATAAGACGCTCTGTCTTCTGTCAGGTCATTATGGAAGCATTTGGAGTTATGTCTGAATGTCACAGAAATTCTCTCACAGTGGTTTTACAACTACAAATAAAAAGTATGTATATTTTACATAGATCTGTAAATTTTTCAATCAATTAACTTTAACTGAGAATAAAGTTGAATATGAAAAAAAGTTGAATATTAATTTTTTTCCAAATACACTGGGTCTTTTATTGACGAAACACACCCAAATAAGCATGGGTCCTCACTAGGGCTGGAACGGGTAACTTGGGTACCCCGGGTCGGGTGGGTACTGTGTAGGACCCGGGTACCCACAGGACTCCCCGGACCCGTGGTTAGTCACATGATATATTATTTAATGACAAAAACTATCTAGGACTCTATGGTTACACTACAAGTCGCAAATGTTCGCATTTCTTTCTGACAATGCACCCATTCCTTCTGTTTTTTCAAATCTTTGAATAAAGATATAACTTGAGTCAACTTCAGTGTATGCATGACCAGATTGTTTAATACATGTATGTTTATACGTTTTGCCAGTGCGATGGTAAAAAAATGCCCAATCGGATATTTTGTACCTATCTCTTGAGACCTACAGTGGGTACCCGGGTAGGGTTGGGTAATAGGGGGTGGGTACCCGGGTAGTAAATTCGGACTCGTCCCAGCCCTAGTCCTCACTTTATTATTTTAGTTTTCAATTTGCATACTTGAAACCACATATAGATAAAAAACAAGAGATTTCTGATAATTTCCTAGGACCTTTCCTTATGCTGTTGTTTGGGAGATTGTGACTAATAATGCTAATGGTCGGTCTGCTGACCATGATTTATTCCTATTTCCTCCTTTCGAACAGCCTCACTTGTTCCTTGTGTATGCAAGACATAAGGAAGTATTTTATTTATTTGCATGTTAATGTTTTTAGCTCACCTGCTGTAAAGACATGTGAGTGTGTGCAACCTACTTGGTGTGTGTTTTTTATTAGGGAACCAAGTAGCTCCTAAACTGAAAGTTTATAGGAGCCTGACTGAAAATCTGAGATACCGGTAAACATATGTTCACCCAGGTTTTCATTGAGGTTGAACATTCTAGCAGGGGTTTCAGTGTGTGAAGCCTAAAGATGGTATTCAGTTATAATAGAAAGGTAAATTATCGATATTGCTGATGCTGGATTATCAACTCGACTTGCTATTTCTCACTGAAACATGGCTCAGAATGTGGAGACGAATCCAAAGTGGCCAAGATGACATCTGTCGGGTATTCATTTGGGCATATTCCATGCAAACCCAGACGTGGTGGCGGCATTGCAGTTACCTATAAATCACACATTGATGTATCTGTGATTGAATCAACTGGACACAACTTTCAGTCATTCGAACTGATGGAGTGGACTATCTCGACTGCAAGTGTCAGTATTCGATTTGCATGCATATACAGACCACCTCAATCAAAACGAAATGAAATTCCCAAATCTCTGTTTTATGCAGATTTTTCAGTTCTGCTAAAAAATTACAAACAGGAAAAAATACTTCTTCTTGGAGACTTTAATGTTCATTATGAACAAACTGAAAAAGCGGAAGTTAAGAAATTAGCCAGGCCTTTGAATTCACACGGACTACAGAAACATGTGGACAGCCCAACTTACAAGTCTGGTCCCATTATTGACTGGGTGGTGACCAGAGAGGAGAGTAACATCATATCCACTGTGTAAGTAGGGGATATGCAAATATCTGATCTCTACATGGTATTCATTGAGCTGTCCCTTAAAGCTCCTTCACGAATCAAAGTCAGTGTTCGGAGTCGCAACACCAAGAATTTGGATGCATCAGCATTTTCACATGACTTGAAAGAATCTAGTCTATTGATAGATCCACCCAATGATCTAGATGAGATTTGTTAGTCTTACCACTCCACTCTCTCCACTCTCCTTGATCTACGTGCACCAGGTGTAGGCAAGCCAAGTCCCAGTAGGCCTGCAGCTCCTTGGTATTGTGATATTGTTTCACGTGCAAAGGCACATAGACACATTGCTGAATGTCAGTGACGTAAATCAAAATTGGAAGTTCATAGAGGATCTATAAAGTGGCACGAAATGCTGTTACTCAGCAAATAAGAACCTCTAAAACACTTTC